GTTTAGTGAAGAAATAGCAAAACAATATGGAAATAATTAGTTCCTATTTATTATGTAAGGAAGGAATTAATATTTTTTCCTCGGTCGATTACAATATTACATTAAACATAATAGACAAAAATATTTGTACAAATTGTTTTGCTAAGACCTATTTTTAAACGCTGACTGGAAAGATAATAAAAGTAATAAAGACAAAATAATGCCCCGATCATGGAATTTTCTAAATTATTAAAAAAATAAAATGTAAGAACAACCAAATGTCTTTAAGAAATAATAAAGTTAATATATTAGCCAAGAACAAAAGTGTAGTAAACTATTCTACTCCTAAATTCAATATCTTTAAACAGGAGGCATTATTAAGTATACCAAAACTTATGGACTGTGTCTTTGTTAATAATTGTCCGATTTTTACGATTTTTGTTTAGTTTTGTATTGCAATTTAGTAATCTTTCTAATTATGATGGGTAGAATCAAGAATAAAATGCATACTTTTTCAGTTATTCGCAAATAAAGTTTCTTTTCCTTCATAACCTTTTTTCCAGAAATTTCGCGAGGATAGGTCTATTTTTCGAATGTGAAGGAGAAGAATATCTTCAAAATGATTGATCAATCATTGGATTTGATGAAGAATTGACGAAGTTATGGCGTAGCGACAAAAAAAAAAACCTTTTAAAAATAATATATAGGATTTAAATTTAGATTTAAACGTGTTCAAGGCAATGACATTGTTTAAGATACTATTTCGTGGGTACGTTTATAACCTTAAATATATTTACTGTAGTTTAATAACTGTATATATTATATTATATATAAATAATTAGGTATCTATGGGCCGTTTATTCCAAACAATCATCAAGTAACGTTTTAGGAAATTAAATTAGAGAATAATTTGATCAATTTTTCCTTTGTGAAATCCCAACACTATTCACTTACAATTTGTGACAACTTTTCACCTATCCATGGCAGACACGGGCGGAGCTATGGGGAAGAGGTGGTGGGAATGGTGGGAAGGGGGAGCTTTGGGCTGAACTCCCCCCAAAATGGTAAAATATAACCATGTTTTACGAAAAAAAATATTATCTCTTAAAGTATTATTGTTCGTGTAATTACATTTAAAAGGACTTTAGAAAATCACTTAAACACCGTTTCAAATAGGTAGTTAATTTCTTTCTATTTTTCCTAAGTAATTATTGTTATTTTAATGAAAAAAAAGTTTTCGGGCTGAAGCCCCTCCCAAAAAAATAAATAAATCCTGTATCCGCTAGTGATGGCAGACAATGAAAACCTCGTAATTTCATTTTAGTAAACATTACAATGGAAAATAACAGTTTAATAACTAGTAGTTATACAATAGATAATCATTTATAGGTTAAATATTCAGATGTACAATACTTTCAAATCTCTCAAGGCATATGTGAGACAGAATGACTAACTCCAATTTCAACATTCTTTATTATTAATTTTAGTGATGTTTCTAGTGGCAAAATTTATACCTTTATTCCTAGATCTATATTTCAACACCTACTCTAGAATCAACTTACTTACTGTCTGTATAGATAGATTTTTTCCAACTAGAAATATCACTAAAATGTTATTACTCAAAAATGTTGAAATTGGAGTGAGTCATTCTGTCAACTGAAACGCTCAGATATTGAAGTTATGTGGTTTATAAAGGCAGATGGAGTAACTACATTTTTATTGTCAACCGTCGATATAATAAATAGACTTTTTGTAATTTTAATGGTCTTAATGATTTGTTATATATAAGCTTTAGCTCCAGTTTAAATGCACTTCAAAAATGTTATAATAGCCCAACATTGCCAGAAAATAATTTCTATTCAAAGTAGAGCGGTAAGTGAAAGTTGTGTGTTGTGCGCACCAGATTTTTTTCTGTTCAAAGCTCATCAGTAACCAAAATGGACTATGTTATCAAATAAGTGGATCTCGACTTCATACATATTCAAGACTGGAATTACCGCATTGTCGGACTAACATATAAGTTCTGTTAAACTCTAGGAGATAAAACAAAAGCTAAATTTTGAAAATTTTATTCCAGTATTGACTAACTAATGTCGTATTTTTATAATTACATAATATAATTTTGCATAGTTATATTTCACAATAAAATGTCAATTTTAACTAGATAATAATATTTTTAATGATAATATTTTTTTTTTTTCAATATACCGTTTGCCTCTTCTTATATGGTGCTTTATAATATCGATGGCTTGCCTCTAAAAGCTTTCAAGTCAATGAAAACAAATTTGACACAAAATAAAAAAAAAATAAAACTGTTATTCTTTTAGGATAATTTTTTTTCTTTTTGCATATTGAAAAACCTAGACATTTTTATAATCATGCCACACATTATATGTATTAAAGTAAATAAATAATTTAAAATTAATCTATCTAATATATAAAAAAAAATTTAGTTTTAGTGTCTTTCATATTTTATTTTATTTTAGTATTAGGAGAGTAGGAGAAAACAGGTGCTAAGCTTTGTAGCGCTGCTTTCCCATGATGATTATTTCACAAATTATACAGCTGCTCATTTAATTGCATACGTGTCGATCTCCTGTTACCTCCTACTCTCCTAATACAAAATAAAGATTTTAAATACAACCTGAAAAAATAAAACTAAAATGAAATGCCGGTCGAAAGCGTTTTCAGTTTAATGGCTTTATTCCAAAAACTATTTTATAGAATAAAAACTACATTTACGAGAAGCTTGCTAGCGTAGTTTCATAGCTTTCCAAACTGATAAACACATGATGCCATAATGGCTAATATTTCCTCAAATAAACAACCCATCTAACGAAAAAGAATTCAATAGTGTTTCATTCCTAAAATTCGCACATTTAACTGCAAACAAACTCTTCAGTGTCAGTACAGATTCATTTGGAATAGTTTTAATATTAAGTCATTTTAAACATAAGCATACTAACTTTTATTGCACTGTGCTCTTTCTGCTTCTACTTAATTTTTCTTTTCTTCTCGTTTTACGTCTACTGCATTTGTACTACTGTAAACTACTGCATTTGTAAAACCAATATTTCTGTTTCGGTAGCATATAAAAAAAAATCCAAATGTGATGGTGTGATCCTGGTGTAAGAAATGGCGCATTAAGATAAACAAATCCAAATGTAAACACATACCTTTGCCCTTTGTAGTAAATCCTGTCCACCAGTTTTTTTTAACACCATCCAGTTTCCTTTCTCAGATACAATCCTGTATCTTGGCTTTCTCTCAGACAGAAGACCAACATGGAACCCCCATACTAGACTTAAAAGACAGGAAATTAACCGAAGATACGGCCAACTATTCAGACTACTAAACAGAAAATCTAAACTTTCTGTTGAAAACAAGTTACTGATCTACAAGAAAATAATGAATCCTATTTGGACTTACAAACCCAACAAAATCCTACATCATGATTTCAACATCTCATTTATCCTAGACCTTATCCCAGAAAAATTCTCCAAATTTCACCGAAACCTTACGTGTCACCCAAATCCTCTTTTACAATCCCTATCAAGCACCACCCATCCCTGTAATCCTCCAAGAAGGTTAAAACGGCAGTAGCCCCGCCACCTTTTCTAAATTGTATGTATTAGAGTTCTGGCAATGGTCAGATTCTCCACTCAAGACAAGAATGTATTTGGCTAAAGCGCTCTCGATCAATCTCAGCTGGCTTTAGTACCACTGATGCGGTTGAGACAGTAGGATGGAAACATTATTTGGTGGTAGAGAAGTACAATAGAAAGATGAAGAGTGTAGCACTATACATGCCATTAGTGAGAACCGAATTAGGTGGCAGAGGACTGTAGGTGCTTAAGCCAGTGCCTCTTTTCCGCTGTTTAAGTTCATTTTCTAAAGAATCCTTCCAAATATATTAAAAATTAATGAGTGATTTAGAAACAGAAGTGTGTTTTCTAGATGCTTTATCTTAAGGCGTGTTTCGTTGTTGTTGGCCATTTAATTACAAATGACGCTTGATTTTCAGCATTAATTTGAACGACTTGAAGGAATTGACATTACTGATTTTTTTTTTATTGCCAAGGCCAATTAGTTTTAAAGAATGTTGATGATTTATTATTCTCTGACTATCCAGCTTTAATAATAAGCCAACTGCAGAATCTCAGTGACCGAACCAAAGGAATCGTTTGGACGCTATTTAAGGAGAGTGCGGCCACATTATTCTGTGGGTACATTTGCTTTCATTTAATACATAGTTACGAGGAACACACTGATATGCAAGTTATAGTGATGTGGTGGAGAGAGCATGAGAGGAAGATCTGGTCCACGGTCTATCCTCTCCCGGCAAACCTTTCCTCTCCCCCTCCCCCCTCCCTCCCTTCAAGATATTAAAACGAATAAATATTTACTTCACTGACTCATATCAGACAGATTATTGAAGAAAAAAGACAGTTGCATACGATAAAACATGAAAAATAATATAAATGGAAAATAAAATTTTCTAAACTTCGAAAATCTGTATCTCGTAAACTATTTAATTTACCGACCCTGTTTTGGTCTTAAATTGTTGCATATTTAATCTAGTTTAGTATAGTATGGGTTTTCTAGAAAACGTGCTGTTTCGTCGATAAAGTGGGGAGAATCGTAAAAAGTGCAAAAATATATCGCATGCATATTATATGCAGTTTTTGAAATATTCAAAAGTGATACGACGAGGGGGACACCGAGCTCGAAAACTTGGATTTTACATCTCAGTTATATCACATGCAAGAATATAAAAAGAAACCTTCTACACCCATGCATTGCAACTTACGATGAACAATGTTACTGGGTTAGTATTATTGGAAAAATACCTGTATTATTATCGGTATGATTGGAAAATAAGATATTTTTTAAATCAAAAGCAGAAGGAAATTTAATTTAATAGCTAGGAATTAAATATGAATTATCTTACTTAAGTTTTCGAACAATGAGATTTTCATTACTCTATGTGCGTAAAACACAACAACAAACCTTCCTAGACTGTAACATTCATTGACGGCGTTTGAGTTCAATTAGTTGAATTTTCATTATTTACGTAGATAAATCCTATGGCTAAGCATCATCCCGATCTTATTTTTTGTAGAAAGCAACCTGGAGTCGGTAAGTTTTTCACTGTTTTATTTAAAGTGAATAGTTTCTCTCCTTTTTTTAAAAGTAACATAAATACTTTTTCTATTAAGTTACTCCTATAACTGCATTTTTCATTTATCAATTGAAATATTCTGTTTTACAATTCAATTCTTAAAAAAAAAATGTGATTTTGCATAAGGGTATTAACTTTATTCTGAAAATGGTTTCAAAATTGATTGTTATGGTGATTTCAATTTTAGTCTAACCATGACAATTAAAATAAAGCAAACCATTTTGAGTAAAGTAAAAATGATTTTATTGAATGGTGGCTGCAGGATTTTCATTTATCTCCGGTCATTGGTAACAAGTTAACAAGTCTGTTTATTGCGGTATACATATTGCCTCCAAACACTTTTTTGTTTGTGGAATTTTATGTGATCAATATGACACTTATCTGGCTGTCAACCAGTGACCCCTAGTTCACAAGTATCAGAACTGATTGAAATTTGTGAAATACCTTAATTTTCTATAATAGTAGACAAGCATTGCTTATTAATGAAATATCAAACTTTACTAAAGCACCATCCTAAAAAAGGTTAGATATCAATTGTGTATTGAAATAAGTAACAGAACAGAGTGCATTACTCAATTTCAATAAAATTTTATTTTGTTTGTGAGGTAATATGCCATTTCTTTTAGGTTAGTTTAGATCCAATATTTATTTTATCAACTGCCAGGTTTTCTCCCTTTATTAATTATTTAATTAAGAGTACCCACTTTATATAGGCTAGTTGTGCCCAAGGAGGGTTTCTTGACCCCAGGGCCAATGAAATAGAATAAATAATTTTTCTGCCATGAACTGGAATTCGATTTTTGAGCATCGGAAGCTCAGTGGCCTACCACTGAACTACCCCATTCATCATTGTCTATGGTGATTATTATTTCATATCATGAGAAAAAATTATTTAACTGCTTTCAGTTGTAATTTGACCCTATTATTGCCCAGCGACATAAATGATATCAAAATTTTGAAATGACTGACATATTATTTAAAATATAATTGTAATATATATCTTTCTAATATGTTAAAATATTTATTTTGTTTTATCATTGCTTGTAGCTATTGGTCGTTTATGCGAAAAATGTGATGGAAAGTGTGTTATTTGTGACTCCTATGTGAGGCCTTGTACTCTTGTAAGAATTTGTGATGAATGTAATTATGGATCTTACCAAGGGAGGTGTGTGATATGCGGTGGACCAGGAGTATCTGATGCTTATTATTGCAAGGAATGTACTGTTCAAGAAAAAGATGTGAGTTTATTATTATTTTAAAAAATTGTCATAAACAGGAATTTATCTTTGGTTTGGTTTTTACTACATATTTTTCTAGAAGTACATTTAAAATTTATTGCTATGAATTTAGATAATAAAAGTATAGTGCTTGAATTTGAAAGATTTAAGGTCCTTAAAATTATTTAAATTTTATTCTTTATTATGTCTAGTAGTTTATAAAAAGATAAGTTATACTTTAAAGATATTAATTTACTAGTTAGTCTAAACTTTAGTGTTAGAACTGTTTCTAATTTAAACTTTTTATATTTCAATTAGTATAAATTATTTATTTTCATTTAGTTATTGTAATCAGATAAATATTTATTTATGTTCATTACTAACTTTTATCATTAACTTAATGTTTAAAATTAAAATTTTATTGTTTTATTCTTTAAATGATTTTTATTGTTTTAGCGAGACGGGTGTCCGAAGATAGTCAATCTTGGTAGTTCTAAAACTGATCTCTTTTACGAAAGAAAGAAGTATGGCTTCAAAAAAAGATAATTTTTACATATTGTTTTATATGAGTTTTTCTTTATATTAAACTTTGTTTCTTTTCAATCATTATGAATGTATTTTTCATTTTTATATATTAAAGTATGAATTCATCGTATATTTTATGTTACATAAGATTTTTCTGTGTATTTTTTTTTTTTTTTTTTCATTTAAGAACTCATTGTAGATGAAAATAGTTATAGAATTAGCCAATTTTATTATTGAAGCTCTCAATTTGGTTAGTTTAGACCTTATTATTAAAACAAAATATAATATTTTTTACTTCTAAACTTGAAGTCAATTTAATTTAATTTCTTTTTATCTTTACCCTTAATTAATTAAAACAGTGCTTATTGCATTGATCTATATTAATTATGAAATATATTTGTTTGAATACTTGCATTATATACTATTAATTCAGCTCATTTAACAATTATATTACATATGATAAACTTATTTTCAACTTGTATCTCATGTTCGGCTACATAATAACATCATAGTAAGTAGAAATTATGAAAAATAATACTTTATCATGTTTCAGTTCAGATTTAAGTTGATCTGTACATATCATCTTCTGGCTTGAATAATGAAACAAATTAATGTTTTAACATCTCGATTGAAATGGTTGTAATTTTTTGAATTTCTAGTTAATTTTTCACTAAATATTTTTTTGACTGCAAATGATTTGAAACATTTTCAGAGTTGTCCCATTATTCGAGCTATATTTGATATATAATTCCCTATAAGAATTTTAAAAATCTCACATTTATTATATTCTTTGCATTTATATTGGTTGCTAATCATATAATTTCTGGCAATACTTTTGAAGCGAGATTATCCTAATCTGTTTCAAATATAAATTATTATATATCAATATATCAAAAAAAGTTCAGCTGATTTTGTGTTATGTAACATTTGAACAAACTGGGCATGAGTATTTTAAACCTCCTATGGTAGGATTTAAATTCAGAAAATATATATTTTTACTAAACTGAACTTTTGATTTTAGTTAATTTATTTTGATAAATATGTCTAGTTTGCTTTTAAAAGTTATTTTATCAAAATTACATTATTTGATTTTGTTTACTAAAATGAAAACCGACTTTAATCATATTAAAATGACATGTTCAGCAAGATTAGTTATAAGCCATCTAACTAGATTATAATCATCATTTATTAATAAATGGGAGTACAAAGTGCTTCTTGAAGTGATCTCTGACTTAAAAATGCTAATCTTTGTATTGAAATAAAGTCGTCCTTATTTATTTCTGTGGCATCAAAGATTTGAAGTTTATTGCTGCCTATCATACTGCCTGTAGCACTGAAAGAATGGTAAGAGTTAGTAAAGGTTTTGACTGGCTCAATATAAGAAAGTAAGTAAATTATTGTGTGTTACATGATAATTTTTCCAATTTCTAAATCAGGAAGTTCTCTATCAATATTGTAGAACACTCCTTGCAAAATATGCCCTGATTCACTGCGAATAAACAGGAGATCCATGCAGTCCTTTTTTATTTTACTCTCCATAATTCCTATTAACAGACATCTATCTTTAATATCACTTCAGTTATTATATACAAATTAATAAATAATAATTATACTGCATTAAAAAATCTCTAAATTAAATTTATATGTACTATTACATTAGATTTTTTTTAATTGAATTAGTTTAAAATATTTTAGTATCTATTTCTTGTTATTACATAACGTTTTTAGTGGCCGTGTCATATTTTATTATACATATAAAAAGCAAAAATAAATTAATAAATCAATTTAAAAGATAGATCTGAGCTGTTTCTCCACTCTTCCTTAGCTTAGCCTCCAGTAACTGAGTGAGATATACCTTCTTATTATACTTTTATAATAATTTCAGTGACATTGACTTTAAATGAAATAAAAATGAAAGTTTTAATAATGGTGATGTGGAACTGTGAGCGCTCAACATCAGGTCATTGCTTAAGCTTGTTAGTGTTGCATAATTTGTGAGGTACCATCTTAGCCAGTAAAAGTAAAACAAAAACAATAATAAAAGAAAAATTGAGAAAGGAAAAATAAATTTTGAATAAATAATAATTTAACTTATAACAATACTACTTATGCAAGACAAAACCTAAACTTTTATCTTAAATACTAAAAGTACATTTTAGGCATCAATAAATATTTTCCGAAATGAACCGAATCTGCATATAATTGAAATGTTAATACTACTAACTATTGTATCCTAACAATTAGTTAAAACATAATATATGTTCTGCTTTAGTGTATACTTAATTTACCTGCTATTTCATAATGTAATTCAAATTCCATGTTTTTAGCCATTTTATACCATCTAATAACTTGATCTACAGTTCCTATTAAGTATCTGGTCCTGGTACCAATCAATGCCTGCAATATAAATAACATTATTTTCCTTGAATTATTATATTTTTTATGTATAGCCAATAAAATATTAGTAAAATTGTATTAAAATAATTTTATAATCAACTACATGATGATTAATAGTTAATCTCTTTAAATATGTACTGTGCTATTTTATATTGATCTAATAATGTACCATTTTAAGACATACTTTATTTACTAGATTTCTGAGCTATGTGTCTTTCCAGTTATGCCATATTAACTTTTAAATTGTCTCTACTAAACAGTATCTTTAAGTGAATGGGTTTATTTATCTTTTATATATCAAGATCAAGTTTACGATGATCAATCTATAGACAAGAGGAATCAAGGAAATATTTTCTAAACCAACTAATCTACAGATTTTGACTTAAATAAGAGAGTGAAATGTTTTGGCTTGTTCTTCATTATAAAGGTTTCTAGAGTGTGCATAGCTTTCCACTATACTATAAAACCAAATTTAAATAATACTAATGTACAAGTAAATATATATTTTCCTGTACCAGTGTCTGTGATATTTCTTCAATGGTCTATTCATTGAACGGTTATTTGTTACTGTAAAGGGATATGTTTTCCTTTGTATAGTAACTGTAGCCTTGCAAATCCCCCTTTAATTTTTCCCCATGATTTTTTATTTGGGGATACCTGTTGTGTCTAGACATTCAGGTATGGAAGGAAAAATAAACGATATTTTTATGTTAGTATCTATTTTAATCCAAATATTATCCACTGTATAAGTTTACATCTGTTGTGATTATAAGTAAACAGTTAGATAAAAAAATCATCAATTTGGCAATGATCCAATGGCAAATTGGAAAATGATCGAAGGTATGTATTAATCCCATAATCCAAGTTTAGTTTTTTGTAGTTTACTTTACTTTTTTTAAACAAAGTTTCAACATACATATTTTAATAACAGATAAAATTTAACTTAGACAATTCGAACATTTATATTATAAACTTGTATAAAATTTTAAATAGTTTGACTTATCCAAATTTTAAAACAGTCAGAGATATATAATAAAAACAAATATTTATTTATTTTACCTTTTGGTTTTTTTGTTGACTACTCTCCATATACCTGCTTCTTGTTTCAGTATTTTCACTGAATTTGGAAGAAGCCTTTCCACTTCTATTAGAAATAATGCTTGAATCGCATAATCCACTTTCATTATAATTCCCTTCTGTTGCATATGAAAACTTCCTTTTTGTCTGGTTTTCTCCAGAACATCCTTCCTTATCATCTATTTTCTCATCATTATACTGTTTGAATGTAGGTAATAAGTTTTTATTTGAGAAGTTTTGTCTGCTCATTGTACTATTAGTTCCATTTACAGTTCTGTTATAGAAGGTATTAGTTTTGTTTGCTTCACATCTTTTACTGTTTTGGCTTTGACTTGAGCCAAATTTAAATGATGAACTACAAACTTTTGATGCAAAGCTGTACTCATCAGGCTCAGAAAATTGTGGATAAACATCTCTCGAACTAAAAAAAAAAAATATTAAAAAAGGTATTAAATTAAACATTGTCTTAACATAACATTATGTTAGATATACAATATTAACGATAAAAGTATCTTCCACTTTTTTCTTTACTTCAGATTATTTCAACTATTAAAAAAGACATGAAATTTTAATGACAACGAATTTCATATTTAAATGAAATTTAAATACTTAAATTTAAAGCACTGAAAAATAATAAAAAAATTAGGACATATTGAGGTATAGAGCTAGTGGTGGATAATTAGCCCAAAAGGAAGTAGTTTGAAGAAATACTTTTCCATCGTACAGTCGAGGCTACAGGTAAAGTTGGTCCTCCGGGACTAGTGGATTTCCCAATTCCTCACTAGGTATGCAGGTCTGTCGAGGCGATGGCTTCTGGGTGGCGTCTGATGAAGACAAAGCTGAGGAATTCGCCAAACAACTCTCCTGTACATTTTCTCCTCATCCTGAATCCCATTCCATCTATTCTATACTGCAGAAGTAGAAAAATTCCTCTCCTCACCAATTCCACTTTCCCTGCCACCAAAAGCAGTTCATCTTTCTGAGGTCAAATATCATTTACAAAAATTATCTTCCCGCAAATCTCTTGAATACGACCTTCTAACCCCACAGATCCTTCTAACTACCACCCAAAGCGGTCATGTTCCTCACATATATATACAGCTGCATCCTAAGAACTACCCATTTTCCTCTCGTATTCCACTGGAAACATTCCACCATCATCCTTTTCCTGAAACCAGCCAAACCTTCCAATAACACATCATCCTATAGACCAATCAGCCTACTCCCAATCCTTTCAAAAATATTTGAAAAAAATCCTATTAAAAGGAATCCTACCCATAATAGAATCACAAAACCTTCCTACCCATCAATTCGGATTTCGTTTCCAGCATTTCACCGTTCTACAAGGACTCTGAATTGTTGACCACATATCCTCAGCCTTAGAAAGCAAAGAGTATTGCTCGGGAGCATTCCTGGACATCGAGCAAGCTTTCGACCGCGTATGGCACACCGGATTACTCTTCAAGCTCAAAACCCACCTACCCCCAGTCCTTATATCTAATACTCCGATCCTTCCTCTCTGACCACTCCTTTCGAGTTCGTTGTGGTACAGAATTCTCCAACTGCCATTCAATTGAGGCGGGAGTTCCTCAAGGTAGCGTCTTGAGTCCCGTCCTCTACTTTTTGTTTACCGCTGATATTTCTACTCATCCCGAAACCTTCTTGGCAACATTCACTGATGACACAGCCATCCTATCTTCCAATCCAGATTCTAAAACAGCATCCTCAAACCTACAAAGTCACCTTTCTCTTATTGAACATTGGTGTAATAAGTGGAGCATCCAAGTAAATGAATCCAAATCCAAACACATCACTTTTACTCTTCGGCGCAAGTCCTGTCCACCAGTCTATTTCAAATCCATACCACTTCCTCTCTCAGACACAGTCCGGTATCTTGGCTTTCTTCTAGATAAAAGACTAACGTGGAACCCACATACCAGACTTAAAAGACAACAACTTAACAGACGATACGGACAACTAATGAATAGAAAATCTCAACTTTCAGTCGACAACAAACTACTAATCTACAAGACAATCCTGAACCTACAGACTACAGCTGTGGGGGTCAATAAAACCTTTTAACATTAAGCGTATTCAATCTTTTCAGTCTAAAGTCCTCCGAACAATAGTTGATGCTCCCTTCTATGTAACCAATAAAACCTTCCATAATGACCTTCATATCCTATTTGTTATTGACCTAATCCCAGACAAATTTTCGAAATTTCACCAGAAACTCACTCATCGTCCAAATCCTGTAGCACAATCTCTATCTAGCTCCAGCCATCCCTGCAATCCTCCCCAGAGATTAAAACGGCAGTGGCCTCGCGACCTTTTGTAAATATGTATATACTGGAGTACTGCCAATGGCCAGATTCTCCACTCAAGTCCCGAGCGTCTGTTGCTCTAGTGCTCTCCATCAATCTCAACTGGCTTGCAATACCAGTGACGAGGCTGGGAGAGAAGCACTGTGATCTCCTGGGGTCCTGTATTGGCTTCCACATTTGGGGGACAAAGCATGACTCGGAATCCCCTGGGCGAATGTAAATATTGTATATAGGTCTGAATGTGCTTCATATATTTCAATTTCATTTAGTTTCTCTCTTTTTTTTTTTTTTTTTTTTTTACCTATGTATGTTAATTTTGTTATTTTACTTTCTACAACTCTTTTTCTTTTATCTCTATTTTAGTTATCATTTGTATATTTATATAGTGTAAATGTTTAATGTAGCCCTAATATTAATGCCCTCCAATATGGCAGAATGTATTAATTCTCAAATTAAAAAAAAATTGTGCAGGATTTCGAACTAAGCTTTAAAGTCTTGGCTTTGATGTAGATCCTGTATGTCCAACCTGTGGTGTTCCTTTACCTTTACCGAATTTGAAGTGTCAAAGGCCACAATGATGAGAGTAGCAGGAATCTATGTCCTCACTGAAAATGAGTTTCCTCAGTTATTCAGTGAGAACAATTTTTAGTGGTTCAATGAATTCGTAAATGGCTGGAGGACAGAGATGGATAAAGCTCACTTCAATATAGATGCTCACAGAAACAGAAGAGTACAAGTGCCAGGAAGATCTCCAGATTCTAGATTCCAGTCTCAAGTGATGGAGAGAAGAAAAGTAAAAACAGCTGGCTGTGCACAGCTCTCAATATTGTGTCCTGCTATACTAGCAGTAGTGTGTTATTAAGCAATCATGCTTAATATCGAATTACCCCATACAGTGTATTAGCATGGCAGGCTGTAAATAAATGAATAAAGAAAGAGTAATTGTATTTGATTTACAATTTTTCTAGTACGATTTTCATTTGTACTGTTTTCAATATGAGTGGAGGAAAAAAAAAATTCTTTGGAAGGGGATTCTTACGCTAACGAACCTGTGGAGGGGAGATGGAGCTCTTCTAACGTCATGTACAAAATTTTGACCTTCTCCCATTGTCATTATTTACGTTTATTCGTCATTCCTGTAATTTATTTGTTACATAGGTATAGTGGGCGGAATGGCCGAATGGGCTAACGCGTGTGCACAGCACCGCCGTTGCCTGGCAACCTGATATATGACAAATGATATAAAAATAGTCAGGAGTTCGTGGTCCCGGTGCCGAGGGAGTCTTTTAAATCCCCTTCCTCACTCCTAGGCCAGGGAAAACCCCCGTATAGCCTTAACGGCGAGGAAGGGGAAGTCCCAAAATAGAAAAAATAAATAAATAAAGTTCTATCTGTAAATTCGGTGTTAAATACTGCATGTAGTATGTCATACGTATTTCCTGGATTAAGTAAATTGTGGCTATTTTTTTTTATTTATATATTCATTTTGAATCTTTATACTTATCCTTCATATCAAAATCAGTCCGAAAGCAAATTGAGCCTGAATGTAGGCAAACAGGTAAAAAAATATTAAATACTAAATATTTTACAAGCTGTCCTCCATACCCTCTTCCGACCAATCTCAACCATTTCAAGTAAAAGTTAATAATCAAAAATAATTACCTCATATGCAGCTCTAAATTAGAAGCACTTTCTTCACAAAACTGTTTCTTGATTCCACTACGTTTTTTTCCTGGAAAAAAAATGAGTAATAAAATTGAAAAATAATTTATTTTGTTTGTCAAGCAGACTCCAGTAGAAAATAAAACCTTGCAGGCCCAAGGCGGAGCCCCGAGGCTACGGCCCTGCCTGCTTCCCTCCCCATCTCGTAAGGCTGTTGTAAAAAAATCTGGTGCTGTGAGTGCATCACATAATTTTCACATACCACCCTACTTTGAGTAAAAATAGGTTTTAAATCATTTGTTGTTTTATGCTCAAAACATCTAATTCATTACCTCCCGATTAATAAAGTAATGCTACTATAAAATATTTAGCTAGTAGGAATTGAAAGTAAAAATCATAGATGATACATATTATTTTTAAAAATAATTACTATATGTTTTTCTGGTATAGTCTATTAAATATATGCGTTTTTCCTCACTAACCATTTTATTGTACGATTGTATATTTTAATTATAATAAATAATTAAGTGCCAAGAATTTTTTTTTAGACCGACAGGAGTTCCAGTAAGGAGGTTCGATATTCATTTATATTTCATTGTGGGTAATTGTTTTGATTAATTCTGCTATATATACAAATTTTAATTTCTGAATTCATTTATGAAAACCGTACATATATAGGGGGTTTCAGGATTAACTGGCCAAACTGAAAATATGAACTAAGGACCTCAAAACAAGAAAAAAAAATTCATCTGTAGGTATATCCGCAAACGCTTTGTTTGGGAGATATTCACACCTAAAGATTTTCATTGTTATGAATTATTTACGTTATATTAAGTAAATAAAACTTACTTATTTGTTCCAAATACTTTATTCATTAAACGTAAACATTAAATTCATAAATTATAAACATTAAATTCAAAGTGTGTTTCTATGAGAACTCTGCCACTTCGAAAATTTTCTCAATCGTAATACTCACCCTCACTATATATTTCATATATGGATAAGTGAAAGTAAAAGAACATTGAAGTAAAGTGATTGTAATTGTTTCATATACCCCAAAATTCATTAAGAAAAATACCTTTTGTATTGCAATATTTATAAACACAGACATAGTATTCGACTGGTAGAAAGCCTTTTTACATTCAAATAAAATATCAAAATATCAGTTTTTGTAAATTAATTGTTAATTTTTTTTTTAATGACAGTATCAAACTAATACATACATATACCTAAAGCAATAAACTTCTAATGATTCTATTTACACAGCGTATTAAAATAAATCAGTTGCTAACATTATATAAATGGAATAAATTTTGAATTACAATCTTAGGGAGTATAAATGAAAAGTGGTATTGATGAAATAAAAGTTATAGGTTAAATATCATCTTAATAGGAAACAAATCAATAAAAGAAGATCCATAGTTAAAATATTTAAATATCATTAAAATCTTGAATATAGCAATAATATTTTTCTTAATTTATAAATGAGTTGATTAATTACGTACTAAAGCTTCTTAAATATTAATTCCTTTTCATTATAACTTTATTACATTTGAACTAAATCATTTTCATATTTCCACAAAACGATTTATTTAATTTTAATTTTTTTCCTTTTCAACAAATTAAAACATCATAAACTACAGTAAATAGGAATTAAATTGTGGCAAATTATTAATGGCTTACCAGTGAAATCAGGTTTATAATTATAATTTCTGCTAAATGACATTTTATCCAGACAGATAATTAAAGATTTAACTTTTTTGGCACTACGCGAGTCAAATGAGAACGATCTAATTGAATTTGTTTTGTTTTTTAAATAATTTTATTCTTCCACAAGTATAAGAAAAAAAAAACTCAAAAATATATATTCATGGATACTTAATATCCATAATTCATATTTAATAATCTAATAAAATGTTTTTAATTACTAGTATTTTTTTTATAGAGTATGCATTTATTATACGTAGTTTTTCTTTTTCTAGAGCGATGAAATACATAAATTTAATATATTTTAATCTTTGTCAGGATGTTTTACATTAATAATGAAGCTAAATTTCGTTCTTTTAAAAAATACTATGAGATATTCAAATATAATTTTAATTTTAAAGTAATCAAGTTGATATTATGACAGCAATAAAAGTTCAGTACCAAACTGACTTTTTAAAATAGTGATTATACTTAAACCGTTGATTTATTTTTAACAAAAAAAAAAATAACGATTATGACAACAGGAAGCATCTTTGACGTATTTTTTAATTTGTTTATATTTCCAAGGATATAGTCAACATTAAAGCACAAATGATGAAGGGGGGCTCAAACCTATAAAGCAAAAAATTAATATATTTATCTATATTTCATTTTGTGAAAAAAGCCTATTTTTCTCATAAATTCATAAGTATTAAGATGTGAAATATTATGATTAAAACAAATCTTCATGCTTTTCAGATATGTATAAATTGTTTTTTCCAAACCTTCAAAATATTGTTTTGGTTTTTCACTTCTAAACTGGCTGCACTGATTACTATTGTCTTCCATTTCAGTACAACACGTGAGCACAGTTGGTTATTTAACTATTGTAAGTGTTTTCATTATTATTTTTTTTAGTAGCAATATCTAACATCTTCAATTCTTTAAGTATTGGTTTTATAGGTCGCAATGGAGAACGACGCTGGAGAGTTTGTTGATTTATATTGTCCCAGAAAATGGTAATTTATTTGTTGCATTGATTTTTAGTGTAATCAATTTCCATTTTATAACATTTCTTGTTTTTAGCTCTGCAAGTAATCGCATTATTCATGCCAAAGACCATGCATCAATTCAATTGAATATTGCTGAAATAGATCCAGATACTGGAAGAATTACTGACAAATCAAAAATGTATGCCATCTGTGGAAGCATCAGACGAATGGTATAACTTACAGCATTTTTTTTATTGAAATTTTCAGTTATACCATACTTTGTCTTAATTCTAACCATGTTATTTTATCTAGGGAGAGTCTGATGACTGCATTACCAGGCTAGCAAAAGCTGATGGCATTTTACCCAAGTAAGTATTATGATTAATGTATAATTGTTTCTCTGTGTTTAGCATTACATTTGTTATTAACTAATGTCTTTCCACTATATTGGATGGACACCAGATTACATGGTCACATTTTAATGTATCTGTCTTGAGAGAGATTGGGTTAGTTTAAATTTCCAAGTGTAACCACAATATCATGTTTCTGACTAACAATTATGACCCTAGGTATTATTTCTGACTAATAACAAGTTTTATGTTTCCGACAGTCAACTCCTTTTACTTTATTGGATTATTAAGTTTAATAACTTAAATTAATGACAAATGTGAAGCTGAGAATTCATCTGTAATAATATTGTCTAAAGTGAGTTAACTTATTAGAAATTACCACAATACGTACATATAAGGGTAGGAGAAGGGGTTTTAGGGCGATGAATTGCAGGATTATTATGAAAATCCTACCTGTAGATACTTGTAATATACCAACAAAAATTAATGGTACTACTGCAGAAGGGTACTAGTTCACATGAATTCTGCATGGATTACGCATGGTTCACAGTTCATGGAATCCTGAAAACAACTGAATGTTGCCGTCTTTTATGATGCCAGCTATTGCCTCCACCATGCAATCTCTTTTCATTCATTTTTTAAAAACCTGCCTATTCCCAACATAGAACTTCCTTATTAACGAATTATGTATTTACTAATTTGTTAATTATTAATTTTTATTATAACTGTAAATATTCTGGAAGAAAAATATATAAAATAAAATGCTTTTGGGATTAAAATTTTTATTGACACGTGCTTACATGTAGTTGCTGTAAATAGAGTTACACTATTGTATATTATCTTTTATAATTGTGTATCAAAGATATTTTTTATCATTTTGGATAATAAATAATATTAAGTTATCTATTATCTTATTATTCGTCATTAGAGTTTTTCAATGAAATTGAAATATTTGAATTTATAATTTATTTTGGCAAGCCTTTTTTTAGAATTGTGTAAACGTCAATCTAGTTAATGTAACTTTATAGAATTCTTAGATATAAAGATCCACTATTTTCTAGTCGTCTGAGCTTTTTATGAATATACTGTGTGATTCGAAATTGTGCATAGAGTTTTTGTAACATTTTGGATTTCTTACATATAAGAGGCTATTACAACGTTGTCAAGGATGCATTTTATCGTAATAATGTCATATTAAAGATTGCGTGAAAAGTGGATTATTTTAATGAAACAAAAAAAATTATGAAAACCCGATACGCAATTGCACCAATCTTAAATTCGACAGTATTTACATAAAATTTGCCCCCAACAACATAATAGTGGACCCTTATATCAAAGGAACTCTTAAAGTTATAAAATAATATCCACAATAAGGAATTCTAAAATCCAATAGTATTTTCTTAAAAAGTGTCCCCACTAACATAAGGGTGGCCCCTTATTTTGAAGAAATCCAAGAATTTAATAAAAACTCAATTAGTAATCTTAAATCCAACAGTATTTTTATTGAAAGCATATAATAGTGAACCCTCATATCAGAAAAAAAAAAAAGTTATTCAAATGTCCAACCTCAACGGGACTCTTAGATCTGCCACTTAGTTGGACTATACAGTTAATTTGTAATCTTTTTTCTCATTTTAATAGCTATTATTTTTATTCAATGAATTAGCTGCGTAATTATTGTAATTTCCGAAAATGGGGATTTATTGTAGTCATTCGTAAAAAAAAAAAAAAAAAAAAAAAAAAATATTGTTTATTTCCGAGGAAGGCATTAACGTATTGGGGAAACAACTGACAAAGTATATCTTGTAATTACGATATAATGAATACTGAAAATCAATTAGAAAAATAAATATTGCTAATTAGAATTCAGAAGTATATTAGTTAAAGGATTTTATCCATTACTATTTATTTTCCACAGCTGTATAATATATGTACAAGTACGATTAAGGTTTCATGATGTAGCCTCAATTTTGAATATTAGTCTGCTCCTGCTGAATAACTGAACATGGTTAAAGATATAGAAGTATGCATTGCTTCATGTTCAGTTGGAAAATTTTAGTGCATGTGGCTTACCAGACTTGGCTCTGTCCAACTACTATTTATTTGCATCGATGGGGTACTCACTTACTCGGCAGTGTTTCGCTTATGGTAATGATGATGGATGACTGGTACACCACAAAAGAACAATAGGTTTTCTGGCATGGCATTTGTATATTGCCAGAGAGATGGGAATAATTTATTGCTAGTGTTGAGCTTTATTTTTTAACATTTTTATGCAATAAACATATATTTTCTATATGGAAATTCTGTTAGTTATTTACATACATGGTAAATATACCAAACCTATGTAGTAGTTAATTAATCAATCAATACAATTCAGATCAAATTTTTTAAATGTAGTTTGGCTATATGTTTGGCAGCCCGAGGGCCAACTCATGTGGTAGTATCTAACTTCTAAGTGGTCTAACTTAAGGTAAAACTGATTTATTTTACACCAGTCACCAGGTCTGTAAATGATATTCAATTGAAGTGTTGGCTCTCAAAAATATTATTACTAAGTTTAAAAAAAAAATCCAATAATTTCTGTCTTGTTAAATTTTTTACTGATTAATATTAATATAACTCAAATCTATTCAGTGTAATTATTTAAAACTATCAGCTGCATGGGCAAAGCATACTACAACTTCTGCTGTGACAGCATAACCATTTTTCAGTTATTGATTTATATCTCCAAAGTTGTAGTTACGGTTAAAAATGTTTATATTTCAAGAATTTTGTATGATGAATCCCTATTAATTTTGTAACATGTAACCCTAAAACCATTAAACAATTATGGCAAAAATTTTGTTAATTGTCCAATCTCCATTGATCAGTAACCACTTGTAGTTAGTCCCTGACTGCATGAGTCACAGATCTCTTGGATGCTCTTTAGCTCATCAGAGATAACTGGTGAAGTGAATATCTAGTGAAAGAAGTGTTAAAGATAAAAATAAATAAAAGGAGTTAACTGGTTTTGGAATGCAATTTCTTTAGCATAAATTATTATTGCGTATTTTGATCTGTATAATATTATATTTTATGTTTTTCCATTATGTTAAAAGATTTTTAGTGACCCTGTCATATTTTATTTTACATATACAAAGCTGGACTGACCGCAACAAAAATACCACACTTGTTATTTCCAGAATTATTTCAATTAAAAATTTATCCATACTGTGGTTTCGTTCTGTTTATTTTTGTTAATAAAAAATAATACATTCTGAATACATGTAAATTATGGTTGTACTATCTGAGCAACAAGTAGTACAATTAAATGAAAAGTTGTATAATTTACGGGTTGGTCCGCTGTTTGGACAGGGGGTTACCCCCTAGTGTGTGTGTGTACATATATATATTATAATTTTATATGTAATACAGGACATATATTTATATTCTAATTTATTTTTTTATTTTCAGGAATTTCTAGACCAAGAATCTGAGTGAAATTCCCATCTAAAGTTAATTTTTATTATTTTTTTTTTTTTTTACTTCTGGATTATTAAAATTTTATTGATGTAAATTGTTAATTATTTTTCCTTTTCCTGTAATAACTGTTCTGCGTTATATTACCTTTAGTCTGAATCTATATCTTACTTTGTTCTCCAGGGATCAAGTATTTCCCTTCTTACTGTTCCCATCACCTTTATGGAAAGACTCCTGAATCTAATATCTTTTGTTGTGAGTTGATAGCAGTGTTTGTCAGAACCAGGATATTATTATCATAGCCTAGCCTAGCCTGAATGATTTTAGCAATTTAAGTGTATTGAAAATTCGAGGCCATTGTAAAAACTTCCAAAACAGGCGAAGAGATGAGGTAGTACTGGTGAGGCTGCATATAGGCACAAACATCTGACTCATGGTTACCTGATGGCTTGCGAATCTCCAACTGAATGCCAGACCTGCTGATGTCTGCTAACCGTGAAACGTAACAGAATACAAATCAAATAAAAACAAAATATCACTTTCATGATATTCCTGAAAATATTTATTCCACTTTACTAGACGATGTGCAGATCATTAACAGACATTTACTTTCTAAGATAAGACAGAGATTCGCATCATAATTTAACCATTGACACAAGTCAGTAATGACACTGGTGGTTGCTGCCTTCATAAAAAAAAAAAAAAGCTTTATTTTAATTATATAACCCTTTCATTGATATAATTAAAATTTAAGTGTTACTTTATATTATGATGTCAGCCCCTGTAAGATTTTCTCGAAAATGGTTCTAATAACAGGTTTTTTTCTCAGATTTTTATATCTTGGATATCACATGTTTGACAAAATACTTCGAGGACTTAACACCTAAAAAGGTTTATAATCTTCTTAAAAACTTTCTACTTTTGACCATACTGTATTAATTCAAAGAAAATTATGTACAGTGGACAGGGTCCAAGGTGGTATAGTGCCTAATATACTTCCTCTTCTTCCCAACTGTTCCCTCACAGTGGACCCTGTCAAGCTGAGTAACATGGATGGTGATTATAATAAATCCCTCCTGAAGTGAGAAGAGTTGGAAACCCTGGTTTGTCAACATAAAGACAGTCTAAGCAGTAGTGAGGGATAAACTTCACTGTGAAAACAGTTGCAGAGTTAGCTTGCTTTCTATGAAAGGATAAGATGTACTCAATATCCATAGAGTACATCCAAGGCACCCCAAAATGAAAGCCACCAGTCCCAAAGATGGGCAAAATCATAAACCATGATTACGGTGGAAAACAAAACTTAATGCCAATTTTATACTTGTTACAATAGGACTATAAATATAACAAAACTATGAAATTCAATACAGATTGTAATCCTAATCAAATATACACAGATTTCCTGTTTTGAGAAAGGCTAAAAGGAAAACGAGTATAAATCATTTTCTACTTTCTTGTAGTTGTCAGGAACACCTGTAAGAAATTTTGAATGCCAAAACTCGAAATAAAGTAGCAATTTATCGCCCTAATATCCCTGCCCTACCTACCTTAAGGTGAATATACCAGTTATGAACAGATTGAACTTTAAATGGGAGGGGTAGGTCGGACTTTGAATAAATGAAAAATAATAAGCTTTTCCTTGTTGATTTAAAGGTCCAGTTTTTTCTATATTGAAGAACAATTCCCTTTATTGACGACTTAATTAACATAGTTCCCAAAAGAAAATTTTGAAATGCCTATCATTGTCTCTATGCTATTGAGATCAGTGTGTTTCATACCTTCTTACTGACAGTTTTGCTAAGAGTAAGTTGAACATTTATCTTATCTTTATAGTTAAATAAAGATTTTAGAATTTGTCTGAGGTATGTCTATCGTTGGTACAGATCCCCTGTCCATTACTAGAACAATTGAATTTCGGGGTGTCCATCACAAGTGCAAAAGCTGTTGTTTTTTTTAAGTGGAGATTATACCTGCATAAATGAATATTTTTTCAATTTTAAAAATAAATAGAAAAGGAGTCCCTAGAGATTCTAAATGCCCAACGGAGAAGTTTATGACTATAATAATTACGGCGGCATAAGGCAAAATGTTCCTTAGCTGTGTCCACCACTAGAGCGCTTACCCTAATAGTATTGATTAGTGTTTTTCAAAAATAAAACTGGATACAGTCTCTTCCCCTGACCTTGAACCTACCTATCATGAAAAATTTTAAATGCTAGATGCTAGACCTTTTGAAAACCAATAGGGTGAGGATAATGATGGATGAACAATTCAGCAAGTGGGCCCTTTCGTGGTCCTTTTCGTCAACCTCTGATAGATAACTTGACGTTAACATCGCGGAATTAACAGAGTAGGAATGTTGGGGAAGGACTAACGCGTTGCGTAAAACAAGCGTCGCCTTAGCAACCTAATGATGAACCGAAGACAATGAGTTCAAATCGTGGTGTCAATCGGGGCTTTCAACTTATATAGCCTAAAAGACGAGGAGTGGAGAAAGAAAGTAGAGTGAGAATGTTAAGATTCATTTTCCGGGACCACTAAGAAATGAAAATGGACCGACCTAGGTGGAAATTGAACCCATAACATTCAGAACTTGGCACTCTGAGATCAACGTGCGCATCCCTCCTGTCCTCCCTGGCAAGAATAACATTGCAGCTGAAATCTTTAATTTTGGGGGGCGAGGGTAGGAATATTTGAGTAGAAAGTGCAAGTTAAAACTTGATTTTGGATACATGGGATGATGGAACTAGTAAAGTTTCAAAGAAACTATGTTATTCACAAAAATTCATCGCTTTTGAGATTCATAAAAGGGATCTTAACAACCATATTGCAAATATGGGAATACAGGAAAGTATGCCTAAAAATTGGTGTCCGAGAATGATAATTTCAATTTTTAAAAAAGGAGATAAAAATGTATCAAAACTACCGAGGTATAACGTTGTTAAATGAAGCATGTACATTTTATCAAATATTTTGACTGTAAGGCTTAAAATTTATTCTGAGTGGATTTTCACAGATTACCAATGTGGATTTAGACTAAAGGAACATCAGACCATATTTTCATTTTGTGGTAGGTCTTTGAAAAGTTTTATGAACTAAATACAGAGGTTCATTTGCTCTTTTACCGATTTTAAGAAAGCCTTTGATAGGTTCAATAAAATCCAGCTATTTAATGCTTTGAAAGATTTTAATGTATCTCTAAAACTAATTACTTTGATAAAAATGCCAATGCTCCGATACGCAGACTTGTGTTCTCTTTGGTAATCTTGTTCCATAAAATGTGTTTTGATTACTCAGCCGTGCAAAATTATTATTTGTGATATTGATCGAAATTTGACATATGTAGAAGACAGGTAAGCACCGATTCTTGAAGGGAGTGAAAGAAGAGGGCGTGCGCTAAGGTGACCCTGCTCCAGCATGCTTCCGAGTTTACGCTACAGTCTCCCGATATAAAGAGTGTTCATTATAGGACGGGTCAAAGCTATTTTACGAGAAAATGGTTAGTTTCAAAGAAAAATTCTAGAGGAAAAATTGTATAGCGTGTTTTCCCGACAAGATTCCATTATTAGTAACTAACTCCTCGTAAACATAAATACGTCCTAAAAAACAGTCAGACGCTAACAAACCGATTGAAATGTGTTATCAATATGGCAGGAATGGGGTTTCTTAAAGATCTACTGTGCAGGGATATACCACAAAGCCACGTGGTTCATTTTATTTAGTCGATAAACCTACGTTGACATCGTACCCACCTCAGTTATACCAGCCCCGGCCTTAAAGTGGGACAACCGGTGCCCCTGTCGGGGACGCTCACCACTTATTATAAATTGAAAAAAAAAATACGAAAAGTATTAAAATAACTAATTTTAGCCTATTAATAAGGCAACTGTAGAAATGTTAAACGAAATAAAATTAAAATATTTCATAATATAAAGCAGCTTAAGAAATGAATTTAATACTGATGCCTAGACACCTTGTAGGTTGTAATGGTAGTTTATTTTATTATTTATTTATTTGCAGGTAGAGAATCTTTGTATTTTTTTAATCTAGTTGATTCTTGAAATATTATGCAACTATAACGATTATCTAGAAGTCCCGAGAAAAACAAATCCTGGTGTCCTGAATCAAACGTGAATTCTTACTATGACTGAGGTAATTGGATATTTGCATTAAGGCAATTGAATTAAATTCCCCACTTGTGTCTTCTAATATTTTTGCGGGTTTAGTAAATTGAATTTTGGAATTCATATTCAGATTCAATCTCTGAATAAACCTCCAGCATCGTAATCAACTTATCTCACTTTTTTCTCCCACTAGCACTCCTAAATTTATTAGTGGTTCTTTGCTTCTTTCTCTACTTTGAATACATTACGTTCTCTATGGATAAGGAAGACGCTTAATAACCTTTTCTTGTATAATGACTTTTGAGTGAGACCTGGTTTTAAATTATTAAATTAAGTGAGAAGTTCAGAATTTTTCACTTGAAAATATCATTGCCTGTAGTGGATAGATTTATTTAAGTTAGTCAGGTTAGGGTGTGTATTTTACTTTTTAAATGATTTATTTTATCTGTATTTTTAAATTTATGTATTTTTAATAAATGTTCATCTTCGGTTAATCCAGTTAGGCTTCGAAAAATAAATTATTGATTCACTTTAATATACACCTGATGTGAATTACTGAGTCAGAATGCAGATACAGTTAATTGGAGTTTTAGAGGCTCATACTGGAAAAGTGTGGAATGTGAAATGGCATCCAGAAGGATCTGTCCTAGCATCATGTGGTGAAGATAAATCAATTAGGCTTTGGGGGCTAAATGATAGCAATTGGAAAGTTAAAACTTTGTTGCAAGACGGACATCAAAAAACTATTCGAGAGGTTTCGTGGTCTCCTTGTGGAAAATTTTTAGCTTCAGCCAGCTTTGATGCTACAACTGCTATTTGGGATAAAACTTCTGGTGAGTTTGAATGCACTGCTACATTAGAGGGTCATGAAAATGAGGTGAAGTCAGTTTCTTGGTCAGTGTCAGGGAATTATCTTGCCACTTGCAGTAGAGATAAATCTGTTTGGATTTGGTCTGTTGACAACAATGAATATGAATGCGAAGCTGTTCTAAATGCGCACTCACAAGATGTTAAAAAAGTCATTTGGCATCCAAATGATGATTTATTGGCTTCATGTAGCTATGATAACACAATTAAGTTATATAAAGAAGATCTATCAGACCAAGAATGGATTACTATTGCTACTCTGTCATCTCATGAATCAACTGTCTGGGGTATAGCATTTGATAAAACTGGTTCGCGTTTAGCTAGTTGTAGTGACGATGGAACTGTTAAAATATGGAAACAATATATTCCAGGAAATCAAGAAGGTGTTGCAACTCCTGATAACTATCCAACTTGGAAATGTGTATGTACCCTTACAGGCTTCCATTCAGGCACAATTTATGACATTTCATGGTGCCACTTAACAGATTTAATAGCTACTGCTTGTTCTGATAATGGAATTCGTATATTTAAAGAGCTTACTGATTCAAACTCAAATGAACCAACTTTTGAACTTTTAGCTGTTCAAGATTCTGCTCACAACGAAGATGTGAACAGTGTTTGTTGGCATCCTAAAGAAGCAGGAATTCTAGCTTCATGTAGTGATGATTCTCAGATTAGATTGTGGTCAATATCTGATGAGTTGGACTGATTATTTTAACTAATTATAAAACTATTCAATACCTTTCACCAAGGTAAATGGTGTTGAAATGATAGGCAACAGATAATATGTAACAGGTCTTACAATAAAACTTCAATTTTATAAATTTGTTTGCATTTATTAAACCACATTACATTTGAAAGAAGCCAACTTATATCAAATCATACCTAATTAAGATTTTAAAATGCAGTGATAATTTTTTTTTTTTTTTTGTAAACGAAGAACTGAAACAAAAACTGGAATAATTAATTTATTAAGTTAGCATTAAAATGTTTCTTGAACGAATCCCGGCCCCACTTCCCTCTGCGGCTGGTCCCCATAGAAAGTTAGATCATAATAGCTCCATAATTAGGGGAGGCCTACAAGTTGCAAGACTTGTATGAACAGCCTGTAAAAAAAAAGAAGAAAAATTTAAAGGATTATTGGAAGTTGATGAAAAACATTTGAATAAAAAACTTTATTATAGAAAACAACCTTACTTTCAATTTAAACCTACAAAATCTTTTTCCAATATTTTTATTATTTTTGTAATTTAAACCTTAGTTTGCACTAGTCGCAGAAGTATACTATCAGTAAATTTACTGTTTCAACTGAATTAAGTTTATATTTTGGTAAAAGATAATTGTCAACATCCATTAATGATCATTTATTTTCCTTGATGTTAGACCTAACTAACTAATATCTGCCAGAATAAACAATTAATAAATCATTTAATTTTCTAATAAAATCATTATTTACAGAGAAATAATTATATTAATACATTGGGAGTACTTAAAAAAGAAAATCTTAAAACACTTGGTTAATTATTACCTGTTAAATTTTCAGTTGACTGACTGTTTTACGTCATTTGACAACAATGCCGTGTAGCTTCAAATTACACGCATTCTAACATTTATAAAGGTGACATTATTAGTTTACTAGTAGCTTAAGCATAAACTTCTGATAGACATGTTTCTTCATGAATTTTATTAAATAAAAATAAAAAAATGGTTCTTCCGATTGTTGGATCAAAATTTATGTCTTACCATGTTGTCATTGTTGTACTAGTTTGGGCTGCATCAACCTATATTTGGGTGAAATATTGATTCTTTCCCACCTTTGGATTGAAGTCACCTAAGTAAACTTCATGTATTATGATCAGATATCAACAGTTATTTACAAAAATTCATAGAACGCTCCTTTTTCTTCTTATTCCAAAGCTTTCATGGGGACATTTATATTTAAAATGGATTAATTATTGACAGATTGAGCGTAATATTGGCTCGTCACCTCCCTGCACAACCGTTGGCCTTGTAACAGTACTTCTTCACATTGTACTGAACCGAAGACCCTTCATGGATTGTTAGTGGTACAGTGTTTTTTTTATGGAAGTTAGTCAACTGTTCTACAAATCATGAGTGATAGATAGTCAGGATCCAGTTAGCTTTTAAGATTTTTATTGCCAACGTTCAACGCAAACTTGTGGGTCATCATCAGGGCATGTTACCAGCACTGAAGGTGTTCAAGTCAAGGCACTTGATCTAAAGATGTTAATAATTTGATGGTTCTCCTTTAAGTTTAATTGTGTATCAATGTAGGGATAATTATAGTTATGTCAATGAGTAACAAGTAAATTTTATTAGAAATTGGGATGATTGAGCACTTGTCTAATAAATGATGAATTAATTTAATTAACATTGAGTAAGTTTTTTTCCTTTTCATTGTTGTGTGAAGGGTCCAAGTTAGACACTTTTTTAGATGAAGTTCAATGGGAGTAAGTAGAATATTATGGAAGTATAATATATAATATGGTGTAGGTTTATGACAAAGTTTATATGATTGGAAATTATTTTAAACTCTCACTTTGGCACCATTCTTCAAGGTTTGTGGTGGGTCATGCACCATGGAATCAATTTTGACATTAGCATTACTATTAAAAATAAGTTTCATAAAAAGGTCTAAGATTTCATTCAGTTTTGAAATTTAATATATCATAAAGTATTTAAATCCATCATCACTCCTCATAGTAGATTTATTATTTATATCAACTCAATTTCTCATAAACAACTTACAAACATTGGTTAAAATATTTTCATTTAAAAAATACACTTTTTAGTCACTGTCTGCCGCTATTTTATTATAACATTCACTTATTGACCAGTGATTTAGTGAAAAGAATATGAAGACAATTTTATAAAATTTGATGATAATTATTTTATTTGTTTTAGGACAGATACTAATTTTAAATGATCTTCCTTTTCTTCAAATAGCTCTTACATTATTTATTACAAAGTATGGGCATTATTTGCTTTACAAATATTTAAAAATGAGGATAAAATATTTGAAAAGATTGTCATTTATAACTAATGATTTTTACCAGACTAGTGGAAAAGTTAAGAATATTTCTGTATCAGGAATTCAACCGCTGTATATTAGTGGCAGAAATATGAGCGGGGAATCTACAGAAATTAATAAAAATTCACTGGAAGTGGTGTTAAAGGAATTAAATAAATTTGCTGACTTATCCTTGGCAGAGAAATGGGATAATGTTGGACTTCTTATAGAGCCAGCGACTCAGAGGCCTGTTAATAAAATTTTATTAACCAACGATTTAACAGAAGTTGTTATGCAAGAATCAATCGAAAAAGATATCAGTCTTATAATTTCTTACCATCCACCAATATTCAGCCCTCTTAAAAGAATCACTCAAGCAAATTGGAAGGTGAGTAATCTATCTATAACTTTAAAACAATTTATCAAAATAAAAAGGAAATTATAATGACTATTATAATTCAATGTAAATTGTAATATAAACAAGAAAACTTAGGCCAATCAACTAATAACTATATCTTGGGCAGTTACAATGACCATTTCCACTTCTTCATTCTATTCTTGTTTTCTCACACTCCCCTATCTGGGCCTTTAGTAACTGGCCATGCTGTAAATATGATTGTTGTTTCTAATTTCTTTATCCTCTGGGTTATGTGTTAATCAAAAAACTTTTTTATTTACACCTGAGCCTTCCTCATCATATTAATTATTTGTCGACCTGAAAAAGAAAGTTTATAGAACTTATCACAATGATGACTGTTATTGAATTAATAGATGAAAAATAAAAGAACTATTTTTTAGAATAAAACATGTTCATATTAATAAATTATTTTTCTCCTTTACCTTTATATTATGCCTTTTAGCTAAATTCAAACTTAAAATTTGTCTAAGGGGTTTTATAAACATATGAATCACATATAAACAAACATCAAGAATATATTAAAAAACTATAATACCATGCATTCATTTCAAAAAGGATTCAGAGATTTTTGATCCAAAGATCTCATATAATGAATGTTCTATTTATATTTTCCTTACATTCACATCTGATAATTTTACTGTAATAGTTCATTTGTCATTAATGTTTTCTTTTAGGAAAGAATTGTTTCAAGATGTCTTGAGAATAAGATAGCTGTGTTTTCACCTCATACCAGCTGGGATGCAGTGTATGGGGGTGTGAATGATTGGTTGGCTGATGCATTCAGTTAGTTTTAAATTCAATATATATATATATATATTACTTAAGGAATTATCAGAATCTTGTCATATATGATTTTATATGCCCATTTTATTCACTTCATTGTAATCGGCTAGATTATATTAACCAGATACAGTTCAAGCGATTCGGCATTGTGAAACCATCTAAATTCTCCAGTTGACTCATCTTTGGTCTGAATATTCTATACAATATTTTATTTTCAAAAACCTTAAAATTTTGTTCAGAATCATATTAAACAAAAAAAATGCTTCAAAGCATTGAGTAAAAATCATATATTTGTATTATGCTTATATGATTCAATTATGAGAAAAATTAATCAGAACTTCACAAATTGATAGGTCTTTCTAGCTAGATTAATTGCATAATGTCATAAAATTTGCTAGGCATGATTGTATATAAATAATGAAGATAACAAAAATTTAAAAATAAATAAGTAGATGGTCAATAATTAACATTTAAAATAAGTTTAATAAAAATCATTCAGTTGACAAAAGTAATGTGAGTATACTATTTTTTGTATGTCAACTTAAGTATATGTCACATGTTGTACATTAACACATAAAAAGTAAGTTCACACTAGCTAAGTAATTTTTGCTTTCTTTTTTTTTACCGCATCCCCAACCAAGTTCTTGGTTTAATATTAATATGACATAAGATTAATAAATACTTCTAAAATAACAATTTACCATGATTTATTTTCACATTTAGCAAGTATATTTTCATCAGACAATAATCCTTTTCTATCCTGCAATCATTACACTATTTTTATTGTAATAACTAATAATTATCTTCCATTCTGTATTAATTTTCCTTATTTTTTGATATCATATTATCTTGATATTTTAACTTTCAGGTTGTTATATAGAACCCGATGGCATACAGCCTTTGACTCCTTCTTCAAATAATGATGTTCTATATGTTGCAACAATTATTGGTTCTCCAGAATCAATCACTAGAATTAAAAAGAGTGGTATATCTGTGAAATTTTCAGAGAGGTATAACTTTGTTTTTAAAATACAAACAAATTCCATCACTGTATATATTCTTATAATATCACACCGTCATCTAATCCAAATATGGTTTTTAATCTATCTTATTATATTTAACTCAGAAAAAATCTGGTGCGATGTAAACTATAAGGATATTACTTTAATTGTAAATGCAAACATAAGGCAATATCAATTATGGCAATTATGTGTACTGTTTGTTTTTTGTTTATCAAGCTGGGAAAAAAATTTAGATGAAAAAGTTGCTGTAAAGTCCAAGGCTATCTTAAATACATATTTTCATTTTTAAGCTTGACAATTCTCCATTTGCACAGACTTTTTTGTGATACTTATAAGGGGAGGCCACAGTCAGTGGGTCACTGATTTGAACCGATTTTTGTTTTCAGTAATACTAAATTAAAAAAATATATTTTTGATGTTTTGATGCTCCATGTATGACTATAGTAATTACAGAGGCATAGCATTTCTTCCGGTTGCTCTGGCCTACAAGATAATGACCATTATCCTACTAAACCGGATATATCTGTATTACGAGAATATAATAGGCGACCACCAAGCTGGATTCAGAAAAGGGAGGAGCAAGCTAGACCAGATCTTCATCTTAAAACAAGTACTCGAAAAAAGATGGGAAGTAGCTCAGGACATCCACACTCTATTTATCGATTTCAAAGTAGCCTATGATTCTGTGGACAGGAACTGTCTTTAGAAAATCATGACTGAACTGGGAGTTCTGGTAAGTTGGCGAGATTGACATAGGCGTGTACAAATGATCCTAAATGTAGAGTCCTAATATAAGGAGAAGTATCTGACGCCTTCAAAGTTTGAATGGACTTATTCCAGGGAGATGGATTATCACAGATGTTGTTCAACTTAGCCATGGAGAAGGTAATAAGAACATCACAGAAAAATGGAGGGGTCCAGGCTAGAATGAATCACAAAATCCTTGGATACACAGATGATATAGCTGTCCTTGGAAGTAATCAAGAAGACATTGAGAAACTCACTATGACTCTGATAAGAGAGGCAGAGCAGTTCGGCCTACAAGTAAATGAAGACAAAATAAAATACATGATAATGGCCAAAAATTCTACCCCAATGACAGGATCTGCATTAAAGGAAAATCATTCCCGAGAGTAGAAAAATTCAAATACCTTGGCTCCACAATAACCTCAATGAATGACCCAATAAGCAGAAATAGACCAGCGTGTAACTAGCTTAAACAGAGCTTTCTTCTCCCTTTCAAAGGTATTGAAATCCCACAAAATCTCAAATTAAGAGTGCACAATGCTATGATAAAGCCAGTTCTAACATATGGCTGTGAGACCTAGACGCTAACCATCACCCTAGAAAAAAGTGTTGAAACATTTGAGAGAAGAATCCTCGACTTGATAACCGGAGCAGTCTGGGATCAGAGTACTAACACATGGGGAAGAAAGACTAATAAAGAACTACTTACAGAAACTGGTCAATCAATAACCCCTGAGATGATGGTAGAAAAATTAAGATGAGCAGGGCATGTAGCTCGTAACAATCCATCTGGAAGCCTCTAAGTAACAATGAATGCCTCAAAAGAAGGCAAAAGACCACGTGGACGTCCAAAAAGCTGATGGATAGATAGAATCAACAAAGATGCTATAGAGCTGCGTGGAGATAAATCGAAAGAAATAGCCCAAGGCAGGCAGAGATGGAGCAGGCTTGTTAAGGCGGCAAAAGATCTACACGGTCTGTAATGCCAACATAAAATATTAGACACATGTCTAAGCATTCATTCCAATGGGTCTCGAGCAAAGAAAAAAAATATGTTATATAATCCAAACAAAATGTATGTTATTTATTTTTGCCTTTACTTCGCCCAGATTTTTAGTTAGTTTATTATATACCAACCAATTTCTTTTTTTATGCAAAATAAAAACAAATATTGACTATGGTATTAAATGAGTTATAATGTATCATAAATTAAGAAAAACAAATTGGGCTTCCAGTAAAGTAGGCCAAGTAAATATTTGTTATCAAATAGCTAGTTAGATTTGTATTTAGTGTCCTCTAAAACTCTTAAATACAAATTTTTATAGAAATCAAACATTGCAAATTTAAATACTTGATTTTCTTTAAGGATTTTTTTTCTGGCCGTTAACATCAAAGCATTTATAACTTCTCAGGATTTTCTCAAAATTCAGCATTTGTACAATCATCAAAAAGATGAATTACAGCTCTTCCAACTTATATCGATAACTGTTGAATTTCATTCCTTTATATTCTAGAAATTATGAAAAACTCAAACATTTTTATTTTGTATCTTTAGTTCTAATTTGTTTACGGAGATCAAGTTTGTCCCATTTTCTGTAGCATATAGAGCTGAATACATAATAATTTTCATGTGAATCAGTGGACTCATCGTGATTTTATCATAATTTTCATGGTTGGCGACATGATTTTGAAAGGTACAACCTAGGCAAAAATTTTGAATTTTTCATTTGCTGTAAAAATTCTTATTGAAGGATTTTTTGAGTTTCAAAAAACAAATATAAATTTTTTTTCCTGAAAATCTTTATTCCAGATACAGGACCAGTTCAGAAAAAAAAAATTATTTGGGAGATACCTATTGTACAACGTGGAACAAAGTGGACCAACCAATGAAGGGTTAAGGGGGTAAATATTTTTTTAAGTAGATACAAAGTTAATATTCGTTTTTTTCACCTCCTAATACTCTTAAAATTTTGTCAACAACCACAAAAATTATGGACAATAGTACTTAGAAGTCTTTCTCTTGCATTCAATTTCTGCTTGGCCATTGCATTCTATTTCTGTTTGGCCATTTTGTTGTCTTTAAATTCAAAGCCTTGAAGGCAGTTTCATGTTCTGATTTACAATATTCACCTGATGCTCCTTTATTTTTCCTTACTAACTTGTTTTATTTTTAGTTGTACAATTATTTTTTTATGCAATTGCATAATGTTGTTAAGAAGTTGTATCAGTAATAATATTTCACTTTCTCAGTTATGTAGAAGATGCTAAAGAAATATGTACTGCTGTATGTGATAAGGAAATGCTGAAGAACCTGAAATCTCTTCATAGTGATGTAAACATTGGAATAATGGAATGTGGAAAGGTATTTCTACAAATTCTCTCAAACTCTCTACCAATCTATAGTTTATCAGCAGATTTTTTTTTTTTTACACCCAATCAAATTTTAAATGCTATTCCACTTATGAACCATTTGTCCGTATTTTCATGTTTCACATTATATATTAAAAATATCTATTGACACATGAGGAAGAATTCATTTATGCTTGTTTTAGAATGGGAAAAACTTAACTGGAATGGGTCGACTATTACAAGTTTCTAAACTTACAATCGCTGATTGTGTTCATCTCATAAAGCAACATACTGGTGTTTCTCATGTACGATTGGCTTGTGCTAAAAATCAATCTGAAGGTAATTTATTGAAGAAACCTAGTTACAAAATTATAATATTCAGATTTAAGTAATGTGGTGACTTCCAGGTTTTGTTCAGAATTAACTTTCATTCAATATTTTTTGAAACATAAACAATATTTTAAAATGTATTCCTTTACTATCTCTTACCTTGTAATTTCACTAGTTGTTCCTTGATTATGTTGTCCTGTTCGCTGATGATTTCTAAACATTTTTTTAATAATTTATTGATCAACAATCTTAGAACCACATTAGATATCTTCTGGATAAACTTGCCAGTCTCTTATCTATTACATCGATCACGTCCATATTATTCTATACATTTAAAGTCCAAGTAATAATCGCCTTAAGATGTTCCTTTGCTTTACTCCTACTTTCATTTTTAATTTGTTTAAATTAACTTAATGAAAAAATACTCAGTTTTCTAAAACTTTGTATGTTCTTTTCAACACAAAATATTGAATGCTTCTTCATAGGTTCAGGTAAATGAAGACACCTTTTTTCTTCTACAGCTGACTGTAGTGGCCAGAGATGACTTCTGGCAATTCACTGCTGAATTGAGAAAATGTACTGAATCATATTTAGTTAATACCTATCATAGGTCAACAGTCATAGGTATGACCTCTCCACACTGCTGTTTTGTCTCAAACGTTCCTGAGCCAATTTGATTGCCATGGTGCTGATGGTTATTTTCTCATATCGCCATAGTTATGATGATAACTTTCATTAAGGTACATTTCCTACGATCACTTTCCTTTTTTTTTATTTTTTCATGTCAGGTAAAATTAAATTTCATAAAAAAAAAAAACTGCTTTACGCATCACACAACTTTCACTTATTGCTCTATTTTGAGCTATTATTTTTCTGCAAAGTTGGACTATTGGGATCCAAGTTGCATCAAGTGGTGCTAGGTTTCATTTATTCCCTTGTTTTGGATGTAACTGAGATGGAAATCCAAGTTTTTGATCTTAGCAGCCCCTTTTATTGATTTTTCTTCATTTTTCCCATGAAGGAGCACAGACTCTTTCATGCCATCAGTTAATAATATGTTATATATTATGATATAATCTTATATTAGGACTTCTTGGCAAGGTTTTACTTTGGGACATTCAACAAATAAATATTTTCATTCCGTTTCATTAAGTCCAGGATGATGAATAAGACATTGAAGGATGTGGATTGGTTCTGGTCCTTCAAATTGGAGGAAATACCTTAGGCCGCTTTCACACTGAAGATGCAAGACGCAGGATGTATGTTAAACACTGGACTGTGTATAGAGAGTTTTCACACGGAGGATGCAAGTCATGTAGCCTGAATGCAAGATACACTTGCCTCTTGGGAACCAGCCTGCTGGCGTTTTCAGCGTGCATCTTTGTTGTGCTGGTCTTGCGTACTCGTCCCTCAACCTTGGCTAGCCTGAAGCAAAATTTTTTTGAGGAGCAATCATCGGGTCCAGTCGGCTGTCTACCCTCTAGCTTCTCAATTTTATCTAAGCTCTTGTAATTTTACGTCTCTATCAATTGCTTTTTTATTATTAACTATTGTTTTTGTTTTTTTATCCATTGTTAAATTTATTTTTAACTATAGGTTCTTTTTATCAATTGCTCCATATGTTTTTACCTATTTTTCTTGTTATTACCATGGAAGATTAAATAAAAATTGTATGCCAAAACTTCAATAAATCGTTAGTAAAAAAAAAGTAATCAAAATACAAATAAAGTTAATCATATTGTGTACTTTATCATCTATTTGTTTTTATTAATTCGTATATCATCAAAGTTTCCAGGTCCAAGCTCATCCGTTTTTAAAGCCTACTAGTTAATTAATATTTACTAAGAAACACAAACTCCTAGAATCTAGCGACTATTGAAAACCGACTCTCCCAGTTTATTTTCAGTTTCATTTCATACTGTAATTAGGCATTGTGTTTCAAGTACGAAACCATCCACCCTTCAACTATGTTACCCAACAGAGAAATTCAATGTGACCTTTGTTAAAGCAGTTGAAGACTACCCTGCAATATACGATACAAGTAAATAGTACCCAAATAGGGATGAACAAGAGAAATTATGGAAGGCCCTGGCACAAAAATTCCAATCAACTGGGAAGAGAGCTATATGCTTATAATTTGTTTGGGTCTGCCAAAAAAAAATAATAATTTTTCAATATCAATTACTCTTAAAATTATAATTTCATCGTCTGAAGAGTCGCGTTCTAAACTAACAGAGATAATGAATATAAACAGTAGATGCAAGAGGCACATGCATCCTTGGTATGAAAGCTCTTTTATCAAGATGCAAGACCCACATCCATCCTTCATCCAGGACACATTCATCTTTGGTGTGAAAGCGGCTTTACAATTATATTTTGTTTACAGTTGGTCGTCTGGTTGTGAACAGTGAACTCCTCTCCCAAATAACCTCCGCCCTCCTCATCCATCCCCGCTTCAAAATGGTAAATTGAATAAATTTTTATTTCACTGACTCTTATCAGACAGGTTACTGAAGATATAAAGATAATTACGTGTGATAAAAAATGAAAATTATTATTGCCTAAAATTTTCAAGTTTTAAAATTGGAAAATATACGACATTTTGGAATTCTGTATTGCAAAACCTATTAGATTTGCCCAGCCTTTCTTGCTCTCATATTGTAGTAAATTTAGTCTAGTTTAAAACTTTACACATTTTGTCAAAAACTTATCCCACCGTGGCCAAAATGGGGGAAAACCTATAAAAGTGCAAAAATTTAGCAGTTTTGGGGATATTGAAGTGGTCTAGGGGTGGAGGGGATGCCCTGAGCTCAAAAATTTGTATTTTACATCTCAGTCACATCCCATACAATAAAAAAAAAAAAAGAAACCAACCACCACTTGATCCAACTTACGATGTGTGTTATAATAATATACATGTTATTAAACTCATATTTTTCTCATGTAAAATTTACTAAAATGGATTTATGAGACTTCTATTATCTACCATTGTGCACCCCTCCCCTGGATCCGCTCGTGTCCACTCATCACCTATGTTCCCTATTAATTTGTTCTACCATACTTCGATATTTTTGTATTATATCCTTTGGATCCATCCCTCTCTTTTATTCAGATCCCTGCCTATTTCTGTGTTTCAGTCTCTTTAATTAGAAATTTAATCATAGATTAAGAATCTATTGCATATTATTTTTTGTTTCAGGTTCTCCTGTTAAAACAATCGCATTAGTTCCTGGTTCAGGAGGAAGTCTTTTAAAAGGAATAAAAGCAGATCTGTTTGTAACAGGAGAAATGTTTCATCATGATGTTCTTGATGCTAATCATAATGGCTCATCAGTTATATTAACAAACCATAGTGATTCTGAAAGAGGATTTTTGGCCAAAATGGCAGTTTTATTGAGTGATGTATTTAAAAATATTAAAATTGAAATTTCCTCTTTTGATGCTGATCCACTAAAAACAGTTTAATATTTCCATTTAATGTATATTATAAGCATTATATTTAACAAGTTGGAATAAATATGTTTCTTCATAATGAATGACTTTTATTCTTGTAATTTTAATTTATCCTGTAAACTTTCAAAATATTTATAAGTATTTGTTCTAATTGATAATAATCCATTTTATTTTAAATCCTACCTATTTCTAGTAATTACTCAACTTAGTCATTTTATAACAGTCCTGTTACTGGTTTTCTTATATTTTGCAGTTTTCCAAATCTACTATTAAGCTTATTTAAAGTAGTAGTGATAAATTATTTATATAAGGCAAGGAGACATGTAAATGTCATGACCTTATGGTAACAATTCAATGACTTAGTAAGCTTTTTCCTCTCTTCCATATACTTTCTTTGATTACACATTATTCCTTTATTCCATTGAAGAATGCTTATTTTATCAATTTTCATCATCTTGACTATTGATTGCTCTTCAGTAACCTGTATTTTGTAGGTGTTATATTATTTTTATGGTTTCCACTAAGCTCAGTTATTTATTTAGTTCAAAACTAAAAACAAAGAATAAAAAATTTCATATACAGGTTAGTAATATAGTGAAAACATTCTTCCAGATCTTCCAGTTTAATAAAAAGAATGTGGGAATACAAAAAGGATGATGATTTTGGATGGCTACTTGAAGATTTGATACAAAAAGTGTTGTTTGATGCGAAATGTTTAACAATTATTTCTGACAGGTTTTATAATGATATGTTTACAACTAAAATGTTTCAGAAATTATCTGCCATTCCAATCTTTGTGGTAATTATTAATACATAGATAACTCAACAAATTATTGAAATAATGATAAAATTAAATAATAGTATTTATCATTAATTGTTCTTCAAAGTGATTACACCCCAGTTACAAAAAATCTTAGTCTTTCGCAAGGAACCACTAAGGTAATCTCTGTTAAACCTAGACTATTTCTCTGGGTTAGGTACTTTTTCGGTAATCAAGCTGTACCAATACAATATTTTCTCATTGAGCGATGACCAGATTTCTGATTGTTTTGCAGTAAAAACCCTCATAATAAGTAATAAAAAAGATAAAACAGGAAATGCAAAAATTATTTTACTATAAAAAATCCTCTAAGAATGATTTCAATGTTCTTTATATCCACTAAAAATTATCGACTCATTTTCACTAGTTATTAGTTCTGGACACTAGATGAAAAAAAAAACTTATGAGTTTTAAGAACTGTTTCATTTTTTATATTGCTAGGTTGTATTTGTAATTGTTCAAGTATTTTAATTTGAAGAAAATTATGTTCTTACTTTACGAATTCAAAATAATAATAAACCTTATCATTTGTAAAGAAAGTAATAAATTAATACCAAGTGTGTTGATAAAAAAGGGAGATGAAAAGCCAGGAAAAAAAAACATGCACCACTACAACAACCCATGAAGGATTTTGGGTTCAGTACCATGTGATGATGTACTGTTGCAAGGCCAACAGTTGTGCAGGAGGGTGATTGGGCCAGGTTTCCTTCCCCCCTTAATTAATTAAGATTACCCACTTCTTAGAGGTGACTTTGGCTTAGGTTGGGTGTGTTCCAGGAACGTCTTCCGACCCCAAGATAAGATGAAAAATTACTAGTCATCAGCTAGATTCAAACCCGGGTCCTTGAGAGTTCCGGAAGTCAGCGCTCCCATCAATTAAATAAAAAAAAATCAAATTCTAAGAAGTAAATTACTGAAGGTAGTATTATTTTCTTGATTGAAAAAATAAGTATGATTGTAATGTAGAATTGCATCTTCAATGTTAAATTAAATTTTTTATTTAAATAATCTAAATATGCATATAGATATCTTTTTTATTATTATTCAAATAACAGTTGACTGTGCATTGAATATCATCAAGGACCAAGGACCTAAGAAATTGAAAAGAATTTCATGGATGGGAAAACTTCTGTAATTTTCTTTTATGGAACAATAACACAGGAGAGACAGTACTGAACTTTTCCCCCCTTATGACCAGCTTGACATTATTTAAATTATACAATTGGGGATTTATTACACACAAAAAAATAATAACTGTAGGATAATTTTGCTATAAATATGTCCCATAATGTAACAAGAAAAAACGTATGAGGAATTTTTATATTGAAGGATAAAGTGGTATAGGCCAATACAGGAGGCGATGACTTGCTGGTGGATTGTAGGGGCAAAGAATTTATTTTAAATAGGATAAAGTGACTTGAAAGTCATTCTATTGCAATGAGGTTAATTTATAGTTCAGTACTTATATTGAGCTGCAGCTGAGTGAGGAAGGACAGTAATATATCCCAGGCTCAGCTTTGAGTACCTCTGTGCCAGATAACTATTTATTATATTATATTATCTGGACTTGGAGTCAGGAGACTCTACTAGGGTATACCTAGGCTCTATGAATTAATGAGGGGGATAACCTGGAAGTTGAAAGTCATTCTAGCCAAGTCACCTTGCACCACTATTTAAATTTATTTTGGGTGTAAAGTATTTGAAATCCATACCCACAGAATGAATCTCAACCTTCTCAATTTGGTAAAAATTTTTGGTTGTAGCTCTAGAACAATATCCCCTCTGTATGTATGCCAGAAATAGCGAGGTATGGGGTAATGGGAAAAAAATTCTAAGACCCTTTATGAGCTGGAATGAAACATGTATTATTATTATTTTAGGATTAATAATGATATACATTTATAGATAAAACATTAAATTTTTATTTACTTTGTAGATTTTGATAGGAGAGAATGAAGATTTACTCTCACCGAACTATAAGACATTATCAGTTATTTTGCAGGCAAGGCGAAAAGGTTGTGATGTATACATTATTTTGATAGCAAATGCAGATGAAACTATCCGATTTCTCAGATTTGGAGATAGGTATTAAAATCACTTTAATCCTCCCATTGATTTTTTAAAATTCTAAGTAATAAATAGATATTTTGTTCCAACAGGCATAGGGTTATTGACACAAGAGCTAGATTTTTTTTGTTACATGACGTAAGATTATATCATAAAGATTATTATTATTTGTGGAAAAAAATTGTGAATGTGATTTTCATTCGAAAATTTTTTGAGGTAAACAGATATGAACTCATGACTGTCCCCTTTCCATCTCCCATAGAACATAGTTGGAAGCCTATGAGAATTGATTCTTGGAAATATGGAAAATACCAGGTAACATGCTCATTTTGGAGTGATTGTATTTATATTTACTGAAATTTAAAGAATTGCAATTGTTATAACATCCAATTTAATATTACCATGTATATATTTAAAATTATAAAAACAGGGAGTGTACAAAAATGTAGATGATATTTCATTTTATTGAGAAATAACAAATATGAAGTTATAAAGTTACATAAAGCAGATCCTAATCACCAATGGAACAGCTCAAATGAAACCAGCCATCTGTTATAATGATGTGATGCAGAAAAAGATTGATTTCTGATGATAGATGAGCTCAGCACTGAGTTAGAAACTTGCCCATGCTATCCATTTGACTGATTTGATCAATCATGCAAATAAAATTCAGTTGAATAGAGTACAACAATAGAAAAGAAAAGGAAATATTGCTAAGAAAATCTGGATTATTTTTTTGTTGTGTTTAAAAGATAATGTCTTAATAAAGTTTGTTTATTCCTTAATGCTATAATTTAAAACATCGTGTAGTGAAAACATTTAATTTGACACAAACTATTTTTCCTCATTTCACTTAAAAGTTCTTAAGTTTATTACTCATTCTCTTACTTAGATGGTTTATCATTAAACTTATTCTGTATTAAGTATTGATAAATTTGTAGGTGTTCAGTGATAAATTTCTTTAACTTATCAAACATATGTATGAATAATAAAAATGTGTTCTATTGGCATTTTATGAAGACTATAAGCTATTTAAATAAATAAATATTAGTTTGGTATAATAAATTGAAATTAAGATTGAGGTTGAGAGTTTCTCTTCCTACCTTACATTCCTTCTTTAGAACACTGCCTGAACCCGTTCCTTATTTTGTGTTATCTTCTTAACTGTCTTTTTTTATATGGATTTTCAGAAAAATAATGAACTTTTTATTGATAAGACATCAGATTTAAGAGGTGAAATTGTTCATGTTGCTGTCTTTGAGTATATGCCTTCAGTATTGAAGAAAGTAGCTGAAGATGATCAAAATGGAAATGTCATGGCTGGGGATTCTATGCCAATTGAATATAGTGGCCTGGAAGTCTTGGTATGTTATAATCCATATATGTAATGAAATGTTTATAATTATAATTTCTAAAAAAAAGTTGTCTACTCTTCAGCTAAGGTGCCGTCCACACAAGGCCACCTTAGCTCTCACTAAAATCAAACCTGTTTTTAGTAGTTGCCAAGAGGCCAGTAGCAAGATTGCTACTTCATTTTGGATTAATAAATTAAGAATATTAATTTTATGTTAATTAAATATCGATCCAGGATTGTTCTATACTTTACATAAATGAAATTTGTTACCTTTTTACATTAAATAGTTTAGGCAAAGGCCAAACTGTTGAAAAATGCCATTTCCTTGACCATATTGAGACTCTTGCCACTTTTGATATTTAGAGGTATCAAATAGATATTTATTTATCTATTTATCTATTATTAAAATAAGATATTTATTTTTAAAAATATATATATGTATATATATTACTATGGTTTAGGCAAAGAAATGGGTCAGTTTAAAATAAATATGTAAATGAAGTCCAAGTTATTCAGTTTTATTATAAAATTTTGTTCAAAGCTTTGAGCCGGTTTTTTTCTCACCTTCAGGATTTATTTTATTACTATATTTTGTAATTTTAAAATTTAATATATGTTATTCATAATTATATTTTCAATTGTACCAGTAAAATAATAAATCTATATCATTTGGAATTTCAGATATGTTCCATTATGGAAATTTTAGTATTTTACTGGTACTTCACTACTTCAAAAACCCCATTCTGTTTAGAGCTAAAACTGATAAAATAAAAATCCTTCTTCTAAATGAATAAGTATTGAAAAGAAAACATTGTCTTTTTATGAAACAGGATAAAAATAAAAAATAAAAAAAATCCAATGACTTCTTAATAACAGATGTTCTATATACTACTCTGGAACTAAACCAAATATTTCACACCCCCAGTAATGCAGGCAGAAATTAATAAAATTAAAAATTATATCTGATGAAAAATAATTATAATGAAAAGTTGTGATTTCATATTTAAAATTGTGTCCAAATTCCATACTGAGGATAAATTAACTATTCATATTTTTTAAAATAAATACTGAAATTTCTCATTTTACGTTTCAGATACTTGAAAGCTTATCTCATGCTATGAACTTTCAGATATTAATATATGAACCGACTAACAGTAAAACAGAAGCTTGGGGAAAACAACAATTGAATGGAAGTTATACAGGCCTCTTGGGAGAAATGGTTTCTGGCAGAGCTGATTTCGCACTTGGAAATTTTCTTTATACACCAAAAAATATAAAACTTCTTGACCTTAGTATACCATATATTACTCAATGCTTTACATTTTTGACTCCCGAATCAACCACAGACAATACATGGAAAACTTTAATATTACCGTTTAAGTTAGTATATTACTGAGTTAAAGACCATTCATAAAAAGTTAATAAATATAAAAGATAATTATAAAATAAATAATTTCAATATTGTCGCTTATGCTTTGAATTAATTAGAAAAATGTAGGATGTTGACTATCTAATGCAGGAGTTTTCACACAGGCATAATTTCTTTGTTCGAACTTTGAATCTTCTACTTTTTTAAGCTCCAGGGGTGTATGTAGCAGCTCCTGGCTTTTTAAACCTCTGTGCCTTACATTTGTCTCTATTCCTTAATGTGTTCTGTTTTTCTTCTGCCCACTGTCTTGGAGTGTACTGTTTCTCTAGTGGTCTTTGGGTCTTCCTCTAAAATTTGAATAATTTTAACAACACTGTATCCAACATATTACTACCATAATAAAAACATTTTGTTTTTGTTAGGTACTGAAAGGGTATTGGTTACCAATCAACATTTCAAGTCAAAACTTAATGCCAATTTTTGAATAATGATCCCAGGATAGAAATCCAAGCTTTTATATTAGTGTAATCTATACAATTAAATATTAAATAATTCCGACACTATCATTTATGAAAACTGTACATTTATATGTATATAATATTATCAGCACTCATATTATATTCAGTACATGTTACGTTTGTAAGCCTATTCTAACCTTTCAGAAAACCTCAGGTTTCTTCGGTTCTCTATTACAATAGCTTATTTCTCCTTTAGTTAATTATCACATTCTTTTATATTTTATAGGCAACCATTTTTTATAGCAGATTAAAAAATTAAAGTTGCTTTAGAAGAAGAAATTTTGAAAATTAGGCAGTTAAGACGTATTAGAGAACATTAATGAGAATAAGGCCTATATTATATTTAAAATAGCTGAATTTTACACTGGTATAGTGAATTTAATCAAAATGGTTAAAATCTCTTTCGAGAAAAATGTATAAAAATGATTATACAATATAGCACTTCTAGTTACCCTATTTTGATGAAGTGTCTGTAATATCCCAGGTATATAAAAACATTAATTACACAATGTTAGTTTCGTTTTTGAGCTAGACTGTACACACACAGACCATTCTGAGAAACTTGGTTATTTGGATTCAGTGGACCTCATAACATGTATTTCCTTTGAAAACTCGGATTCAAAATTTTTCACAATCGCAATACTTTTCCTTACTATATATTTCATTCATAGGTAAGTGAAAGTAAAAATTTTTACAGCTAAATTGTATAAATCGAATTTGTGACTTTTAATTTAAGAAACCTACCCGTTTAAATATTAAGCTTTTATGAAAAAAAAAAAAAGTACATCTTAAATTCAATACAATGCATTACATATAAGTTTTATTGTCTAATAGTTTATGGTATATAATTCTACATAATCAGTGAATTAGAAACTGAAACTTAGAGCTGTTTGGAATGTTTAAGGAACATAATATTATGGCAGAACTGAAGCAATTGTAGCTTATTATTATTTTTTAACATTCCTAATTCACTTAGTGGAAGAAAACTTTTTCTAGTTTTCTTAAGGGGAACAACTACAACTTCAACTATTCTACAATATTTTTGTACTTGTTGCCAATTACTAATGGAAAAATGAAATGATTTGACTAAAAATACTTGGTGTCTGGCTGTTTTTAATAATACAGGCTCCATTCTCTACTTCGAAGTATAATATAATATTACTTCTTAAATTCATCAATGATATAATTTTGTTTTTTTTAAATAATTAAATAATATAATTATGATAATTTTTTCAGAAAGTTTATGTGGATAGGTGTTATGCTAACACTGGCTGTTAGTAGTTTGGTATTTTATGTGCTGGCTAACTTCCATAAACACTATGAAAATGGGAGAACTAACATAATTCCCAAGTGTATTTTTGGGAAAACATTAAGGATCTGGCCAAAAAAAAATAAACTGTCACCTAAATTATTACCATTGAATGTCAAAAGAGAAATACCCCCAGGTTTATATTTGTTTGATGGAATTGGAAGTAGTTTAATAAACGCCTATAGCATGCTTCTTTTAGTGTCATTGCCAAAAATGCCTTCTGGATGGTCATTAAGAATGTTAACTGGATGGTGGTGGCTTTATTGCATTCTTGTAACAGTTGCATACAGAGCCAGCATGACAGCAATATTAGCTAATCCAGCCCAACGGTAAGTTCTATTATAATTTAATTTTTTTTTTTTTTAATGATATTTCACTATCGTTTATTCAGTCAAGTTTTTCTGTTTAGTGTAACTATTAACACATTAGAGGAGCTAGCTTCAAGCCCAATCTCATGTGGAGGCTGGGGTGAACAAAATAAGGAATTCTTCACTACATCATTAGATTCAGCGGGTCAAAGGGTTGGCCATAAATTTGAAGTTGTTTATGACAGTAATGTGAGCATAAGTAGAGTTGCTCAGGGTAACTTTGCTTATTATGAAAACATATACTTCCTTCATTATGCTAAAGTGACACAGAAATCAATGACAGTATTCGAAAATGACACTATAGGTAATTATTTAAATATTATTCCAAACATAAACTAGTGTAAAATATTTGTTAATTAAAAAGTGCATAATTATTTTTTTTATTTTATTATTATTATAATGGCGCTATGGTCCTGCAAGAACCTGGGCCTCCTCTACTGCCAATCTCCACGGTATTGTGCTACTTCCCTCCATCTTTGAATGCCCAGCCGCCTCAGTTTGTACTCAACATCCTCCAGCCATCTGATCCGAGGACGCCCTCTACTTCTTTTTCCATCTGGCTTCTTATACAGCATCTTCTTTGGTCTGGCATTCTTTCCACATGACCTAACCATCTGATTCTGGCTCTTTTTATAAATGCTACAATATCAGGTTCACCATATGAGTTCTCGCAGCTCCTCATTCTTTCTTCTTCTCCAAATTCCATTCTCAAAAATTCTGCCCCATATTCTTCCCAATACTTTTCTCTCCCAGCAGTTGAAAGCGTGCGTTATGAGTTTTCGGTTAAGGTCCAAGTCTCACACCCATACACAACCACTGGTCTTACTATAGTTTTGTATAAGAGAATTTTGATTCTTTTCGAGAGTGATCTGAACTTCAAGTATTTTTGCAGTGAGAAATAGTATCTATTTCTTGCTACAATCCTGGCATTTATTTCACTCTCTACTTTATTATTGCATGTGACCAGGCTTCCAAGGTATTTGAACTGGTCAACTTACCTAAAATTGTGATCCCTTAAAACTATTTCTGTACTCATTTCCTTTTCCATTTTTTAATTTTTCATATACACCATCTTATTTTCGTTAACTCTAAGGCCTAGTTTAGCCACTGCTTCTTCGAATTCCTGGAAAGTTACTGATAATGCCGTTTTAGAGATAAAGGCAACATCATCGGCATATGCCAGATAATCATTTTTTTAATATAGATATATTAGATTTTATAATTATAACATATAAATAGTCAAACTGCAAGAGCAAAACAAATACTATTGTTGTGGCAAACATAGAACAGTTATTTTAATTTTGTTTACCTCCATATATGCATGGCAAACCTTCGCCTCTCGTTTTTTGTCACATGACATGAGAAACAAAACAGTATGGGGCTGCATGTAGAAATATCTTTATGAAGTCTCTCGTCCCGTTACAATCTCCCTGAAAAAACCTCTCTCCAGGTTGTGACGGGATATTTTCCCACTTCTGGAACATTAAAGCTACACTGCAGGACATTATATTACAAATATGATTAGCTGGCTGGAATTAAATCAGTTTTATTTTAATTGGGAACAGTTTGAGGTGAGTGGCGCCTCTTTAAAAAACATTTCTAACCCAACGGGTCTTAAGTTTTATCAAGTGAAAACAAAAACATTATTTAAACACCTCATCTCACATTGAGGTAGACTTCTTCAACAGTAGTTCATGTTAGAACTCAGCAAATAGAGTGATAGTGTAACAGTTAGAGCACAATGTTAAGGTCTTCAGTTCAAAATTTCGTCCTTCAAAATCTTTAATTTTCTTTTCATATAAAAATATAATTTTTATATGTATATAAATTCATCTGTAATATTATCTTTAACTATAGTTAATTTATTTATTTATAAGCAATATAATCATGAATTTGATTTAAAATTTCTTTTTGTTTATTTAATAATATTCATTTGTAAGCAAGTTCAATTTATTTTATTTTGTGAATCTTTAATTTCTTCTATTGTGTTTGATATGCATTGATTAATTTAATAATTCACTTAATACATTACAAATTACTGCTGTTCGGTATGCAAGATTTTTTTCAATCATTAATATTTTGGTCCTCCAGTACATTAACCAATAGCAGTAAATTAATTATTTAATAATATACATAATATTATTACATTAAATTGTTTTTGTAACAAACTTTCCACCCACAATGTAGCTTTACCTTTTTTCATTCATACATTTTCTCATCTTATTTCTTTTGCCAATATTATTTCTTTTTCTTATTTGCTTCCTTTGTTTCATAATCCACATCATCGGGGAATTTAATTTAAAAAAACAGTTTGATCTTCTTAATATTAAACTACAGGGGTCTGTTAGTGTGAAATTAATAAAATTGTTGATTTAGGTTGTTTTGTTCTGTTTAATCCTAGCCAATTTGATTTATTCAAGGCTTCATTCAATTGTCTTAATGATAACTTCAACTCCTTTTCCACAACATGGGATGACATTATGGAGTTGGTTTTTATGAATTATTGTCCTTATTTATTTCCTATTGAAGCCAATGAAGAATTTAATGAGATGGTTACACATACCTGTTTTGAGTGTTTAGCTATTCATAAAACCAACTCCTCTAAAGCCTCAAGTGCCGTCGATCGACTTCAGTCCTTTTTACAAATTACTCCTTCTTCTCCAATCATAACTAGGACTCGTAGCCCTCATACTACAAAGATTGAAAATAATTCAAAGGACACCATTGTTAATAAATTTTCCAATGACCACTCCATCGGCTTAAGTATTGAGACTTATCCAATATAACAGATCAGTCATTCTGATCCCACTTCCATCTCTTCTAAACTGGTCTGTATTAATAATGAAGGTGACTAAACATCTTCATCCTTTACCTGCCCAACATGTAAGGCAGTTAACTCGCGCTGCAAATTCAAATTTTATAAAAAGTGTTTAAGAAAATAATAAAATTAAAGGTTTATATGATCTTGTTTTTATGATTGCAAATTGTAAACATTTTGTAAAATTTAATGATTTTTTAAATATTCTCTGTTACGCGCTACCACTCCACACGTATTGAGCATACTGTTTATAATGTTGTCACTTATTTCACAAGGAATTTCATACCATAAAAATGGTAGTATTGCTCTCATAAATATAATGGTGGTCAAAAAGCCTTTTCTGCAGTATATCACACAATGTGCTCAATGGGATTGTGATGTGGACTCAAACAATGAATTTTAGCAATTTTCAATTCTACTAATGTTATTGATGTATAACTTTTATTATATTATATTTTTCGTGTTTTGTAGAAAACAATTCTCATAATTTAGAAGGCAAAAAGGATTTACATATTATGAGTGACTGTGTCATCAATATGCCAATTTCTTTAGGACTACAAAAGAATTCACCTTTAAAACCCAGGGTAGATAAGTTTTTGCAAAGAGTGATTGAAGCCGGATTGGTAAAAAAGTGGTTGGCTGATGTAATGTTAACTACTGTAGTAGCAGAAGCACCATTTGAAAAAAACAATATTAATGCTGTTATGGACTTGAAAAAATTTGTTGGTGCATTAGTAGCATTAGGAATTGGATATGGATTAGGTATTATTTCACTTATTATTGAAAATGTTTATTGGTATTATGTAGTACAAAAGAATCCACTATTTGATAGATATAGACAGGATTGTAATAGAAAATGTTAATAAAAAGAAATTATATAAGACCAAATCATGAATTTATAAAATTTAATTATCGCAAATTAGTCAATTTAAAGATATTTTAATAGCTAAGTAAGAAGAAAATATTAGTTGTTAAATAGTTTGTTATTAGAATAATTTATAACTGATTGCTGCTTCCAATACAAGAACACTGATGTTCTGACTCAACACTCTTGGCCACAACAGCCCCACATTTAGATATATATCTGTTTTAGTTCTACAAAGATCCTTTTGGACATGATGGACTTTAAGACAGTTTAGTCATTTAGAAAATATAACACGTCAACACAAAAGATGATTATACCATAGTCCAGCATTTTATTAGAAAGGAATAAAAATAAATTGTAGCAATACTTAATCATTTATTTAAAAAACAAATACATACAAAATTTTCCTTTTGCATTATTATTATTATAACTAAACTATTTAAATATATACAATTTACAATCCACGGTTCATAACCTTTTCAGATATTTTATAAGTAGATGATAAATAATGTTATATTCAAAATATATGTTTTTAGAATATTCTTTTAGTAGTATATAGAATAAAGTTTTTGTAGAAACTCTTCTATGAAGAAAACAACTAACAATTCCTGCAAATAAGAAAAGAATAAAATATAAAACAAACATGATGAAATATTTTTCAAAGGTATCGTTAAAGATGCTTACCACATTTAAGATTATTATGCAGAATTTATCTTACAAAGTTTAGCCAATAAACCACTAAGTTGCAAAAGTGAATTGATACCACTTATGATCTTTAGATGAGTTAATCCAATTTCCTATAATAAATACAAGATCATAATTATCTACATGAAAATATTTAACATTTGATAAATATTGTATTTCTTTAAAATTTATATATAAGAAATGCTTGCAATAAACATACATTTTTGCATTACTCAGCCAACTTAACACTAAAAATTTGTCTTAACCTTCAGAAGCTTTAGTAAATATGAAAATAATTTTTACTTTAGTAATTACTAGTAATTAGTAAAAATAATTAGTAAAACTTTAGTAATTTGAATTATATTAAAGAATGAGTAGTACATTTTTATTGTTATTATCTTTTTCCAAAGTGTAGATTTTTTTTTTAATTCCCTTTATCATAATTTGAGAAAAATAAATTTATGGAAATTATATCCTAAAAATAAAATAACACTAAATTATAAAACATTTGGTTTCTAGGAAAATTGTGTAATGCAAAAAAAAATGTGGTAAGCCTGATGAATTTATCAGGTGTAACTTTTTTAATCTTTTATTGGAATCTTCAATTTGAATTAGTAAGGTACACTATGACTATATTGGTTCACAGTATGACTTCATTTTCTGAAAAATGAGTATCAACCAAAATTTTGATACTAACAAAAATGGCTCAGCTGGATTAATTTTTATTCTAATATAAAGCTTTCAAGAGGATTAGAAAGCTGGTAACTAGCCAATATTGTTGTTTATTAATTAAAAAATTGTAATTATTCTATTCATTTAAGTTTTGAAAACTTTGACATTTAATGTAATATTTTTTATTTTATCACAAGCCAAATAATTAATAATTTACATGTAACACATATAAATATAAACAAAAACATGGTCCTCTTACAAGGAAATTAGGGAAAAAAATAAAAATCAATATAGCAATAAAGTACCGATTAAAATCAATATAGACATATAATAGGAATGAAACACTTAGAAAATAACTTTCAAATTCAAACTTTCGATGTTCTCAGTGAGACTCTAGACTCTCATTAGCAATGAACATTAACAATGCCCAGGGAGTGTCTAAATTTCGAAAGTCAATTTCAGTCAAAGTCAATCAACAGTAACCAGCTAATGCATTGGAAAATCTGATTTAATCATGTAAACATCAGACAAAGGGCAAAAAATATTTTGCACCCAAAAACTCTTTGAGAAACATTATTAAAACAAAACAGCTTTCAATCTTCCATCACATGACATCACAACAAATGTCAGGTTCTCATATTAAATATATTATTGCATTAAACTGAAGACGAGGCAAATGAAGCGGTAGGCTACAATTAGTATAATAATAAAAATAAAATTATATTAACTAACCTTAATAAATTCCAATTTCAAAGGTTCTTGAATATCAAGACTCTTTGTTACTCTAAATATATTTCCAATCAGATCTTCAGCAGCATAACCAAGTTTCCATAAATGAGCTAAAATCTAAGGAATAAAAAATACAAATTCATAATGGTATGAAATTCATTTATGTAGTTATACTAATTACTTGATAAGTAAGGTTTCTTATGCCTTTATAAATTGTGGTTTTGTTTTTATTAATTAATTTAATTATTAAGAAGGAAGGTACGGTTTATAGGTGATTTACAAAATAAATAAAATTAGCAATTAAGAGATTTAATAATCAGCATATAAGAAAATGATTGTTGAGAAATTTAAAATCCTAATTACATCTCTCATCTACTCAATAATCAAAAAAGAAAAACATGTATCATGCATTCAAGTAATTGTTTCAAAGGATGAATCTGGTTTCATCGTAAAAAACCAAGCCTGGCCAACATGTGACCCTCCATGTTATCTTTTGGCAGATGGTTTTATATTTTAACTGAAATTTCTTTTCTCATTGTGTAAATACAACAAATATTAAATGAATGAAAATTTGAACTAATTCTTCATAAAAGCAAAATATAGTTGAACAAATCAGAAAAAAAAAAGAAAAGATAAACAATTACAAATTGATTAGGACTCGAGAGTTATAATATTACTGTGATTATAATACAGCTGAATTCCTTTTCCTTCCTCACTAGGGAAGGTAGGGAAGCATTCTATTCGTTCGAGGTTGAAAAAAATTGTATGCCCAGAATCGAAAATTTCCACTCCCGTTTTATGTTTCAGACATCAAATTTGGTTTGGTGTCTGCGGTCAAATCGATGTAACAGGTGTATGACCTACTACCCTTCATCTGATTTTCGTAAAATTTTCAGGAATTGTGCGGGTTGGTGTCTAGATGGTCCATACACTAGCGGATCCAGGATTTAATTTTGATGGGGGGGGGGAGAGCTTCAGCCAGAAAGCTTATTTTTCATAAAAATAACTATAATTACTTTGGAAAAAAAGAAAGAAACTAACTAACTATATGAAATGCTGTTTGAGTGAATCCTGAAGTCCTTTTAAATATAATTACATGAACAATAATACTTTAAGAGATAATTTTTTTTCCATAAAACATGGTTATATTTTACCATTTTGGGGAAGGGGCTTCAGCCCTAAAGTCCTCCATCCCCCTCCTCCCCGCCCGAAGATCCGCTCGTGGTCCTATATCAATTTTATTAAATTCTAATATATATATTGATATATACTTAATAGGTATGTTTTCACTCATAAAATGGATGGAACAAAAAACCCAGAGGACTTAAACTTTGTTTGCTCGGAGTTAACGAGACCAATACAATACTTTTCTTCAGTCAAAACAAAATTAATTAAGCTGGAATATAAAATATGCCTGAAGTTCACTCAACTTTGATATTTAAGGAGGAAAGCCAGAACATGACAAGCTGGTTGAACTTCAATAGAAATAAACACAATAACAAATAAGACTATTTTTTTACAAACGCAGAGCAAAAATTAATTGAAATTTACACAAAATCTAAGAAACGGTGACAAGTGTCATGCCAGTTTTTTTTTTGGTCCTTCTGGCTAAACGGGATTTTCCATGCCAGGAGGTGTTGGCAGGGATTTAAAAGACTCCTAGCAATGGTCTAAGAACTCGTGACTATTTTTTATTTATTTGTCTTATATATCAGATTGCCGGGCAATGGCGGTGCTGTGCACATGCATTAGTCCATTCGGCCACCCCGCTCACACATAACGTTTGGAATCAACCAAACAATACACTGCAAAATTAACGTTTTGAATAAAACCTAAAATTTTACAAGCCCATAAAAATATTGTCTTAACTCAAATCCCACTCCAGATGATCAATACCTTCCACATTGCAGTCATTATATGGTTAAAAATTATTTATATTAATTTTAATTATTCAATAAAATCGATACTAGATAATTTCTGTACTATTTTCCAAAATTTCTCCAAGTTTGGGTCAAATCGAACGCACTGTTTTCAAACTATCGGCATGTCTAATAATACATTGTCTGATCTCAAAGCGGAACTATTTTTGGAAGTAGTGGATAAAATTTAATAAAATTGATACATACTATAATCAAGTATTTACTGTGCTGTTTACTAATCCCTAACTTTCCTCCAAATCGAACATGCGGGTTTAGATATATAGACGTATCAAGTATATAACAGAAAGTAGTGGACAGAATTCAATAAAATTGACACATTATTTTTTTATCCAATTTTGAGCCAAATCGAACAAGCCATTTTTGAAATATTGGCATATCTAAACAACACATTAGCGCATGTGCAAGTGCCAGAGGGAATTTGACAAAATTGATATGGGACCATCTAGGCACCAACCCACACAATTTCTGAAAATCGGGTGAACAGTACTAGGTGATATGCCTGTCACATCGATTTGGCTACAGACAACCAACGAACCAAATTTGATCCTTGATGTCTGAAACGTAAAATGCAAATGAAAATTTTTGATTCTGAACACAATTTTTTTTTTTAACCTCTCTCACAAATACATTCCTACAATCGGTGTTCTTTTTTTAGAAATTATATAATTTAATTTTTATGATCACTTAAAGTTCTTTTTATGATAATTTTCAGTTATTTTGCTTTTCATGAATGAGCAAACACGAAAGAAAGCGAAGTGTTGCGGGATTGCCGCTCTAATTTTGCATTGCTATGTGCAGAGGGGAAGGCATATATTCCGTTTATTAAAAGTTGAATAAAAAGGTCAAAATGCATTTTTAAAAGCTAAGATCATGCAGGGTGACTCAAAATAGTATTTTAAACAAATTTATGCAAAAAAAAAAATAGTTTTTCTGGATGTCTTTTTGGATTTTTAAGGATGCAACATCTGGTCGAAACACGCGAATGAGCTCTCGCAGTCAAAGGGCTAAAGAGAAGATCCTTAGTGTCAGTCTTTATAATATGCTTAAGTAACATTCAGAAATATATCTATTGCATATAACTTTTGCTCTAATACTGTTAAAATAAAGTATGCCATTCAGTGGATGAAATTTTCAAAATACAAATTGATGGTCGGATATTATTTGGTTATCTATTAGTATGTCAAGGGGATGGATGACAAACAAATTGGATGGTAGGATGAGGGATTGGGATTGCATTAGTTCTTTGTTGGATTTATTAATCGTGGAGATGAATAAGTACTTCCAATGTATAGGCAATTTAATAGGCCTTTTAGTTTAATACTGCATCGTAAATCCTCATGTGGAACAATATAGTCTATCTTTGCTTTCTTTAAGATAATTAAATGTATTATTTTATAACTTAAGATTTAACATCACAAAAACTTTACTTACTTTATATGGAAAAAGCAAATAAAAAAATAATAACCTTATAAGCTTTTTCAATATCAGATGATACACAGTGTTGAAGCATTTCTTTTACAAGTAAGGGGTGTGGTTCATCACATACTTTAAAGACATTTTCACTATTAACATGACCAAATCCTATTTAAGAATTTATTTATTAGTATTAGTATAATAAAATAAAATAACACACACAAAAAAGAATAAAATTGTTTACCAGTCCTTACCATTTAACGTAGACTGCAAATTGTTTAGAGCTTGCCTCATATCACCCTGTGCTGTAAAAACAACAGCTTCTAAACCATCATCAGTATAGGATACCTGTAACACAAATTTCCAAGAAAAAAATTAACAAAATCATTTTCTTACATTCTGATAAAATGGAATTTAAAAATTTATGTTTATCTAAATAATATATTTTGGAACCGGACAGGAGTAAAATTGAGGGATCAGAAGATACTCTGAGAATGAGGTATAGATTTTTTGAAAAATCTGTCAAAAAGTATCACTTTTTCATCTGATTCAGATACCATGTACATTAAATGAAATCATGATTTTTTTTTTATAACCAATAATCATATCCCTCCAACCCTAGTCTTTGTAAATAAAAATTAACCAAAATAAGGAATAATGGTGATTTAAATGATTTTTTTAATTAATACATTTTTTAAATAAGTATTTTAAAGTAAATTTTTGATAAATATAGGTCAAATATAGAATATTGAGTTTTAAAAAATATACTAACCCCTTCTTTTTCACAAATTTCTAGAAGCTTTGCCAGAACTTGAGAATCTTTGAGTTTTTCGTATCGCAACATGGCACATCGTGACTGAATGGGTTCAATGATTTTCTCACTGTTGTTACAAGCTAAAGCAAACCTTGTTGTATTACTATAGATTTCCATTGTTCTTCTGAGAGCTTGTTGAGCACCATCTGTCATACTGTAATGGGAGAAAAACATTTAGAAAAGTTTATTAATAACCATGTGAGTAGTGAAATTTCATATATCTTGTCCATTTAACAAAAACTTTGGATTATCACAAACATTAACATGTTTGTGATAATCCAGTTTATATATTCTTTGTATTTCTATAAAATGTACTCTTTCTATTTGTGAAGAATTTGTGTGATGCAGTCAGAAAAGAAATCACACAGATAATTTTTTAGATAAAATGTCAGCACACATAAAAATATAATTTTGAAATACAATCAGTCTGTTTTTTACCACATCTAGCTTCTTAAATTGCTTCCATGATCAATTATATCTGTACCACTACCCTTTTCAGGATTTATAATAAATTTATTAGAAAAAAGTAAATAGTCGGCTGATCAATTATAAGAATAAAACAAAATTGAGGATTTGACCCAAACATTTGGGTCATCACCAGGTATATCGTTTGGATGTTGAGACAAGAACTGACTAACGTCGGCTAACCCAATAATTATTACCGTGATTGAAATTCCTGACAATTTTGTTTTATTCTTATAATAAATTCAATTTCCAATGTTATAAATGATTTGAGATGTTTTAAATAAAATAATCTACTTTTAATCACAGACTTATGGATGGAAAAGGAAAGACAAAAAAAATTGTTATAAATACAAAAAAAAATCTACTTTTAATCACAGAAATTCATGGATGAAAAGAAAAAAAAATATGTTTTAAATGAAAACATTTATACATTTAATCACTGAAATTCTTGGATGGAAGAGAAAAAGGTATATTCTAATAAAATGGAGGAGATTCATCCATATAACTTAAAACTATAACACCTTGTAATTTAAAATTTTATGAATGGATCTTGTATGTATATGTATATATTTAGCCAATACTATTAACTTCCATATGATTTTGATATTTATAAAATATGAAATAATGACTATTAATTTATGTTTTTAAACTCTAATTTAAGAAATTTGGAAGAGGATATATATATGTTTGATCAAATACTTTGGATATTTTCATAGTTGACAACAATTTTAACAGGACAATAAAATTAACATAAAAATAAAATTTAATTTGTGTTTTTATCTAATCTGGAATTTATGAGAACATAAATAAAACCAAATTAGCAGAGTAAAACTCATCTGTGAGATTAAAAATTGTACTTCTACTTAGATATAACATGAAATTAACAAACTAAACTCCTGATTTAAAATTGGTAACATTTGTGTTTTAAAATAATATTTTTACATGATCATTTAAACAAATAATAAGCATAAAAAAATGTCAAAAACAGACATGAATTTCTGTGATTAAAAGTAGATTTTTTTATTTAAAACATCTCAAATCATTTATAACATTGGAAATTGAATTTATTATAAGGATAAAACAAAATTGTCAGGAATTTCAATCACGGTAATAATTATAGGGTTAGCCGACGTTAGTCAGTTCTTGTCTCAATATCCAAACGATAGCCCTGGTGATGACCCACATGTTTGGGTCAAATCGTCGGCTAACACAATAAATATTATCGTGACTGAAATTCCTGACAACTTTGTTTTATCCTTATAATTGATCAGCCGACTATTTACTCTTTTCTAATAAATTTATTATAAATCATGAAAAGGGTAGTGGTACAGATATTAATATAATTTTCAAACTGATCTTCATGATTTGACAAATAAAACATCCTCTTTCTTACTCCTTTGAAGAGGAAAAGTTATATAAAAAAAATTATAACACTTTTTAAAAATCAACTGTTTAAATTAGAAACATAGTTGTTATCATTGGTTTTTACTCCAACTTAAATAATTAACCTTAAGTAGTAAAAACAAGATTAACAATTTAAAAAGAATCAGTAATTTTAAACCACCTATCAGCTTCATCTAAAATTACAATCTTATGTCTTCCAGGGGGTAACGTAACTTTCTGTTGGGCGAACATTTTTATTTTGTTTCTAACTGTATCTATGCCACGATCATTAGACGCATTTAATTCTAACACTGCTTCTTTCATTGCAGGGCCAAGAAGAACTCTGGCTAAACACAATATTGTAGTAGTTTTACCAACACCTGGAGGACCCTAAACAAATTAACAATAAAATTTAAAATATTGAAATTTTCTGAACTCCAATAAAATTAAAATAGCATAAACCATTAATCTAAATGAAAGTATGTATATGTATATGTACATTATATATATAATTATATTGATAATATATATATTGCTTTTCTCTTCTATCATATTGCTACTGGTATTATTATTTAGAAAATTTAGATATACATTATATATATATATTGCTATTGGTATTACTATTTAGAAAATTTATATATACATTATATATATATATATATATATATATATATATATATATATATATATATATAAAATGTATATATAAATTTTCTAAATAGTAATACCAATAGCAATATGATAGAAGAGAAAAGCAAAAAGACAAATCCTACAAATTTATAAAAAAAAATAATAATAATAAAATAAATAAAAAAAGTTTTATTTGAACTTAATTCCAATTCCATATAATTGGATTTTCAATCTTTTAATTCAATTGTAAAAATTAAAATATAACATTAATAATTTTAAATTTTGTATTTCATATTTAAAATAATCATTAATTTTGAATGTTTCATTTTACTTATGTAGATTAATTAAACTTATAACAAAAAAGTAGGTAGGTTTGAAATAATCATTTTAATAATAAAAGTACGGATTTCCAAATAATGATGCATTAGCTAGTTCACAATTGGCCAAGAGAAAACTCATGCGGCACTAACTAATTATAAGTTGAAATTAACTTTTTATCCCATTAGCTTTCGATATTTCTTATAAAATCTTAACAAATACAAACATATATTACAATATTATCTAGTAATATTTGTAAATAACACTGGAGGAAGAGGTAAAACAAAATTAGATTTAAATTGGTGTCCCATGAGTTTCGCCTGGGACTGCCTATTTAAATGAAATGGTTAATGATAATTCTCAGGTCGCATTAATACCAATCATTTAAAAATGTATGAGAAGTATGATAACAATCATGATTAGTAGTAATATGTATACAATCAGTTTTCTGAATTCTAGCATATGCTAATAATCCTCTTTATTGTTATCTCTAATTTTGCTATTTCATTCTTATCTTAAGCTGTTCCGGATACCTCTCTATGTTCAGGAGAACAAGCAATTCATCAAAAAAACTTTTATTTAGTCTATTTTTATCATTCCGATCATATGTCCATAAATTTGAATCTTCTTTTTTCTCATTGAAATATAAGATGTTTTGTCTTTATTATATTATTTTGGTTTTAATATATTACATTTTGTAATAATGAATCATGGTGCCTGATAACAATGAACATTTATTGGGTTTTGAATTCTGGAGTAACAGCATTAGAACAGTATCGATAATTTGGAACAGTTCAGTTCAGGAACGTGTTCAAACTCGTATACTAAAAATCTGTAAGAACACATCCCTACCCACATTTAAAACAGAGATGGGTAAATGCTACTCCGAGTACCAAGTACCAAGTATTTTACTAAAATTGAATCACTATTGGAAATTCAATCACTACTTCAGTTAATCGTATGACATCAACTGAAGTAGTGATTAAATTCTTTGGTACTCTACAAAATTCAGTATTTGAGTAAAATACTTGGTACTCAATAGTCAGAATAATATTTGTTGCCTATCTCTGATGTAAAATAAAGATAAAACAAAATATATGATAGTAAGCAAAAATTCCATCGTAACATCAGAATCTACACAAAAGAGAAATTGTTCCCAACATTAAACAAGTTAAAGCACTCGGCTCCAAAGTATCAATGCAAGGCCAGCGATCAGAAGTAGATCAGCATATATCAAGCACAAACAAAGCTTTCTACTACTTTCAAAAGTATTGAAATACTAAAGAGATCTTTAATCAATGGTGTACAATGCTAGTCAATTAATATTTCATAATATGAAGGCCAAGAGATCAAGATGGATATGGAGACATGTAGCTCAAAGCATTCATTCACAAGACCTCTACACAGCAATATATATCTCAATACTAGGCAAGAGATCATATAGAATGCCATGAACCAGATGGATAAATTAAATCAACAAAGATACTGCAAAGCTGCATCAAAAATCTGAATATCATTACCCCCAAGATAGGTAGATAAGAAGACTTGTTATGGGAGCAGAAGATGTACAAAAAGATCTCTACAGCCAACAAAAATAAAACAAATATTCAAATTAATAAACCAAAACATGCACACATTTACACTAGGCTTTACTCTGCTAATAATGGTTCAACAAAATTATTTTATTTTTTAGAGAATTGAGAAATCTTTTAAATTATAACAGGTATAATCAATCATATGTAGTATAAGGATGTCCCAATTATGAAATTTTTTGGGATCAGCAGGAGTCATTGGAGAGCTCATGTGCAAAGGAAGGCAGATAATAGTATTCCCAAGAGAATCATGAACTCTGCCCAGGTGGGTAAGAGGAAGATAGAAAGGCACCGGTTGAGATGGTTGAACCAGATTACAAAATATACAGTGCAGCAAGCGTCAGATGATGGGCAGGTGTAGAGATATGTGAGGGCTATTTCTTTGGGATGCCACGGCCCAACTAGACTATATTGCCTAGGATGTATGTATGTGTAATCAACCATAAATGACAAGCCTTTGGAGTTATGAGCAAATAATTTTTCTTTTCTTAATAACTTTACACCTTAACTTTTCGGTTGATAAGATTTGCTTATATTTTGTTACAGAATTAGATAATCTTCAAAATGGTGGCACATCCATTGCCTTTGATCAAGAGTTCCAATTAGAAATTATATGTTACTTACAGCAATAATAATGTTAGGTGTGTTCCCTGTCTTTGAAAATACTTCTAATCGAGAAACTAAATCTTCATTTCCAACAATATCATGAAATTTCTGAGGCCTGTACTTTTCAATCCTACAATGTGCATATAAATTAAATTAAATTCACGATATAAACTGTATATTACTTTATTTAATGAATCTTTACCAAGGGATACTTTTCGAAGATTTCATTCCAGAACTCCCTGAACATTCAACCTCCATTTTCTCAATCTTACTATCCATTATATATTACAGAATAGTTTAAAAATCGAAAAATAAATTAATTAACATTAAACTGTTTATATTTACAAATAACTAAATTATTAATAACTCGTTAGAAAGCGAGACTTCATTTTAAATCTTTTGCTAAAGAATTGAAATATATAGAATAGAAAAAGTTTTTATTTTTCTAACATAACATTCTCTGGTCTCAAGATTAATACGTGAATACGAGAAACCAAGACGAATAACTAAGAACTGGCGGCAAAGTCGAATTACATGATTACCTTCCAAGTGAACTAAGAGATAGATTAACTACAAGTAATCAAACATGGCAGTAAAAACAAGCAACCTGATAAACTTCCTCTCTTATTTCCTTTCATAAATACGTGAAGTGAACGTGGAACGTCAAATATTAAATGATTGTATAAATAAATAATTATTAAACTATTGGAAGTAAATCAGATTAACTTTTATATAGACCCGAAGAACAGTAAAACTCGAAAATTGTTGAGATAACTTATAAACAAATTCGCCCTAATAAATAAATTCAAAGTAATGTTTAATAGCCAATAATGACTCTATCTTTACTTTATAATTTCCACTGTGTTAAAATTATCATACGAACAATTGTTTTGGGATAATTTTAAAAAAATTATCCGGAAGCCGGTGTAGTGTAACACAAGATACTGAGTTATTCATTATTATCAACCTAAAACTCATTAAAATACTTAATTATACGAAGTTCCTAAGGATGATCTATAACCAAAATACATATATATATATATATATATATATATACTTAAAGGTGCGTTTAGACATTTCTCAAATAATGAGAAAATAATTATCTAACTTTACTAACAGCGGAATTACTGCTAAATTAAACTATTTATTTTATTTATCTTGATACTGAAAACTGGTGGAAAATATCAAAAATATTATTATAGTGAAATAACCATTTATATATTTACCCCCAAGGTCGATGGCGCAAAAACTACCCCCCCCCCCACTCCCAAGAAATTTTATTACGCAATCTTCTTAAAAACAGTGCATGCTAAAACAGAATTAGAAAAATCGTAAATCATATACAATTACACTTACTGTGATCAATTCCATATTTTCTCCTTGTTTGAAACTTTTCACTCCGAAAATTCATAAAGTGACCCCCTCAAAAATTCAAAACTATCAAAAACTGCAACTCTCAAAAATTTTGATGGCGCAACTAGCACAATGAAACCCTCTTGTGGACACCCCTGCTTTCTCATATAGTTTGTGAAATGTCTAAACGCGCCTGAAGACCTAACAATTTGTTTTTTAGTAAAAATCAATATAAACTTGATGTTCAACCTTTTTTACTTTTACTCACTAACGGATTCAGGATTTAATTTTTGGGGGCTTTAACCCAAAAGATTTTTTTTTTTTTTTTTTGTATAAACTTATTCGGATAATGACTTAGGTAGAAAGAAAGAAACTAACTGCCTGTATGAAATGGTTGTTAAGTGATTGTTGAAGTCCTATTAACTGTAATTAGACGAATAATAATACTTTTAAAGATAATTTTTTTATAAATCGTGGTTACATTTTACTATTTTGGGAGAGCTTCAGCCCAAAAGCTCCCCCCTCCCTCCTTCTCTCCCGATCCACCCGTGCTTTCACTTATCTATATATTAAATATATAGTATTACTTTCATTTACCTATATATTAAATATATAGTATTACTTTCACTTACCTATATATTAAATATACAGTAAGGGAAAGTATTGCGATCGTGAAAATTTTCGAATCTCAGTTTTCAACGGAAATACACATTTTGAGGTCCCCTGAGTCTAAATAACCAAGTCCCGCAAAATGTTCTGTGTGTGTGTGTATGTCTATGTCTAGCTCAAAAACGAAAAGTCGTGCGCAATTGAAATTGCATATTAAATTTTTTTATATGCTGTGAATGTTACACCAACTTTTTCATCAAAATCGGCTAACTGGAAGTGGCACTTAATATATTGGACTAAACACATTTTTTCGATTTTCTCGAAAACGGCTCCAACGGTAATGATTAAATTCATCATATCAGTGTAAAATTAAGCAATTTTAAATAAAATGTAGTTTTTATTCTGAACGATATTTTCTAACAGGGCTTAGTTCGCTGATTTTCAATGTTAGCTTCCCGTAAAGTACCTTTAATTTTTTTTATTTGAAACAATTGACTATTTCACATTAATTTCTAATATAAACGATAATTTAAAAAATATGAAAGAAATTGATAATGAAAATTAACTAAAGCAGAAATAAGAGATCGCAACGGAGAATATTTGTATTTGAGGAACCAAAGGAATACGAGCGCACTCGAGCTCCCCCGAAAGATTAGAACGCGCTTCCATACGTAACATGAGCTTAATATAATAAAGACTCCGGCAATATTATGTAAATGTTCATATGTGGTTTTCACAGATGAAATTGTTGATGAAATTACAGCGAAATAAATATTAAAATTTGTATATATAAGGGTACTTGTAAAAATAAACATATCCACAATGAAATATAAATCAATACAGTGTTTGTAATTTTTACTTTCACCTCCGCTTTGTCTAAAAATAGAGGAATATAGAAGAGGAAGGTAAGTGAAAGTTACCTTAAAAAATATAAATTATTTTTGGCCATGTTGGGCTATTATAAATTTTTTTATTTGCATTTTTAGCCAAACTAAAGCTAAAATATTACAGCTGACAAATCTAAAATACCATTAAAATAACAAAAGTCCTATTTATTATATCACTGGTTGATTATGGATTGTATGATCCATTGATTATGGATTGTACGACTATTAGTTATTAAACTGTTATTTTACATTGCAAAGTTTCCTAAAACGGAATCAAGAGATTTACATTGTCTGTCACAGATAGGTCAAAAGTTGCCACACTAATTGAAAGTGGATACTGTTGGATATTGCAAAGGGAAAATTCATCAAATTATTCACTAATTTAATTTCCTGAAAAGTTTACATTAAGTGAGAAAATTGCATTTAATTTCTTTGAAAACATGTGATGTACGTTAAATAATTTTAGTTTTTAGAAATTATTATTTATATTTGTTTATGTCACTTTTCGTTACCTTCTGCAACTTTCTATATTAGATATTGTTTTTTTTTTTCTAAAATTCTCCGATTTCCAACAATATATTATTCGTATACCTTCTGATTAGTATTTCCGGAGACTCATTTTCGACCTGGATTAGCATTTTTATTTTTTTCTCCTTTATTCAATTATCATTTTTTTCAAAAGTTATATTTAACATTTTTTCGTAACTCTTAATAATGAGAGAAAGTTAATTACTTAAAATAAACTATATTAAAAGTACTTTAGAGGAAGACGCATATTGGGTTGACACATAATGAACATTAGACATTTAAGCCCTGTAAAGTGACATCAACTGGGATAAGACCTAAATGATATTAAAGACCACTTAATTATACAATGATACACCGAGTTTCATCAAAATCGTTTCAGCCGTTTTTGAGGAAATTGTAAAAATGTGTTTCACCGTTGATATAAAGTGGCACTTCCGGTTAGCCGATTTTAAGGGAAAAGTTGCAGTGACATCTAAGGCATATACCTATCATAAATACATAATATCAGTTTCGTACGACTTTTCGTTTTACAGCTAGTCTGCTAACATACAGACACAATGACTCACAGACACACAGACCATTTTTCGGAACTCTGTTATTTGGACTCGGGGTATCTCAAAACGTGTATTTCCGTTGAAAACTCAGATTCAAAAATTTTCACTACCGCAATACTTGCCCTTACTATATATTACATATAGACGTAAGTGAAAGTAATAGGAAAAGCCGCTAGACCCACTTACCTATCTCTGGTACAGTACAATATCTATATCTGGAAAAAATATTAAGATCAATTGTAGAGTCATGGGTGGTAGAGGGAGGGTGTGGATCATCAACCTCGCTAAAATTAAGATCCTTCAAGTTGGAATAACCCAAGAGAATGAATATCAGCATCTTCTGTAACAATGAGGTTATTGGAGTGGTATCGGACTTCATATATCTATGTAGCGTGATCAACAAATCCCGAAAAGTAGACTCAAAAATTACAAACAGGATTTCAAAGGCAAATTCAGTTTACTACCAGATATACAATTCAATCATCAGAAACAGTGAGGTGCTACATCTGTTTAAATCCGTGAACACCCCAGTCCTTCTTTATAGAACTGAGAGCTGGGTTCTGATAGCAAAATTGCTCAGCTGATTCACATCAGTTGAGACGGGGATTCTGAAAAGGTAATTAGAAAAATAGGAAGAGATCGCAATAAAACTAGAGAATCAGGGAAGAACTGAAGATATGCCTTACCCAGAAAAGTAATAAAAAATCGATAGCTGAGGTGGTTTAGACACGTCTATCGCATGGATTACCATATCAAAGCAATGGAGGTGAAACCTTTGGGCATGAATCATAGGAATTCCAGCTTGGGTCACGTCTAAAATTTTTTTTATATCATAAAAAGTTAATCTTATGAGAAGATGTTTATTTTGAAATTTATTACCTAAAATACTAATTTGATTTATTTTATTTATTTTTCTAAGTGGGACAGGTGATGAACGTGTGGCAAAGGTATTTTTGCTCCATTTCCACTATTGAAAATAAAAATAGTTCAATCAATCAAAAAATCATTACCTACAAGCGGTCACCCAAATCACATATCCCTCCTTGTTTTTTCGCTGTTGTTGGGATATAAGATATTCAATGGTGTTAGCTAGGCGCTGGCAGCCCCATCGTAGCATCTTTACAATCTCGACAAGTAGACCGCCCTATTACAATATGGATATTGTAATAAAAATTAAACATTTTAATTCAATAGTTTTTATTTTAATTCACTATGATTGATTTCCAATTAAATAATTATGGACAAGTTCCAGAACTCAGTGCTAATATATAGAGCTGATGATAATATGACCGTGATTATAATATGAGGAGTTACTCTACATCAACCAACTCCTTCTCAAAATAATACTTATCATTTATCTCAGTGTTAGATTAAAGAACTTGTTCTATCTTCAGTTCTTATTATTGAACCGTTCGTTACCGATCACGTTATACATTGAGCCTTTGCTTAATAACATGCAAGGTTTGGATCTCAAGGCATTGAAGGAAACAAAATAAGAATATTTTAATTTTTTTTTTGAACCGGAGTTTTGTTCTTGTTTTATTAAACTATTCCTATATTAAATATTTCATTATTCAGTTTATTTTCTGATTCTTGTTTGCTCTAATAGGAACACTTCTTTAAGTTTAATTGTTAAATTTGTTTATACTTAACTAATCAGTTCCTAAACTTCTAGTGTGTTGAATATTTAGTTGACAATAATGGCATTAAAACAGGGAAGGTGGATTTTTATGTTGAAACATCTTCATTATAAAAGATTGATTGTGGATTCACATTTTCCCCTTTGCAATACTACAGTAGATTGCAATAAAATCTCGGATCCTTTAATTCCCATAAGAAGTTTTTCTTTCAAAAACAAAAGTAAGGAAATTGACAGAGTCAATTCTTCTGAAAAAAATGATCAAACAGGACAGTTTCTAATTTTAACCAACGCAATAAAAAAATATAAAAATAATTTCTCCCTAGGTGATATTGAAACTTTAAAGAAAACTGCCGTAGCACAAGAAAAACAAATAACTGAAATTAATTTTGATGCTATATTTATAATGTTGTGTGGTTATGAAAAAGCTTTTTTATTAGGAAAAAGTTATTTTGATTATCTTCGTGCCAATGGAAGTATGAATATTGGTGTAATAGGTAAATTTTTTAGATTATGTTATGATTGCAAAGAACAATGTTCAGATATTGAAAAATCTCTCATGTTAAATTTATTTAAAAAACTGGTCAGTAAATATGATATATTGGATCATAAAACTTGTGAAAATGTAGCACTAGGTTTGTCCATTTGTAATGAATGGAAAGAATGTCTTAAGCTGTTAGAAATGGCCCGTTTCACGTCGGTCCCTTCAACTAAGATGTATTCTGCAATTATAGAGGCAGCATTTTGTAATCACGAGATGGATTTGGGTTTTAATTTAATGCATGAAATGGTGAGAAATAAGTTAACACCCTTACCCAATGTTTATACTAGTTGGTTAAGTGCTTCAAAATTTAGTAGAAATGCATTTAATGAATTATTCAAGTTTTTTGAAAAACATGATTTACATCCATCAGAAGAAGTTACAATGTTATTGTTACCTCACTATAATCAACACAACAAAAGAACAAAATACTGTAAAATAGCTGAAGTAAACAAAAGGTTAAGTCTTTTATGTAAATTAGGTGTTAACTAATATAATTTATGTTTCTCATAATTTATCATTATTGCAGTGGGATGTGTCAATCTTGCTTTCATCAGCTAAATCCACTTACTATTGATGAATCAGAATTTAAAAAAATGAGAGATGCATTTTTAAATCCTGTGTTGATTGGGAAGGATATATTTCATAAATCCAAACCAGAGGAATTTAAATCATTTATTAATTTTCTTGAAAGAATAGAGCACACAGATGTTGTTCTTGATGGTCTTAATATAGCTCTTTCTCCAACAAATAGGAAACATGATCTTCAACTGTCTGCAGGAGTGGTAATTTTTTATTTAATGTTTAACAATTATTATAATTATTTTTGTCGTTTTCATTTTATTTATTTTCAGCTGTGTCGTGTTGTTAAGCATTTCGTTAATCTTTCTAAGAAAGTTATGGTTCTTGGAAGAAAACATATGAGTTTATGGCCTAAGGTTGATATGGATTATATTAAAAAAAATGCTTTCCTGTTCCTGGTAGAAAATGTGTAAGTTTTTATTTAAAATAAAATTTTTGGAACTAGAGGCTACTTACATTGCACTATTATTATTTTTGTTTTGCTTATTGCCTTGATGTGAACAAATGGTGGGAAAGGTATCTTATCTGACTGAATATCAACCTTTTCTATGTAGAGAGTAATGGTTGAGATTTATTCCAAGGTTCCAAACCAAAATAAAAGTCAATTCCGGCAGGCCAGATTCGAAAGGAAATCTTATATCCCTTGTGATTAAAGAATACTGAAGCTGTTGTAACACATTCAACCGCTACAGTATGTTTCAAATAGTGATGGATTTTATTTGTTATAAAAAGTGTTGTTATAATGACATGTTTTCACACAATTTACTTTTTATTTTCTATCTTTTATTCCATTGTACAGACTGTGCTGTCACTGTACTGCCTCATAGAAAGGCCACGAGATTTGAAAATATAATTCATCACTGACCACCCTGTCGTTTAAAGAGAGAGCCAGACAGGCTCTCAACTCATATTTCAGTCCACCATAAACTGGAGGAGATTCCCTCATGATTCATACCATCGTCCTTAAAGGGTTAATATATGACAAAAAATATAGCGCCTACTGTTCCAATGTAAAAATAATATAATAGGCAGATAAAAAAAAAAGTAAACAGTGAAAGACATATTTTTGTTTTTATCATATATTATTTATTTCTTTTCAATAGCTAATTGAGATATACTATTCTTCTTTTTCTTGTTCCATGGAATGTATCAAGAAATTTTTGAACTTTCGATAGAATATTTCCTAAAAAAAGTAGAGTAAAAACTAAGGTGTGTGCTTTAGACCGACCACATAATATAAGTGAAAACATCAAGCAGGGGAGATTAATGATATAAATTATAAATAATAGTTTAATATAAAAAAGATGAAATGCTGAACATTTCCCCCGCTTACAGTATATTCCGATTCTTAGTATCTGAAATATTTTAATCCATATGTTCAACTAACCTGGCTATCATTTGGTTTTTGACACTATTTTTTCCTTTTTCCTGCTAACACGGCGTCGCTTTAAGATACAATTTTTAATTATAGCCTATTACAGAGAAGATGAAATGCTGAACGATTTCCTCAATCAATCAAATTCACTCTCCACAAAAAATTGCAAAACGCGCCTAAAGAAGTTTTCACTTCAATGAAATATATTTATATATTATTTGATTTTATAGTTCAATGAATGTATTGTCAAGAAACCTTCACTTTATTTTATTTTTAATATTGTTTACTGAAATTGTACAACTTGGCCAGTTACTGAAGGTGGAAGAGTAGGAAATGAAAGAAGATTATAAATCTAATACTCTGACCAGTTAGTAAGGATTATTCTCGCTCTTCTAATCTTTTCTCATTCCACACAGGTTGGTCTTCAGTAAAATTTCACTAACCAAACTTAAAATAAAATAAAATGGAAGTTCATTGACTATAATTTTTTTTTTTTTTTTTTTAACTTTTATTATGATATTTACAACTGTATTAGTATGGATACATCAAGTAAATGTGTACATAGGAATATTGTCACATGAAACACGCTTGTTGAGAAACCACCCATTGGTAGCACTCTAAGACTATAAATTTAAATGCAATATATACAAACATAAAAGTTGCTTCTAAAACTTATAATCAAAATTAAGTACTATTTTTGTGTCAGGTTCTGTAAACTTTGTTTCACAGGTCCACAGATGATCCATATCTGCTGTATGCAACAATGCACTTTGGCTTAGGAACAGCTTTTGTTTCAAGAGATCAAATGAGAAGTCATAAATTTCTTCTACGAGATCCTGAATTAAAGGATATTTTTGCGAAATGGCAGCAGAAACACCAATATTACTTTTTGTATGCAAGTGAAAATGGAAAGGTTTCCCTCATGGTAAGAAGCATTAAGCTACTGCAAGATTAATACATTTAATTTGTTTTATCATGTTCAATGCTCTAAGTTAGGATGGATGTTTCATCCTAAAGCTAACAACCAGAGTATAGATTTGTTATGTGGATTTGCTACTAAAATAAAAAAGGTATCAGGAAGTAAGTGCTGCTAATTTAAAAATTTACTAATTATACACGTGCAGTCAATTTTATTTTAATCATATAAATTAAAGTGTCTTTAATATAAAGGTCTGTATAAAGTGTCTTTCAGAAAAAAGACTAACAATTTTGGTTAAACTTGTTACATACATGTAAAATTAAGTAGTCTCTAATATCAGGCTAGCATTATCCTTACTGCAATAGTGTGGCAGAGATTAAATGCCTAATTTTCAAAGTTTCTTCCTCTAACTTACTTTTAAAAAATAAATAAATAAAAACCTATACCACAACCCATGAAGGGTCTTGGGATTCAGTACTATGTAATGAAGTACTGTTTCTTGGTCAATGGTTGTGCAAGGAAGTGATTTGACCAAGATCATACTCAACCTCCCTCCAGGTTTTCACTCTTAATTAATTAAGACTACCTACTTTGTAGAGGCTGGGTGTGCCCCAGGAAGCTCTCCCATCCACAGGGTCAATCCATGGCTGATGAAACAGAATAAATAACACTGATATACATTGATATTGTATCTCACTTGAAAATAGCCTCATTCCATGTTTTGTTGGTATGACAAATCCGAATTTCCACATAAAAATCATCAGTTAGCTCTAGTTTCAAGAATAAAGTTGAACAAGTTTTTTAATTCTGTTACTAATTTATATAGAATAGTATTGAGGAAAAAATGTTGTAGTTAACAAGAATAATAAAACTTGAAAACCCATTTTTTTATTTCACCAGAAATCTAGATTCATACAAATTAATCATTATTCAAAAAATAACAGGAGATCATAAGTTATATTTTAGAAAATAAAAAATAAAAATATAGCTTTAATTGAAAAATATAACATACACAATTGAAAAAGTATTTGACAATAACTAATGCAAACACATATGTATGTATGAGAATATATGTATTACGTATATATTTATCACAAATTTGATGATTCGTTGTTATAATTATTCGTTTAAAATTTATTTTTTTGGTAACTTAATTTTTGAATTGCAAACATATTTTAAGAATTAATTTGTAATCAATGGACTAAATGATGTTAATTTAAATGTTCTTATAAAATAATTTAAATACTGTTAATCCTTCTTTTTATCAGTATTACATTTCTTTGTATCTGAATTTTCATGTCTTATCATGTTCATTCTTGCTTCTCGTAGGTTGTCCAAAACAGCGTAATTAAGATTCTGAAATTAGAAATTATTTATTCAAATAAAGCATCTTCAGAAACCTTTCAAATACACACTTGAAAAATAATTTTTGTATTGGAATTTCCACCCAAACGGTAAGGACAGTTGTGTTCATAGTAACTGAAGAAGAATTGGCACCAATCGTGCAAAATAACTTTTTTCAAAAGCCATTCCAGCTTGGCATTTTATCAATAACTTTCAACAAAGTGGCATAAAGACTTGTTTGTTTAAAAATACTTTGATAGTTGTTTGTTTTGAAAGGTAACTTGTAAATAAACATATTATTCTAAAAAAAAATACAATAAATTCATATGTTTTGAATCCCCAAATATAAAAAGTGGTCACAATTTTTTAATCTGTGATTCTAAAAATGCTATTAACAGAACCTTGAATAAGCAGTTTCAGCAATAGAATAAGGATATATTTTATTCATAGGTTAGTAAAAGCAATTAAATTTAAAAATAAATATTTACTAATTAAATTTTTGATTAGTAGTAAACCAACATTTTCATTCAACTTATTGTTATTATTATTTTTATTGTATATTTTGTATTAAACTTTTGAATATAAAATTATTTTATAAATTTAATGATATTAAAATTTCATTTTATTTATTTGCTCCATGTTTTTTTAAGGAGCCTATGAAGTATTCACAAAGTGTACAACAAACAAAGGAAGGTACCTGGCACATTCCTATATCAACAGACATGAGTGGAATTCCAGGGCATCTTATACCTTATAAGAAAAAATGGTTATGTTTTCCAAATTTTTGATTTTTTTTTTTGTTGTAAAAATTGTTTATATTATTTATATTATGAATTGAATAAAGAACAAACCCTATTGAACAAATATGTTACTAAGTAATCTGATTTGAATCTCAAATGATAAATCAAAACCATATCTATGTGACCATTATTACAAAAGACCATATTTATAAGTATGACAAAGTAAATTAAATAGACAAGAATTGTTTTAACTAAGAAAATGTTTTTACAAAATTATTATCTTTGCCTTATATCTATACAAAATTCAGTAGACTTGATAAAGCTCATACATAATAAAAACTATCAACTCCATAAAATATAATTATTTATATTACTTACACGATTCACAGTTTTGAGTTTAAAACTGGTTTTGTGAATGTTCCAGGAGATTGATACAAAGCTGCTTGCAGCTGTTTATAAACCTGTAATAAATATTTAATCTCAGAAAATGCATTCAAAAAGAAAGTAAGCGTACATCCTAGTGGAGTTCCTAAGAGAACAGTTATGCCTGCAAGTAGTTGTGAGCTCATGTAGTCACAACAGTGCTCAACAAACATAACTTGTGTCAGCAAGCAGCAACTGTTTAATGTATCCCTAAGCAACCAATTTTCAATAAATTATGGCAAACTTTGTTTAAGAATATGATAATGAAGGCTATTGATAAAAAAATATGCAATAGACAATTTCTATTTGAAATGAGGTAGATTAAATGAAGATGCTTGATAAACGTTTTAAAATGGCTCTAGATAACTTAAGCATTATGAAAAATAATAGGATTTTTCGGTGATCTATAATGTTTGTTTTAAATTGCCTATAACCAAGTTAGCTTGAATAAACAGGGAAAAAACATAATAGTTCCTGCCGGCTGATCTCAAATGTACCTATAAAATAAATGTGACACAACATGCAGAAAAAGGTTAGGGACTCCTGCTTCTGGGCACAAAAGTGATTATAAAAATTGTCACCAAAAAAAGTTCATTAACCCTTTTAGTTATTGATGGTGGCACCAGGAGGCTAGAAAGGACAGTCTGACTGGAAAGGATTGGGCAAACACATCCAAAGTGTGGGGTGAGATAGTGGGCGTCCCTCTCAACTTTTTCTCTTTGCTTATAGAAATGGTTCTTTTTTGTTTATTTATAATAGTTCACACCCTTCGATGGGGCTTTTAACAAACCACTGGCAGAGACAAAATAATGTTTTAAACATTTTTATAACATATATCAAATCAATAAACATTAAGCAAGGGAGCAAACTGTAAACTAACTAGTGAAAATTTGGGAATGGTACTATCCAAGCAAAAATCATATGGTACTGGTAGTGTTATTTGAGTAACCTACGGTAGCTATGGCTAGAGAAATATGAGAATAAATGAGAAAAACTTGACTTAAATGCTAGCTAGTAAACTTTCTGAGATAAAAAAGTTTTCGTAACAATCAATAGATGCCTTAGGCATCTTATTGCACAAGCGCCCTTCACTGGATGTTTTAAAATGAGATAAAGTAGCCCATATATATACATTAGCTATAAAGAAACATATTAATATATCATCGTGAAGACCAAATTTAGTAAATATTTCTTTAATGGTGGGGAATCCTCAATCCATTTCATGGGGAAATCAATAATAATCAGGTAAAAGCAGGAGCTTTTATCACCATATCCATCTGAATAGGTCTCACTAAGTATATGGACAAACTGAACTTAACATATACCATTATGTTAATTAGAGTTGGCAATTTATTTATTTAATTTTTTTCTGCTGGCTGTTAAGATATTGCTACAGTCTACAATGAATTACTGTTACAATAAAAAATATCATTAATTTGCAGACGATCATTCTTAAACCTAGCCATTGCCAAATCTAGTTTTGTGGTTTTGCATAATTTCATAATTGTTCGAAATACTGAAATTTTGATGAGTTATGACTGATTACAAATATAATAGTTACATTTCCATCTGAACATCCTAATGGTGAATTGAGTATAAAATCTGGAGGCGCAACAGCATCAACCAGTGGAACGACATCATTTTTCAAGTTTTCACATAGGTCTATAATACCTTCTCTTAAATTCTGAGCAGTATCCATAGATGATACAAAACCACCTAAAATGAATAGAGCAATTAATTTTTTAGTCAGTAAAATCATAGAAAACACGTGACTAACATTTAAAAAAAAATTAAATTAAATTAAAAGTATATCTATTAAATTAAATATGTTGTTCAAAATGTATGAAAAAAGAAGTGCTTTTTGGAAAGGCATTTATGAAATATTAAAACCTTAATTTGGGTTTTACACATTATATTGTTATTTATTTATCTATGTAGCAGCCAATTAGTAATTACTAAGAGGCTAAGTAAAAGAATCCATTTTAGAATTAATTCTTAAGGAAGAAAATCATCAAGGATCCTGCATCATTTAAAAAAAATATGGTGAGCGCAACACACTTCCACTTACCGCTATACTTTGAATAGAATTTAGTTTCTGTTAATGTCAGGCTATTATACAATTTTTGAAGTGCATTTTTAACCAAGCTAAAGCTTACAGCTAACAAATCACTAATACCAATAAAATAACAAACATCCTATTTATTACATCAATGATTGATTATGGATTGTACGACTATTAGTTATTAAATTGTTATTTTCCATTGCAAAGTTTACTAAAATGAAATTATAATATTTGTTTTGCCAGTCATAGATAGGTCAAAAGTTGTCACACTAATTGTAAATAGATACTGTGGGGATATCACAAAGGGAAAATTCATCAACCTTTTATTTGATTATTATAAAAATTATTCACTAATTTAATTTTCTAAAAGGTTACAGATGATTTTTCAGAATAAACGGATGATATATATCTAATTATTTAAATATAATATTAGATCTAGAGTTATTAAACTATAGTAAACATAACCATGAAATATTTTTATATTTTACTTCTTTCACACCAATAGAATGAAACAGTATCTGGAACAATGTAATTGCCTTGATTCCATGGATTTAAATACTTTTAGTTAAACTTGGAAGTGGGGTAGCTCAGTGGTAGGGTGCTGGGCTTCCAATGCTAAAGGTCCCCGATTCGAATCCCGGCTCATGGCAGAAAATTTATTTATCTGTTTCATTGGCCGTGGGGCGACCCTGGGTCGAGAGACCCTCCTGGGGCACATCCAGTCTCTATAAAGTGTGTACCCTTAATTTTAAAAAATTGATTAAGGGAGAAAACCTGGCGGTTGAGCGTGTTATCGGTCAAATCACCTCCTTGCACAACCGTTGACCTAGAAACAATGCTTTACCTACATAGTACTGAACTCCAGACTCTTCATAGGTTGTAGTGGTACAGGTTTTTTTTTTTTTTTTAGTTCAACTTAAAAAAATGTTTAGAAACTTACATTTAGTTTGAAAATTTCATTTAATATCCTTGAAAACATGTGATTTACGTTAAATAATGTTAGTTTTCAGAAATTATTGTTTATATATTTTTTCATCACCCTCCGTTATCTTCTACAACTTTATTTATTAGATATTATTTGTTCTAAAATCCTCTGCTTTCCAACGATATATTATACATATACCTTTTGACTATTATTTCTTGAGATTCGTTTTCGACCTGGATAATTTTTCTTTTTTTTCCGCCTTTATGCAATTATAAAATTTTTTAAAAGTTATATATAGCCTTTTTTCATAACTCCTAACAATGAAAGATAGTTTGTAAGATGAAAGATAGTAAATATAATGATGTAGAGATGGTTGACCGGCAAAAATTAAAATAATTAATATATTTTAATTTTTTTATTTATTTGACCGCACCCTCGACTAACTCCTTCTCATGATAGTAAATATAGTTAATTATTTAAAATAACTATATTAAAGGTACTTAAGAGGAAGACATGTTGAACATTGGGCATTTAAGCCCTGTAAAGTGATGTCAATAAGGTATAAGACCTAAATGATATTAAAGACCACTTAATTATACAATGATACACCAAGTTTAATCAAAATTGTTGGAGCCACTTTTGATAAAATTGTAAAAATGTGTATAACCGTTGATATACAGTGTCACTTCTGGTTAGTCGATTTAACGAAAAAATTGCCGTCACATCCATGGCATATAGCTATTTTTAATACATAATATCAGTTGCATAAGACTTTTTGTCTTTGAGCTAAACTGTTCACATACACACAGACCATTTTGCGGGACTTGTTTATTTGGACTCAGAAGACCTCAAAACGCGTATTTCCGTTGAAAACTCAGGTTCGAGAATTTTCACGATCGCAATACTTTCCCTAACTACATATTACATATATTGGTAAGTGAAAGTAAAAAAATAATGCCTGTCATTTATTTATTTTATTCATACTTAAAGAACTCTTCTCTGAAGTTACTCATTGAGGTATTAGTTAATTTTTTTTTAATAGATTCAACTGAGAATAGATTCTATTAAAATTCAGGAGCAAGAAGTAGAAAGAATGAAAATAGCTCTATTTTGACATTTCTGTTAAAATACAATGGATACCTGTGCATAAAAAGTTCTTAATTTTATCACATAATTTAACAATATAGTCACTAAAATTGATAAATAAGAATGAAAGATTACAAAAAATAATTACTTAAAAAGTTTAATACCTTCATACATAAATACAAAATTTTTTTCAAGATTCCATGCAGCATAGAGTGCCGCCAATTTTAGAAGAACTTCTTTAATGGACCCTTCTTGAGAATTAGCAAATTCTATGAATTTTTTTACCATATAATGCTAAAATCAAGTTTTCATTATAAAATGATGTCATATTTGTAAGCTAATAGAATACATATTAAAATAAATGATCAGTTTACTAACTTCGCAATAAACAAGAGCTAAGGGCCGGGCATGATAAACTTGTATATTCATTTTTAAATTAAACTCATTATCTTCAGAATTACTCAATTTCACATATTTTGAATATGTTATTTGTAACAAGTACACTAACAACCATTCATACATCTTCAGTAAATCTGAAAAAGAAAAAAAAAATTAAAATAATATATACTGAGATGTACCTGATCCAGTTGTAAAAAAGTAGAAAAATCAAGTGTAACAAATCTAAGCCAACTTTAGATTAAATTTCAACATATAGGAAACATGGCATTTTTTACTTCTCATAGAAATTTTTTTTTGTTTAATTGAAAAGAAATTTGTATCTTTTGGCAAAGATACAAATAAAGGAAACTGTTTTATTTTTAAAGTTAATTACAATATCAAAATTAATAATGAACTTTCAATCAGAAATTTTCTAAATTAACTGATCCTAAAAATAACAAAAAAATTGATCTCAAGATTTTCGAACAAAAAAAAATTACTTATCCATATAAATTTTTTCTAATAAAAATTGTACGCTTCATAACAAATTTTATACATACAGATTTTAGGTATGTGTAAGTTTTGTTATATAGACTAATCAGTATAAATTAATAGTTGTATTATAATACAACTATTATTAAATATTTCAGATTATTTTATGTAAATCCTAACTAGATTAACTAACTTCTTGGTATCAAATTAAACAGCTTCTGAACAACCATGAAATTGTAAGCCTTTATGAAATTAATATAAAACTTACGAATTAAAACACTGCATTCTACTTGTTTAGCAGTAATATACGCAATAAACTATACTTTAATAATATACACTGCACACTTTACTAGAATATTTTAAATATAATATACTGCAAATTTTGCTGAATTAAGACAACTAACTTTCTGGAAGGATTATATCCGATTTCTTAGTTGCTGAAAATTTCTCAGCTGAAATTTTTTTCCATCTAGAAAGGAATTCAACTGTTCCTAAGGGAGTATTTCCAAAATCTTTGCTATCATTCTTAGACCACAACTGGAGAAGCCAATTACTTGTTTGCTGAATCAGAACATTATTGTCTCCCTCATAAGTAAGATTTGCATCGTTGTTGTTTCTAAGATCACCAAATCCAGCCACTAAAACAAACATCAATAACATGAAAGTAGGCAGAAATTTCTTCATTTGAGTCATTCAATCTTACTAAACAATAATGCTACACTAGGAAATGAATTAAAACTAGTTTTGTCATGTCATTTTATCTGTGTCGAGCTAGTAAACACATCAAATAGACAATATGTTTTACTTAGTTTAATAAGTCATATTTCTATGATATATGTTGATAGTTGTAGTGCTTTATAGGCCCAAAATAAAAGGATTAGTTTCCATACAAAATAATATTTTCAATTTTTATATTTGTTGTTCAGTATCTGATAATTTTATCTGCAGAGCAACAATTCTGTCTTCTTGGATTCAATAAGTTAATTGACCTGCACTCTTCAATGATTGCAATGTAATATTACAAGCTATATTGTAAAACGATATAGTGCTAACGATTTTTTTTTTTCTGTTTGAATATTTACTTTTATCAGCTCCATTAAAATTGACATGACTTTATTGAAATAATTATCTGATGGTATAAGCAAACAAGATAGAAAAAAAATTAAATAACTTTAATTAACATGAAATATGTAAATAATTATTTAAAGACATAAATGAAAGAAAATCAATTAGCACAAATACTTTTTATAAAATCAAACCTGACAAATAGCCATGGCCTCCACAGATTTCTCTACATTCTTGAATACCGTCTTTAGCTATCCATCCTGCCAGTGGTTTAGCTGCACTAGATAAAGCATGAATTTCAGCTCCCATTGCAGCCTACCTCAATTATAACGTAATAATGAATTAATTTTGAAAATGTATTGTTAATAGTAAACAAAGACTTTGATTTAAGGGATAGTTAATTCACTAAAGATCATGGACAGAACATTTACTGAAACATGCATTCCATGTTGCTATGTAGAAATAATACCTATATATTTTTAAATTTAATTTCCCCTTTGTCTATAGAATAAATAATAAACAATGCAATCTATATTCTTTATTATATATATACCTTTTTTAAAGCTTATTTAATTCTCTTTTTCTATAAAATTTAGTTTAAACAACTTATTTTATATCAATGATCAAGCCTTGAAAACTTAATTTCAACAGCATGGCATTCTTCAAAAACATACTTTTATAAATCTAAACTCAACTGATGATAACTCAAAGTTTGAAGTATTCAGGAAGTTTGAGGTGAAGAATCAATGAATAAAACTTTCATATTTGTTTCAGAAATTGCATGCAGTTTAACCTTGAAGCAAAAGATCATAAATATCCGTCGGAAGTAAATAAAGATTAGGGAAGCTGAAAATTAAATTTGCCATGTGAAATGGACCTGGTGAAAATGAATTCACAATTGTAATTCATCTAGAACAGCTGCCAAGATAAGTATTGCATAAATGGGGGCGGGGTGGCTGAGCGGGCTAACGAGTGTTCAAAGCACCGCACATTACCTGGCAACCTGATAACCGAAGTTAGAGATGGATAAATTATTATGAGTTCAAATCCTGGTGCCCAGTGGGACTTTTAATTAGGCATAATTCCACCGACCTGGGAAAAACTCTGTGTAGTATAAAAGGCAAGGAACGGAAAAAAATACAATATATATATACATTGACCTGCATTATTACATAGACATAGGTTATGAATAAATTATACGATATATGGGTGAGATGGGATGGCCAAGCGGGATTATGCATGTTTGGCATACGGGGACGATAAACCGAAGTTTGAATGATAAAATAACTATGAGTCCGCGCCCAAGTGGACTTTTAACTGAGGCATTAATCTCCAACCCTCTCCCCTGACACGGGAAAAACTCCATATAGCCTAAAAGGCAAGAAAGGTATGGACAAAAACAAAAAAATTAATAAGATATGCCAAATGATATTTCAATTTTCAACTACCTATAAAACATTAATTATAAAATCATACTATTTTCAACAGGACTCTTGAACACTTGGGCACCAGTACCATGGGTTCTGGCAAAACTCTTCCCTACGTGGAGTTCTGGGAGCAGATAATATGAAGGTTGCTATGGCTTCTAAAATTGAACAGTTCTCTCTTTAAATCCTTTGTTCAATACATAAACCAAATTCTTTATTTCGAATGTCTTTAAATTGTGATAAAAATAACTAATGAAACTTATCATAGCATGCCATAAAAAAAATTAATGAATTGTAAAAAAATAATAAAAACTTATCTCTCTCTGTAAATTTAGGTTTCATTAATGTTAAATTTATAACAAAGTGTCATTAAATAGAAAAGTAAAATAAGTATTAAATTCACTAACCTTTTCATAATTACTTTCACCGAAGGATTTAATTATGAATTCAATGAAAATATCCTGAAAGTAACTGCTGAAGTACTTAAGAATGTATATAGATGCTATATAAGGAAATAGGCGCCATTGCTGAAAAAAAAAATCACTTAATAAGGGCACACATAATAACAAGTTTTAAAATATATATAGGGTGCACATTTAAAAATTTTACTTCATTTTCTTTTCATAAACAACATTATTACCTAACTTTTTAATGATCTATGTTTCTGCATATTGCTATTTTATATGTCGGTAAATTTTTATTTGTAGTAATTCGATCATTGTGAATAATCTAAAAACAACAAATCATACAGAGGAATATAGTTTCTTGACATATTTTTAAAGAAGAAAGAACTCAAGAGGTCCCTCAATGTTAAATCTTTGACAATTCCAGAACATCTTCATAACGATACTTAAAGAATATATGTACATTATATATATATATATATATATATATATATATATATATATTTTTTTTTTTTTTTTTTTTTTTTTTTTTTTCCCTACCACTAAGTTAAAATTAAAAATATCCTCTAAAGGTTACATAGAACCTATATACCAAAACATTTTCTAAACCTATTTCTTTATTTTAATCATTATTTCTCTATAAAGCTAAAATAAATATACATGCACATGCACATAAATACGCACACACACACGCATACATGGATAGATTAGTATTTTTATTTATTGCTAATTTTATTTATTGTTAAAAATTTTATTTGCAAATGTAGTTGGTCTAATAAACAAAAGTTATCAATCTACATACATACATAAATAATATACTAGATACATACATATATAATATAATATAATTGATAGGTTAGTTGGAATTTTCCACTTCCTTTAAAATTCTTTATTCTTATATAATTCTTTCTAACAACCTCTCAGAGGATATTTACCCCATCCTCATAACTTTTACTTTGCAAACATCAATTATTGATCCAATAATTAAATCTCTTATTGTCAAACATAAATAATAAATTATCCTTTATAAACAATGTTTTCAATTTTCATTGGTAGAACCAAAACATATGGAAAGTATTCCCCTAAATGTTAATATGAAAGAATTATAAAAGAATGAAGCATTTTAAATGGAGTGGAAATTTTTAACTAACCTACTGAAAATTTCTAGCAAAATAAACAAAAAAGAAAACTAATTGATTTATTTATTCTAACAAAAAGTTAAAAACATTTTAAAATAAGCACACAGTATTACATACAAGAGAGCTTACCTTTAAATGATTATTTTCCTTGCACTCTAAAATAAAATTACCAGTAAGCACAGAATATATATTTTTGTGTATATATATGTATATGTAGGTAATAGACATTAAAAATTAAAGTAATACATAGATTTTTTCTTTTTCATTTATGTTCACAAGTATAATAATAATAAAGTCCTCACACTTTAATTATATGACCAAATGACATAATCTGAAAATGTCTGAGCCTTGAATAGTTACAATTTAAAATTCCAGCTATGTACAAGACAACGATTCGCTTTTAATTGGTGGTATCATTATTATTATTATCTTCACGTATAATAGATTTATAGATTAAAACTGTATTAATATTACCATGAATTTTATGTAATTATAATGTCTATGATTTCAAAAAATAAAATTAAATATTTTTCATGGCAATTTAGCCTTTAAAAAAGATAAATTAGCGCTTTAAGTGATAACACTATCTTGTTTGAATATAGCAACATTAATGCTGGGATATAAAATAATTAAAAATCTTGATAATAATAATTAACAAATGCTTTCCATGAGCAAACTGAGCAAGCATAACAAAATTAATGATCAATCGACTTTTGATTTGTTGATCGCTAATTCGAAAAGTATGTTATTTCGATAGTCAGAAAGCCAATCAGCTTTGTAATATATATTAAAATTTCTTAGCAATTTGGTTGACAACAATCAGCCTCCATATAGTACTAATTGTTCATAGAAGTGAAGATATTATTTAACAATGTGAATGTTAGAGAATAGTAATTCTTTTGAAATTCAAATTTTATAATAAAATTTTGGACTTACTAATAAAGGATATTCGATGATTGGTAATTCCTCATCTGAGGATGGTCCAAACTGTTTTCTGACACCTGCATACCTTGTAGCAATAACAACTGCATTGGTTAGGTAAATATTGGCCATAGAAACAATAAAAATCCTACCAGCTGACAATGCTCCAAGTGAAGCACCTGAAACAAATTCATTAAACCTGATGTGTTGGAATGAACGTGTTATTTATAGTTTATTATTATTATTACGTGTTACTTATTTTTAAAATACCGCAATATTATTGTCATGATTACTGACTAATAAATTGATTTTTTTTTTAAATTTAGTATGACTGATTTGGGATCAATATTCTGGAAAAAAGTATTTACCACCCACACTTCAAGAGAGTTGCTGCATGGTCCATGAAGCTTAAAGAGAGGTTTTGAGGACATTACAATCAGGATTGAAAATGCTTGACGAATTGGTAGAACTGCTGCAACTAAAGATAGTGAATTAAGACTAGTCAATAAACATCACCCAATACAGCAATGTTTTGCAAAGAACATTTGAACTAAGCAGACTCTGAATACCAAGGGACCTCCAGATTTAATTTACAACGTAACAATTGCATGATTCCTACAGAATTTCTAAATAACAGAGGTGCATCTCACAAGCAATCTAAATAGGTCTTAGTGAGAAAGAGTTTTCTCACACCTAATCACCTTTCAATGTAATAATAATAATAATGACTGATAATTCTATCACTATCTCAAAAAAAAGTAATAATAATAAATCTAAATTCATTCAATTAACAATTTATATTTGCATTATAATAATGCTGGCCAAAGTACTAATACTAATCTCATCAGTTTATTGCAAAAAAAGTCATTACATTTCATAAAACACACTAAGTACTTCAATGAATTTTCACAAGGAGAGAATACAGTCCGTCGGCGACCAATTTTAACCAAATTTTTTTGGTGATACTACATTGAAAAACAATCGACATGTGTCCCGGCATTCTTTCCAATGGGCACTAGGGGACAAGAAAAAAAAAAAAAATAATTTCAAACAAAATTTATGTTATTTATTTTTGCCTTTGCTTTGCTCAGATTTTTAGGTTATTATATATCAATCGTTTTGTTTTTTGTGCAGAATAAGAAAAGAATATTAACTATTGTATTAAATGAGCTACAATGTACATAAATTACAAAAACTAAAAGGCACATCCAGATAAGTAGGCCAAATAAATTTTTGTTATAAAAAATCAAGTTAGATTCTTTTAGGGCCTTTTAAAACTATTAATACGAATTTTTATATAAATAAAAAAATACAACCTTTAGTACTTGATTTTCTTGAATGCGTTTTTTTGTAACTGTCAATTAAAGTATATCATAACTATAAATTATATCATAAGTAAATCAAATTCCTCAGGATTTTCTTCAAATTCAACTTTACTATAACCACTCGAAAGCTTAATATTAATTAATTAAAACTGAAGAGCATTAGCTCTTCCAACTGACACCAATAACTTTTGGATTTCATTTTTTTCAAGTTAGAAGTTAAAAAAACTTCTAACCCATTTTTATTTTATATCTTTAGTTTTAATTTGTTTACGAAGATCGGTTTTATACTATTTCGTGAAGTTCACAGAGGCCTAAATCCCTATAAGTTTTTGTATGGATAAGTGAAGCCGTTCTAAAGTTATCACAAGTTTTGTGATTGTTGATGAAATTTTTAATGTTCTACCAGCCTAGGCAAAAATTTCATGCAGAAAATTTTAATTTTTCGATTGCTATAAAAATTCGTATTTAAGTGTTTCTGAGGTGCAAAAAATGGATATCAGCTTTGTCTTTCACTAAAAAAATATTTACTCCCACATGGCTACGTCAGTTGATCCAAATTGTGCCCATAATGTATCTATCTGGGAAATATAAAATTATTACAAACCGGTCTGGTATTTATAGTAAATAAGTTTTTAGGGAGAAACAAAGTTGATATTCCTTTTTTGCACATCAAAAAACCCTTAAATAGGAATTGTTATGGCAATAAAAAAATTAAAGTTTTCGGCAGGAAATTTTTGCCTAGGTTGGAACCCTTCGAAATTGTGTCAACAACCACAAAACTTGTGATAACTTTAGAATGGCTCCACTAATGCATACAAAAATTAATAGGAATTTAGAGCTCTATATGCTACACAAAATGGTACAAATCGACTTCCATAAACAAATTAGAATCAAAGATAAAAAATAAAAATGATTGGGAAGTTTTTCTAATTTCTAATTTGAAAAGGAATGAATTATTAAAGTTATCGATGTGGGCTGAAAGGGTAGTAGTAATTCAGTTTTCTAATAGTTGTACTAAGCTTAAATTTGGAGACAATCCTGAGAAGTTATGACTGCTTTATTTACCATCCAGAAAAAAAAATCCTCTAAGAAAATCAAGTATTAAATTTTGCAATTTTTGATTTATATAAAAATTCGTATTTAAGACTTTTGAAGGATACTAAAAACGAATCTAACTTGCTTTTTCATAACATAAAATTATTTGGCCTACTTTAGTAGAAGTGCCTTTTGGTTTTTGTAATTTATGATACATTGTAGCTCATTTAATACAATAGTTTTTTCTTATTCTGTACAAAAAAATAAAACAATTGATATAGAGTAACCTAAAAATCCGGTCAAAAAATAGACAAAACTAAATAACATAAATTTTGTATGAAATTATATATATATATATATATATATATATATATATATATATATATATATATTTTTTTTTTTTTTTTTTTTTTTCTCGGCACCTAGGGCCCATTGGAAAGAACGCTGGGATATGTGTCCAGTATTTTTTAATGTTGTATAACCAAAAAACATTTGGTTATACTAAAATCATAGACTGTATCCTCTTCTTGCAAGTGTAACTGTATTTCATGTGTAAAAGGGTTTGTGTCATTTTGGTGCACTTACTGTGTTTTTGTAACAATTAATAAGGTCAAAATTCACAAAAATGTACTTTAGCTCCATCAAAATGTAACATTTTGCAATAAAACAACAACAAGAAAGGAAACAAGTAACAAATTCAATTTTAAAAAACAATATTATATTTAAAAACTTTATAAATAGACACAAAAACCAATTTCAGGGTTGTTGCGTCCCATGACGGCCCTAATTAATTTACCAATAAATAAAAATTAATATCCACTCATTAAGAAGGAAACTTGGCCATCAATGAAATATATTTTATAAATCAAATTTTATTGAGATGAATGGTTGTTGAAATTGTTTGAGTTGTAATTTTAAGAATGAACTCATAGGGCTTATAACATTTTGTTTTTTGTTTCCCCTGATTTCTGTTTTTCTTTTCATTTCAATAATGTTTTTTTTTATTTATTTGTTTTATCAAAATGGTTTTACTTTTTGTTTTTCATATATTTTCACTGAAGATATTGTATATGTTCTTTAATTTTGATTAATGTAGTTTTTGGCCAGATACAGTTTTTGTATTTTGTTCATGATTGTTATTTTTAAGAGACCTTGTTCCAGAATAAAGTTTATTTTCTGTTTCTATTTCTATATATTTAAAAATCTCAAAGAAGGATAGACAAAGCACCATATCAAGCATGAAAGTTCAAACACATTAATTTTTGATAGTAGAGAAATAGTTGATGTAAGATTGGGAAGTTGGTTGGGGGTTGCATTCATAGTGAAAATAAAAATATAATTATTTTAATTTTTACTGAATGCAGCCTCACCTGACTTCCCAACCAAATATTAATTTTATATAATAATAAATAATATATTAAACTTATTTAGGCAGTATGTTCACATTATATAGCAATCATTTAAAATATTTAGAACTCAAAGTAAAAGATAAATAAATACAAAGAATATTTACATGATATTAAAAAAACAAAAATCTCATTTAAAACTACTGAAAACAAGCATTACAAAAGGTCCACAAGCTATGATTTACATACATACCTAATTTTTTCTTGGGATCTTTGAATGGAGTAATATAACCACCATCAGAGGTGACATCCCCAGTTCTATTTAGAAGATTATTTTTAGGAATTCTGTACTCGTTGAACATGATAAATCTAAACAGAAAAATATATACATATACACAACTGATTTTGGTAAGTAATAAAAATATTTCAAATTGTGACTTATTATTCTTACCCATTATCAACACCATTCAAACCAATTTTATCACCCATATCACCCACAACAATTCCAGGATACCAACTAAGTGTTACAGGGTCTCTCACGGGCACAATAAAAGCATGCAGTCCACAATCCTTACCATCAGGAGTTATCAGTTTAGCAAACACAATACAATCAGTAGCACTTTTACCTATTTAAAGCAATAAGAATAATTTAATATAATAAAAATTAAAAGTTAATAAAAATATAATATTTAACGCATCTTATAATGATAAATCACCTAAATTTCCAACCCAACACTTAGCTGCTTCAAAATCTGGGGTATCCAATACAAACTCTTCATTCACAGGATCATAATGAGCAGTTGTACGCATAGCCTTAGTATTGGTCCCATGGGAAATTTCTGTTAAGGCAAAACTACCTACAAACTGAAATAAACTAAATTTATAACTAATGAATAGAAAATAAAGATAAGAAAAATCAAAATTATAACAACTTAAAAAATAATTTTATTAATAATAATTCTTACATTTGTCAATGGATGTGATAAACTATGATAAAGATCCATATGTTTTTCGGTTCCAAGCCCAAGTAAAGCATTCTGTACAAAACTATAAGCAAGAGTATATTTAAGACATAAAGATGGGCTGTATAACAAACAGGCACTGTTAAACACTGAAGCCTAGAAAAAAAAATAGAATAATGTAACATAAGGTAATAAGAAATATAGTCAAACATTTGAGTAGTACCTATATACTGGCTGAGGTAAGAGAGATTGCTGGGAATATCAAGGAGGTAAAGATATCGCCTGGAAATCAAAGTGAACTTGCATTTGAAAATAGCAAGAGACTGAAAAAACAGAAGTGAGTATAAAACTGAACAAATCCAGTTGTCTAACTTCTTAGAGATAAGGGGTATGACACCTAACGCTGGAGAAACAACTGCGGGCCTAGATACTCCATTAGTTGGCTCTGGACATAAAGTTGAGTAAAATCAGAAGGGAGGGTGTTAGGGAATTAAATGTGATATTTATTTTATAAATATTTAATAGTTTCACATATTGTTGAAATATGCATATGTGAATAAATATTGTTGTTACAAAAAGTCTAAAATCTCTGTTTAAAGTTTGTAGTGAAATAAAAGTGAGTTTATTTCAAATATAGAGTACTCAACTTTCTTCAATTTCGAACCTAGAGATCAGTTATAACGGTTAATTATATTTTGATCCCTAAATCGAACAGAGGGGACATAAATTAGGAGTTTTTATTCTAAGAGATGCTATTTTTTTCAATGCTCAATTCTATTTGATTGCTAATTAATATTAAAATCATGAACAGCCTATATACTGTATTTCATTATTTACACTGAAATCTTCACTTATTTTCTTTTCCAGATGTGGCAGGTAATAATTATTAATTCTTATTTTTAAAAAAAATTTATAGAAAGTTAAGTGGTAGAAAGGTAAAAAATGGTTTATTTAAAGTATGTCCCATCTCTAGTTACACATTTTCCCGTTGTGCAATTTGAGGATGTCCTCTGAGAAAAACCGTACTTTTGAAATGGTCCAATCATCAAGCTATTTTTCAACATCTCAGTAATTGTTGAAATTTTTCAACATCTCTGTAATTGTTGAAATTTTTCATGGAGAGTACGTGAGACATCAATGAAAACAGGTGGCAGTTGGAAGCGGTCAAGTCTGATGAATATGGCGGATGGAATAAGAATTCTCAGCCAAGTATAGAAATGGTGTCTTTGACCACTTTCGCTGTGTGAGATAGGAAGCCATGTTGTAAAATAACTTTTCAGTGTCACGTAACCCATTCTAGTCACTTTAACATACATGGTTCAAATTGATCATTTGTTGATGATAGCTAACAGTATCACTCGGTCACGGAGACAGATTCGAGAACGGAGATTCGGTCTTGTGGTCGATTTTGATAATTTTCCTGGGTCGTTCAGATCATGATATTCTGGGTTTTAGGTTCTCAAAACATATCCATGTTCCAGTCCCAATTCAACCAATGTGGTGCCCAATTTATTTGCTTTCTGGATTCTTTCCACAGCACACAGATGGTTTAGTAACCAACATTTAACCTCTCTGAGATTTTCTATTGAGTATGCTTATAGAGCCCTCGTCCAACAATGTTGGCAATTCAGCATCTTGAAATTTTTTTGGTTAACCTGAGCAGAACGCCCCAGAAAGACAAAGAACTTGTCTTTCATGTCAAAATAACCACTTTTGAATCATCTAAACTAACACACATGAGTGTCTTGCGTTAGGAGATTGTCACCATAAATTTCCTTCTGTAACTTTTTCTTTTGATTAAACAAGAAAGGCACTATGCCTTTTAATGCTCTTTATTTGGCTTGAAACTTGACCTGGTTTCTATATAAAAAAATATGAGGCTAACCTAAAATCGTTTAAACACCAATGGTGTTTTGAAAGGTACTGTAGCAACAAAATAACATGAGAGGTTAGACTGTGAACCATTATTTATTTCCAGGGCTATCTCTTAGAAAAATTAAGAATTATTAACCACCACACCTGCTATATTATACTATAATATTTAAAAATGTACCTTCCCCTTTAATTTTAATTCCATTTTGTTTCTCTTTCCACTGTGTGTCCTTTTCTTTTTTTATGCATGACGAATAACTTAGTTTGCAGCCATGTTAATTTCCATTCCCTTCCATCAGATTAAGACAAATTCCCTGATTATTTTAATGATTTCTATTCTACCATCGCATTTCTCTGAAATTTAGCTCAAAACTGATACTGCCATTCCTTCTGTTTTCATACCCAAATGTTTTCACTTCCATCATGTTTGGATAGATCAAACTGGTGGAGATGTAGGAATGTTTATTTATGATAGTCTGAGGACCAAAGTTCTTTTAAAATCTACTTCTTCTGACATCTCACATATAAAATATGTTTCTCCAAACTTCCTCTAGAACTTTCTATCTACACTATATCTGTGTCCAATTTGTTTCCACTTTTGAATCTCTCCTCCTCACATACATACCTCTCTTTAAAAAGTAATCATTGCAGGTGATCTCAACACCAACCTACTTTCAGATTCTCTAGATAGAACATACCTTATTGACCTAATTTTTTCCCTAGATCTGTTTACTATACTCTTCCAACTTACTCATCATACTCAGTTCACATGATACCTACACATTTCGTCATGATACTTGACGAGACTTATTTATCATTGATTCCCCTCCAAGAACCTATTATTCCATGCAAAGTTCTGTTTCCTTCCTTTGATCTTATTTAATTCCTATTTCCAAACAAATTTCCTTTTGACAACCATTTAGTTCTTATCTAGATTCTCTGTTCCTTTCCTCAGAACCCATTTATTCTATTCCCCCCACCAATGACATGGTCGAATGCCTTTCTTCATACACTTCATACCTTAAACTTTACGGACCTCTTAAAATCCATATTTTCTATCTTTAAATCTCTCCGATACCTAACTCAAATATCCCTACGCTGTTCCAAAGAACAATACTTTAATAATATTTTATTCCCAAGTATCTTACCTTAAACCTTTGACAAAGGGTTAAATACAATTTTTAAAAACACACAAGTGCACGCACATACACTCAAATAAAAATATATATATGGCAATAAAATAAATACAAAACATGTATATTTACTTTTTTGGGATTCATGAAGATTTCTTCCATAGGCAATAAGTTCCATTCTTTCAATCTTTTCATTTGTAACAGAGTCAAACTTTTTTGTTCTTCTGAGCTTAAATTGTATCCTCTTTTTTTAAATAATTCGTCATTTCTCATTTTCTCCCATATCTTATACTATTAAAAAATGAAAAATCATTAATATTAACTATCAATTGATTCTGAATCAAAGAAATTAAATATTCCAATTAATTAATTGTCATTTTTAATACTCAATATTAGACTGTATTACATTGAGAAAAGATATGGTCTGGGATAGTGATTATAAAAAACAAAAAAAACAAATAAAATAGTAGAAACTATTTTATTAAGTCGACATTTCGACCCAGCTATGCTACTACCCCGGTACACGGCTGGAACAAACATCTGGTATATCTTGTAACTCCAACAGTTTTTTTTTTTTTTGCCTTTGGATCTTGTTTGTTCTAGCCTGATGAAGACCTGCATAGTTAGGTCAAAACGTCGGCTTAGTAAAGTAGTTTCCAATATTTTAATTTAATTTTTTTTTTTTTTTTATGACAGCCACTTCAGGACTGTTATAAAGCTGTCAGGACCATCTCTTTCCTTAAATATATTTTTTAAATTTATTACCTTTGTGATTCAACTTACCGAAAAGATTATTGTGAAGAAGATATCATTTTCATACTTTGTTAACAAACACATATATAAATATTTATTTTAATATTCCATGCAATTTGCCCCTACGCAGCAGCACACCTACCAAATTTGCTGAATTTATATTTTTTTTTTGCTGTGTATTCGCTTGATTTTTGTTTTATTGAATTAGTTGGTCTCTTGACCATTTTCTTTTTAATCTGCGTCGTTCAGGTAACAGGAAGAAAAAATAGAAAGAACCAGAGGATTGAAGTGATTTTGAGTTGAAAAATGAAATGTGTATTTGTCGTGGCTCTAAGATTTTACTGTTGGGTCTTTAAGACATTATGCAAAGTGTTATTTGAAATATATCAAGGTGTATTAACAACCTTTCATAGAATTTTTTATTGTGGTATTTGTATTATGTTTATGTGTGTTTGTTTTGCTGAACACCAAAGTTCTGCTCCGTAAATCCAAATTGGTCTCAGTATAGTGTTGCAGATCAGTCGATTGTTTTGTAAGTTAAGTGAGAATCTGTCCAGAAGATGTGAGAGTTGGTTATATCGTCTAGTAAGTTCTTTTTTTTTTTAAATTCGTATGCATGTTCAAAGTAAGTCTTTTTTCCAAGTAGAGTCCGAGGTAACGTACATAATTTTTTTAAGGCACTGGGTTATTGTTAATCGTTATGGATGGGCATGAGGCTTTCCTAAGAGAGAAACTAACGTGGGTGGATTTGTTACTATTTATTTCAATTTTCCATTTTTTGAACCACTTTTCAAGATAATAGAGGTGATTTTGAAGGACAATTGATGGAATAGTAGGATTTTTGTGTGAAGAAATAATTGCAATGTTGTCAGCGTAGATGGTGGTGCTAGGATGCTCAGGGATATCAGAGAATAGAGGATTGGGCTTAAGACGCTACCTTGTGGAACACCGATGTGTTAAGGAAGAAGGAAGAAACAGAAGATTCTACGGAAATACAGAAAAACCTGTTAAGAAAGAAGAATTAGAAAGTAAGTGGTAGGTAAGTGTGGTTTTATTTCCTATTATGGCTCTTATGCCATACACTATCAAAGGCTTTTTCTATGTGGAGGAAGACCGCAGAGCAATATTCCTATTATGGCTCTTATGCCATAAACTATCAAAGGCTTTTTCTAGGTGGAGGAAGACCGCAGAGCAATATTCCTGTTTCTCAAAAGCAACACAGATAGTGTCTACTATCCAATGGCACTGTTGCACAGTGGAATGATAAAAACGAAAGCCAAACTGGTGATTTGGTGTCATTTCACTACTTTCTAAGACAAGCTTTAGACAATTCAGGAGTAGTTTTATAAATATTTTTTCCATTATAGGAAGAAGTGCTATAGAATAATAGGATGAAGGAGTAGTGGTAGGTTTTGAAGGTTTAGGAATCAATTTAATTGTGGAAAGTTTCCAAAGGAGAGGAAAATAGGTAGTGCGTAAGATGGAGTTATATGAGAGTGTATATAAAAGATAACATCTTCTCTAAGTAGGTGTTGAAGAATAAAGAGAGTGATCAGATCAGAGCCAGAATATTTTTTAAATAAATATAAATTAAAAATTTAATGAACTTAAAAACATTATTGATTTTATAAATAGGATTTCAGTGAATTAAATTAATCTTATAGTGATCATAGTGGATAATAGTTGACTTCAGAAGATATTTGGAGAGAAGTTGCTTGGGGTGGGGTGTTCACTCAATGAAAGAATAAAGTGATGTCAATGAATTATATTTATTTTTGTCCTCTGTGCCGATGTTTTGGCCTGAGTTTCAAGCCTTTATAAGAGCTGAGCAAAGCCAAGAAAACATAGAATATGAACATTGAGAAATAAATAGATAAAAAGATATAGAAATTAAGGAAGCATAAAGTAACGGTAACAAAGCAGGAACTTGTAAAATAGCGGTAGCAAAGTTAGAATTTTCTATATCCTAAGTTTGCTACCACTATTTTTTAAGTACCAATATTTTTTAGGCAGTTGACCTTAATTTAATAGCAGAAATAGCCTCAATTTCAACCTTCTCACTCAGTCTAGAAAAGGTTAGTATCCTTTAGAATAAGCTGTAATCTCTGCTCTACATATTATAAAGATGTTAATTCAAATATTCATAGACAAAATAAGGTTAGGCATTAGGACTATACAAGGAAAACAAAGTTTGGTGAAAGGTTTATGAAAAAAGTTGTGCATTGGGAAATGCAAAAAAAAAGAAGATGGGATAAGTACAAAGTTATAAGAATTAATGTTGAGAATATAATATTTTCTTAAGGAATTATATGAAGAATTCAGTCTTAATTACACTTAGGTACTTGAAAATGTCTAGCAGAGACAAGGATAAACATTCAATATAGTAGAATAGCATCTAAGTTAGTTATAACCAGGAAGATAGCTACATATAAATTATGTTTCCAATTAAAACTAACATGAACGTACCAAGTAAGAAGAATATTAAGCCAGTAAATATATAGCAATGAGAGAAGCCAAAAAGAAATCTTTGAAAAATTATTTTAAAATAAAAACTAAAACAAAGATAAGTCATTAAATGGGAGGGAGAAAAACGATGGAGAACCTAAATTACAGAATAAAAAAAAAAAAATCAGGACAAATGAATAACACACTCCACAAACTAATATAAGAAAATACCTATCTTGTGAATGAGGCATTTCTAAAGTTATCATAAGAGTGAACCACTTCCAAAAATAAAGATAAACACACCTAAGTGTTAGGGCAATAATGAGGCAATACACTGATTACCAGCATATGGTGAAATAAATGAATTGATTTGATTTATTAAATTACTAAAGGCTACTTGTAATGGATAAAAGGTTGAGAAAAATGAGTAACCAGTGAAACTCTATATTACAATGACAATAAATTGTATACTTTTATACCTCTATATTGATATATGGTTCAATTATCCTATCAATTTTCAAATAATTGTAATATATATAATTAATTATTAATTAATACAAGAACTAGCTTTTATCAAGGTCATGAGAAACTAATCGATGGTGCGAATGGCCTCAAGGTCCTACCTACCTTCCCCACTTATGCTATAAATTATTCTCACCTAGGCTACTTGGGTTTGCTAGAAGGTTAAGAAAAAAATCCTACAGCAAACAAGTAATGAGAACCAGTAAAACTATACATTATAATAACAATTAATTTGGATTCTTTTAGATTTCTATATTGATGTATGGTTTAATTATTCAAATTATGGTAACATATAATTAAATATTAAATAATTCAAGAACTAGCTTGTATTAAGGTCATGAGAAACTAATGGAGAGTGTGAATAGCCTCAAGGTCCTACCTTCTCCACTTATGCCATAAATTATTCCCACCTTGGTTACTTGGTTTAGCTAAAAGATTAAGAAAAAAATCCTAAAGAAAACAAGTAATCAGTAAAACAATACATTATAATAGCAATTAATTGGATTCTTTCATATTTCTATATTGATGTACGGTTTAATTATTCTACCAATTTTCAAATTATAGTAATGTATATAATTAAATATTAATTAATTCAAGAACTAGCTTTTATTAAGGTCATGCGAAACTAATCGATAGTACGAATGGCCTCAAGGTCCTACTATTCCTTCCATTAACTAGCATTCCCCACTTATCCTTTTAATTATTCTGAACTTGTCTATAAAGCAGTCACAAGCATCAAACTTCACTTGATACTTAATATGATTATCAAATATGTATGGGATTACATCAATCTAAATTGAACTATACAGTTAAGTGTCAAAGAAGATAATAGGAAACCATAATGGAACTGAAAAACAAGATAAGTTCTTCATTTCCATTCCTAAAAGCATTAGTTAACGGGTAAAATTGGAAAAATGTATTAATAATACGAGAAATCGTCAGGACCCTGAAAATAGATTTACAGAAGAATTTAGGAGGATTAAGAGGTAATGAAGATTATTAGGGTCTTTCAAAACAGAAATACATTCAGAATATAGAGAAGTTGTGAGAGAATAAGCCACCAAAAGAGTAAGCACACTTAAGACACGGGTTGATCATACCAATTGATGTTTTCAGTTTGCTCAGTAATGAAAAAAAGACTTAAAAACAAAAAGAAGAAAGTGAGAATTGAATCACAAAAATGTTAAGAAATTATTTTAACTTGGCAAGTTAAAAAGCAATCAGCATTGTTGATATGATTTTTTTTCCTTTATCAGATCTAAAAAAATTTAAAATCTAAAATATCCATAGGCTTTAAGCAATCAAGCAAATTTGATCAATCTACCAATCATGATAGAGATGAATTTTCGCTTCATGAAAAATTAGAAAGGGTAAGTGGAATAATAATTGCAAAAAGTGGAATAATAATCATATAAGTTGAGGATGTTATGCAACAAAATCTCAGCCAACAAAGATAGATCAAATCTAATCCACAATGCAAACAAAACGAATCATAGTATTTTTGTCCAGAATAAGATTGCTAGAATAATTACAAACAAATTTCTATGTCATTAAAAAGGAACTTTGCAATATATAAAATAATGACATACATATATTTTGCTGCATTAGTTTAAGAAAATACAATAAAATACTGTTACAAATTGCTAGCTTGGAAGGAGACAGGCCAATAATTTTTAATATATTGATATCTTTGTGTAAGCATATAAATATATTGTTACTTTTCAAGAAAGCCAACACAACTGAAATATAAACAATTTGTCACTTCAGTATAATCATATAAACAATAGGACTATGATTAAGCAAAAGTTGAAACATTTTATGCAAGTGGTGTCAATCTTCTTCAAATAAGTGGACTGTTTCTAATCACTTGGAATATAATTTAAGAATCCTTCCTGCAACTACATAATTATCTCACTATAAAATTAAGTGAAAATCATGAAATAAAATAAATTTACATATGATTTCTATGGTAATATGTATTTTCTAAATACCTTCTATATTCCTGCTTACAATATAATGCAGAAAATATTGTTCACAATAATACTTAAATGGTAAAAAAAAAAAATTACTTTCAAACTTTGATACTCTTCTTCTTCCATACAAAGTGTCATTCTTTTCCAATCAAAGGAAGCACATTTTCGATATCTGTCCAGAGGACCTTTTGCAAAATCTTTTAAATATTTATGGCTCATTTTGTTTAAGATTTAATAACTTTGGAAAATAGTACGTATTAAAAATATGTTTCAGGAGCGTGTCATTATTATGATAAGGCAAGGTGAAAACTAACTACAAGTGTGATTGCAGTGCAAATAAATTAAGAATGTTACTGACTCATTGTCATATAGACTTGTCAAATTAATTATATTTTTTAATTTTTTTATTTGTAATCAATGGGCATAGAGCAACGCTTGGTCCGTCCATAACAATCAGCTTATACGGTGACGTAATTAACTAATCGATTCAATAGTATAATATTTTAACTAACTCCTCATAACTTTGAAAGCTGGTATGAAATCAGTCGATACCCTCTTTCTCTTAATGTTTTGATAATCCCTCATATATTATTTCACTAGGCCTCGAAATTGCCTCTGTACAATATATATTGTCCTGTCATACTCAAGTCCCGTGGATGGGCATCTTTTATTTAATAACAGGAACAACTTAATCATTTTTAAAAAACTCAATTTAAGATAAAACTTAACTAAAGTGATTCTTAAGCGAAACTACAGATATAACTAAGGGTCAGTTAACAGGAAGCGGTTTGCACCCTGAACTCAAGTTGTACTTCTAACCAGCTATCAGGTTGGAGTTGAAAAATTAATGTTCAAAAGATTTAGATTGATATGTGTACCGATGTACTGTTTGAAAAACTTCAAATTCCGAAAATGTTCACAGACGAAGTTGCAGCTTACGATAAAATGAAGCCACTCAAGACGTTTTGATGATGTTAATAAAAAGAGATCTGTGCCGCGGACTATAAAGTTCTATGCATATTTTGCCAAGTTGTACCAGATGATATACAGTACTATATTACTATTATCGTGTTAATGTGTTTTGATGAAATTAAAATGAATAAAGCCTTACATTAATTCTACAGGTTTTGACTACAATTAATTCATTTTAATTTGTTAACATTGGATCGATTCTTGAAGCCGAAAAAATTTGATGCGATCCTAACTCTCCAACGGCAAATCAAGATTTGAAATATTGGCTTAAAACATTTAAGACAAAGATATGCTAAAACTTCAAATAAATCGTGTTCCAGCAGGAGTGTTTTAAATGATTTTCGAGGCTAAAACTTTCAAAGCAGCAATAGACTTATTAAAGGCAATTTATGTATAACCAACTAATGAAATATTTGCCAGGCATAAAATAGCGTCTCGTAAGCAAGAGGCAGAAGAAAAAATAGTTCAATTCCACCAGGCTTGGGTATAAACTTGCGATACTGAACAAACATTTCGAATTCACTGCTGTCGATGCTGAAATATACAGAAAAACTTATACCCGGGATTTCTTTGTTTGAGGTATAAATTCCAATCAGATTCGTGTCAGATTGTTAAGATTTCAACTCTACTAGTTGAAGCGGTTGAGGAAGATTGCGCTTCAGTGTTCGCTGAAAACCAATCAGCATGCTATCCCTTCCCAGGAATATTTTTAATGTCACTACTTTCTATCTCACAGGATGATGAAGTTTCATCTACAGAGTCATCTAGCTTAGCCGCCACTCGTAAAAGTGTTAAATTTAAAATTAAATGTAACTTTTACTATCAAGTCAGCAGCTCTAATCACAGCATCCTCGTCTAATTTTCACAAAGACACAATCCTCATACAGGTGAACAATGTACCTACTCATGTTTTAATCGATACAGAAAGTTCCAAGTCTTTCATATCTAAGCAGTTTGCTGAGAGCTGTCAATTCAAGACTTATCCTACTACTGCTTCAGTTTGTATTGATTCTCTTTAAATTCACAAATTTCCAATTATTGTTTAGTAAAAGTAGAATTCCAAGACCACTGTTATACAGACACAAAATTGTGGGTCATGACTTACTCAGTTTGAATTCAGAACTTAAATTTTCTTTCGGTGATCGAGCCCCCTAAAATCTTTGAGTATCTTGAACTTGAAATTGAAGACATTAAAGCAATTAACATCAAATCCTGCAAACATTCGGAGGAAGATTACTTCATGACGACGGAAATTGAAAAACTTCTGATGGGCAAAAGAATTGAAGAAAGTAGGTCTCCATGGAGAGCGCAAGCATTTGTAATTAAAAATGAAAATCATAAAAAGAGAATGGTAGTCCATTACACACAAACAGTTGATGGATATACACTCTCTACTGGATATTGAGCAAACTGTGGCTAATATTTCGAAACATTCTTTGTATAGTAGCATAGATTTAAACAGTGCTTATCATCAGATTTCTCTCAGGGAGCAAGATCGTCCTTATACTCCCTTCAAAGCCTGTGACCTTCTGCATCAATTTTGGCGACTAGCTTTTTGCCTGACAGACGGGGTTCCTAATTTTCAACGAGTTAGGGATGAGGTTATAGCCAAAGAAAAAATTGAAAAGAAGTACGCGTATCTCCATGATGTAACAGTTTGCGGAGCAAACGAGAAAGAACAGGATAATAATTTAAAACGATCTATGGATACAGTCAAAAAATACGGATTCAGCATAAAACATGAGAAAATCAAATTTTCTCAAACTTATAGGATACAGGATAGAGAATAAGACTATTTCGTCTGACCCAGACCATTTGTAACCTCTCCTTCACCTGTTTCCTCCAAATAATTCAGAAAAAGTTATTAGTCCCTGGTACAGACTCATTTTTATCGAAGTATTAACATCAGGCTGAAGCTTCCTAAATAGCTTCATCTCATTGTAACCTACAAATTTTTATTTACGAAAATTCTCGGAATTGGGGCGTTTTCAGTCTTGAAGTTGGCAAACTTAGACTATTTAATTAGGTACTAAAAACTCGTAAATACCCATTTGCTTTTAACTTGAGCATTAAGTCGAGAAAAAAAAGCGGCCTTCAAAAATATTGAGCCCTTTAGGGTAACCTACACCCCCAAATTGTTAAAATAACGAGGTTGTATAGGCCAAACGGCCCAATATTTGTGTAGGTCACCTTTTATATTAATTTTGTGCACAAGCTATCTTACGATTCAAGTTGAAAGCAAATGGGCATTAACGAGTTTTTAGTACCTAATTAAAGAGAAAAAGTTTGCCAACCTCAAGATTGAAAACGCTCCAATTCCGAGAATTTTCATAAATAAAATATTTGTAGGTTACAATAGATGAAGCTGTTTATGAAGTTTCAATGGGATGTTAATAATTTGATAAAAAGAGGGGGGGGGGTATGTACCAAGGACTATAGAAATTAGCTAAATTCTAGGATTTTTCCTTTGATGCATGAGCTTTTTTCACAGTTCGAACTTCCAAAAAATGGCACTTCTAAATCAATGATTGGTGCCATAGGTGATTAAGAACCATTTTTTGTAGCAATGGATGCCTCTGACTTTTCAATCCCAGCAGTGCTCTCCCAATCTTGCCGCCCTGTTACACTCACCAAAACTCAATGACAGCAAACAGGGACACTCACTCCATCATGAGGAAGAAGCCTATGATATGATTTGCTCATTGATAAAATGGAGACACTTTCTATTAGGACAGTACTTCATAATAATCACTGATCAGTGCTGTGCGCCCTTTATGTTTCATTTAAAGCATCAGAATAAAATTAAGAAGATACTTACAGAGATACTTAAGTTATCATACTACACAATTATGGTATAATATACTGACCAGGAAAAAAAAAGATAATCGTGTTGCTGAGGCCTTCACAAGAATATGTGGCTGGATTCAACTTAACAAACTGTATTTTCTGCATTGTGATATGTGTCATCTTGGTGTGATTGGCTTGGTAGGATTGACATCTATCAGATGCACCTCCTCCACCAAGGGATCATATTTGCTCAACTTAACCTGGTTCTTCATTAACAGTTTAGATGAAGGCATTAGCCAGGAGGGTAGAGAACAATCATTGGTTAATCTTTGGTTGTGCTTCAACATTCTCTCATGGGGCGTCTCATTCGTCGCACAAAAGCGATCATATGAAATACAAAGAGTCTGGAAGTACAGACTCTCAATAAGATGAATCATGACTCTTTTGTTTAAGAGTCAGTGAAATAGTCCGCCAGATCATGCCATTCTCGAGTTCTATCTGGCCGTTCTCTGATGGATTATATGGCAGACATATTAGTCACTACACCCCATGAATGTAAGGAGTTTTAGAGTTCCCGAGAAATAAACAAAGTCCCTCTGTCAGTATGAATGTATGAGGGGGTTCCAAAAATTGAGAATAAATCAACAAGGCAGTCTATAATTATCAAAGAATTCATGTCAGGTTAAGGATATGCAAATGGAAACCGTGAAAACTCACCAATCATGGTCAGGAGATTTTTTTTTCTGGTTTTTGAAGCCTTTAAAATCCATACTAATTCTTTCAAAAGGATGAGTAACCTTGATGAGCTTAGAATTGGCCATCTTATAAAATCTTGCCTTGATCGAATTACATGTAGTCATTTTTCGGATCTCTTCTACTGAAACTTCTACTGTTCTGTTTTCCAGTGAATCATTTGAGCAAGAAGTTATTATAGTAAAGTAAAAAATAAGGTATTCGTAATAATTCAATCATTTATAAAAATAATTTATTTAAACATTTCAACATGTTAATTACCAATCATATTTGCTACTGCAGCCTTGATAAGTAATCCTTCTTTTCTTATTTTCACAACTTTGAATGCAGATATCTTGAGCTAATTCTAAAATAGTAATAATCATTATTACAATTATGACACTCACATGTGTTAAATATTTCATATTGCTTACTTGGAAAGTTTGAGACTTTTTTTTGAGATTGATTGTTCTTAATTTTTGAATTAACTAAGGTTCTACTCTCATCGAAATAATGGTTTGGATGAAAAACAATTTCCTGCAAAGGGGAACCATGCTTAATTTCAAAGTATTTGCTGCATGCCAATTGTGGTGTTTCATTTTTCATTATAGCCACAGTACACTTCACCTCTAAAATAAAGAATGAAAATGAATATCACTCTAAAAGATAGTTTTACAAACTCAATATAACAATGATTAGTATATTATTATATTATTACTGGCACTGTGTTAAATTAATAATCATAAATGCACAATGTAAGGTGTTATTCATTATAACTTCAAGAGACAATTTTTTTAAAACAAATTTAACATCAATGATGTTCAATTATGTACCACCAAGACAATGTAAAACTAAAACTATATTTATTTTATAATTAACAGCAGCTAAGCTTCTAAAATTAATTATTGTTATACAACATTACAGACCAATAATTTTTGTTCTCACCTTCATCATTAAGACCATGCCTTGCTAACAAAAATTTAATATTTTCTTCATCTGATATTTTAAAGGGACAGCCATGGTATTCAGAAAATGCAGGCATTGCTTCCATTATTTTTTTACAGCTTTGAGGAGGGTAATCAGCTTTTTTTCCTATGACACCATATAGGTGAAATATATGATAATTATAATACTTAACAAACTGAAAGATTGTACAAAAATTTAAAATTAGAAAAAGATTACTGGTGTGTTTTATTTAATTACCAAGAATGTTATAATACCTCAATGAGTGACATCTTTTTGGTAAAATAATGGCGCCAAAATGTCAAAGAATCTTGTAATGACAGTCCTATTCCTTTTAGAAACAGTCCATACTGAAAGCGTCCTCCATTCTTTAAATGACTTTTTGTTTTTAAATGATAATGCAGTTCACTCATACATAGGGGAAAAGACTGTTCAGCAAACTAAAATAAAACTCAAAGTGTTACTCTCTTTTTTTTTTTTTTTTTTGTTAATTTTGTTGACATAAAATGGATTTTAATATAAGCACACTAACAGAATCAATTTCCTTCAGCAATACAGAGCTATTACTATTACTTCTTCCAAACAAAAAGCGTTCAAACTGCACTTCTTTTTCAACATATAAAACAATTGATGTGATTCGTTCGTCATTCCACACTTTATGGAGATTCTTTTTTATTATCTGAAAATAGATTTAAAAAACAACTGATTGTCCTAAATATTAATAATTTTCAAACATTAAAACAGTAACAATCAACAAAGTATAAATACATTATTAATAAAAAGTAAGATATTGAAATACATTATGAGGTGAGTTCCAAAACTCGGCACAGAGCACATTAATATAATCACAAATCCATCAGACCGTTACCCAACTCGACTAAATTCTTGAATCCCAATTTGAGCTGCTTATTTACAGTAGTACTTTGATGTATCCTGGTACAAGACATATCTCCAACCGAGCTATGTTTCAACATTTCAACCGATTATTTCTCAGAGGAATCATTCTCAACAGCCATCCAACAGTAAGTTATTTGTGAGTAAATTGCAGGAATTAAAGATCACATACAGCTGTCATTATTTCCGCCATGGCCTGGTCCCAAGTCCAGGGTAAGAAAGGAGGAGGATTAGGGGAGGGCCGACTATCCATCCGTGTAAAAAGACTCAAGTTACTTCAGCTCAAAAACCAAGCCTCGGATATCGGACTGCTTTATGGCCCGGAACTCGGATAAAGGTATATCCATTTGGAACTTGGAATGTTCAGACCTTATTCAGACCAGGCACTCTCTCAGAATTGAAGGACCAGCTTATAAGGCATAAAATGGATATCACCACAATACAGGAGGTGAGATGGACTGGTAGTGGTAAACTAAGCAAGGAATTATTTGACTTCTTCTATAGTGGCAGCCAAGACAATTATGAATTCGGGACTGCACTTGTAATATCAAAGCACATGAGATCTGCAGTTTTGGACTTCCCGCCCATTAGTAATAGGATATGTAAACTTTAGAATCAAAGGTAGTAGGTGTAATATGACTATAACAAATGTACACGCCCCTGCAGAGAAAAAAGATGAGACAGGATTATACGATTAGGAACTGGAAAGAACCATAGATAGTTGCCCATCTTATGACATAAAAGTTATAATGGGTGATTTCAATGCTCCAGTTGGCAAAGAGAAGTGTTTATACCAATAATTGGTAGAGATAGCATGAACGACTGGACTAATGACAATAGAGAGCGCATGATAAGTTTTGCCACAGCCAATTCCTTAGTCTTAATGCACAATTAAGCACAATTTTTCTCTCTAACAACAACTCAGATACACCATATTCTTGTCACCAGTAAGTACTTCAACAGTATGCATGACGTCTGAACTTACCGAGTCAGGTAGGGTAAGAGATAAGAATAGAAAGCTGCTTGTTGTTGAGAAAGATGAAAAGAGCACTTCCAGGAGTTACTCAACCCTGCGGATGGAGAAATAGGAACTTCCAGAAGCATGTAATCAATAAGAGAAGAAGATATGGATGAAGTCATGCCACCTGAAGTCATGACATAAAAAATATTTTGAAAAAGCTATTATTATTATTAAATGGCGCTACATCCCAATCAATCGAGACTTGGCCTACTCCAGCATGGATCTCCAGTTCTCACGGTTAGTTGCTGCAGTCTTCCAATTTCTGACACCAAGTAGTCTACATGCATCAGCAGCCATACAGTCTTGTTAGCGCAAACATAGTCTTCCCACTGGTATGCTTCCATATACAGGCTCATTCATAGCCCACTGTGGAGGTGCATTCATATCCATACGCGCGACATGTCCTGCCCAGCGTAGTCTTGCCATTACGATGAATTGGCTCACATCATTAAATAATGTCTTTATTTCTAAATTCGTTCTCCTCCTCCAATTTTGTGGTGTTTCCTGGACCCCTCCAAATATGCGTCGTATAATCCTTTCGAATCTGAGCAGGGATTTCTCAACTGCTTTAGTTAAGGTCCAACTCTCACAGCTATGCGAGTACTGGTCTAATGAGTGTTTTATATATTCTTATTTTGGCTTGTCTTGACAACATTCTACTGCGAAGATGCCTCTGGAGAGGGAAATAGCACCGATCAGCCACTGCGATCCTCCAGTCTATCTCACAATCAATGTTATTTCGTGAATTTATCTGTGATTCAAGATATACGAATTCGTCAACATTCTCTATTCCAAGCTGTTCCAGCCATGCTTGGTTTTCTCTTGTTAGACATGAGGATAGGGTGGACATATATTTTGTTTTGGACACGTTAAAAATAAGAACGATTGTGGCTGCCGACTCTTCCAGGCTTGTAAAAGCTTCTTGTACTGCCGTAAACCATCTTTCCATTATGTCAATATCGTCCGCATATCCAAGTATTTGGTTCACTCGATTTAGGAGAGTTCCTATAGTCTGGACACCAGAATCCCTTATTACTTTTTCGAGAGTAAAGTTGAATACCAGACATGCCAGAGCGTCTCCCTGCCTTACACCTGTCGATGTTCTAAACCCCTTTGATAAATCACCCTGTACTCGTACGAAACACTCATTACCCTCCATTGTCATTCTAACAAGCCTTACAAGTTTTTCAAGTACGTTCATTTCACAGCTTGGAGATTACCAAGTTGGTTTTAGGACAAATCAACCAAATTTTTGTCCTTAGATAGATCATGGAAAAGATGAAAGAGTATAATTAACTCCATGTATATGCTCTTCATTGATTTTAAGGCAGCATATAACACAGTGGTTAGAAAGGAGCTTTGTTATGCAATGTATGAATTGGACATACCAGCAAAGCTGATTCGTTTAACAATGGCTACCATTGAAGGTACCGTCAGTAGAGTTAAGGTAAAAGGAATAATTGGCGACTCCTTGGCAGTTTGTTCGGGCCTGAGACAAGGTGACTCATTAGCCCCACTCCTCTTTAATATTGCCCTAGAGACCATCATGAGAAGAGCAAGATTAAGTAATGGAGGAACAATATTCCACAGAATGACCCAACTGCTCGCGTAAGCTGACAATGTGGTCATTGCAGGGCGATCACTTCAAGCAGTGAAGAGTGCATTAAGTAGGGTGGAGAATGAGACAGGGAAAATGGGGCTATAGGTCAAAGAAAGTAAAACCAAGGTCCTTGTTTTAAGGAAGAAAAAAGTTTGTCCATCCACCACGGCACTATGTCTTGGAAAACCATATGTTTCAAGCTGTATCAAACTTCATTCATCTACCTCGGGTCCATAATTAACAATAGCGATAACAAAGAGGAGGAGATAGGAGCTTGAAAAATGGCTGCCAACAGAGCATACTTTTCTCTAGCGAGCCTGCTGAAAAGTAGATTGTTAAGTCGTACAACGAAGTTTAGGATATACAAAATGATTATTCGCAACATATGCGCGTGAGACATGGACTTCAACAAAAGCATCTGCTGAACGAATAGATCGATTTGAAAGGAAAATACTAAGATGAATAATAGGACCTAAACTGGAGGAAGGAGTTCTCTGCTTGAGAACAAACAAGGAGGTATACTCAATGTACAGGTGCAGCAAATAAAATGGTTAGGACATGATTTTGAGAAAAAAATGGCATATCCATCAGGTGCACAGCCGACAAGGATGACTGTACAAAGGAAATTGAGCAGGCCAAGGACCGCTACATGCGTCTGTTGGGCCAATAAGGAATAAGGAATACTGCTGTCATAATTTTTTTTTTTTTCGAACTTCTTTATTGAAAAATATTACAATCTGTCTTTATTTTTATTTTTTTTGTTTGGTGTAAGAACATTTTATTTTACAAATATATATACTTTTTTCTTTACTTTACTGGACATTCTATGAAAGTTATTTTATTATATGTACATTTAGCTTTTTTCAGACTTATTAAGGTAAGCCTTTTATGTTAATTCTTTGTTACTTTTTTTTTTAACTTTTAAACAATTTTTCTCCGGTTGTATTATCAGTGAATATAGAAGATTATTTTACTTTAACTTATATTTTTATTTTTCCATCTTACAAATATACTGGCCATTCACATACATGAGGAAAGGTTCTACTGAACCTCTCAGATTAGGTTTACTTTTATACAAGGTAGAAATGAGGATTTTATCATAAACCTATCAATAAATAATATCACAGACATTACAAGTCTAAATTATATCCAACATGGTCTTTAACTGAAAGATTTTAAGTATTTAAAGTATGATAGAAATTACAAAATATACATACCTCTAAATTAAATTTTAAATATTTGGTGAAATCTGAAACTATTACATGAATCATATCATCCAAACTCACATAACAATTACCATCTTTCATATAAATAACTCTATTAGCCATTAACACAGAAACATTTGTAAAAAATACTTTATAATACTTTACAGAAGAAACTACTAATCCATTGGATGTATTAGAAACTTCCATTTTCTCATGTTTTGTTACCTTAAAACAAATAAAACATGAATTAGAAATGACATAATATTAAGAAGATGGTTAGTTAAAAAATATCTGTTATTTAAACATTTATACATACAAAAAGAAGATATTTAGTGAATTTTGCGATTTGATGAGAATTGATTATTTGGAAATTGTTAAGTTATAAACATAATTTGCCAAATTAAATATTATGATTTTATATACATCAAAAATTATAAAAATAAGAAGGTTTTAGATGGTTGATAACCAGTTTTCGACAAATGAGATTTAAGGGAATTGTCTAGTAGAGCCTGAAATCTTTTACAGATTATAAAATCCTTGCTAATCTCATATTCTGAGCAAGTTCAATTCAGTAAATGGTGTTAAGACAAGTTAAGAGTCATTCATCAACAGTCCATAAGTTAGTCCACAAAGTTTGAAGTCACTGAATCAGTTAATGAAGCTATGGAGGAAGACTATCTAGTTATAATACTTAACTAGTTTATTAGTTACTTGTAATTAATTTTTGTAAGGATACCTTCTAGATTTGATGTTCTTAATATAAACATTAATGAAGGATGTTATACAAATAAAATTGTCAAAGAAATTTATTTTTCCCTTGTCTCCTATGTTGTCCATACACGAAAATTTATAAATAGCAGAACAGTTAAACCGATCTTTAACCCCAGTACCTAACCTCTTCCTTTAGACCCATCCACATAAAAAATTTTTACACTTTGAATTGTTAAGTTCATTCTTGACTTCAGTAATCAAGAGGAGTTAATCCTCCACAGGAATGTCAGAATTCATTCTTATATAGAGTCTAGGAATTTAGTAGTGTTCAGACTGGCAAGGAGGTAGGACCTACGTTTCCAAAAAAAGTCGGAGGATTGCCATTTTTTATTTTTTTTTTCATGTTATTAAATAGATAAACTTTTTAGGTGGTGGCACTATACCTATAAACAAATTCCTCAAATAAATTTTTATAGTTTAAAAAATAGGAATAAAGCTTAACTTAATTGTTTTCCTAACCACATTAGAAATATTGATTGAAATATTTAGAAATGCTGAAATCCAGAGTGGGGGAACTCGAGGTACGATTAAACAGAGTCGAGCAGGGCCTACTCTGTAGATCGGTTGAGATCCGAGGCATTCCGGTACGTGCAGGAGAGACTCCTTCGGCCCTAGTTGCCAGTGTGGGAGCTGGTCTCGGTGTTAAGATTAACATCGAGGACATCGATTTTGTGGAGCGCCGTAGACCTAAAAAAGACGACCCTAGACCACCACCAGTTATAGCTCGCTTTGTGAGGCAGGCAGTACGAGACGAGCTGGTCCAAAGAAGAAAGGTCAAAAGGGACTTCTCAACTCGAGACATCGGCTGGCAGGAAAACGACTCCCACCGGATATACCTTGGTGAAGAAATGACCCCTGCTAATAGAAGATTATATTGGCTTGCACGTCAGAAGAGAGCGGCTGGTAAACTAAAATACGTGTGGTTTTCGGCGGGTAGATTGCGCTGCAGAAAAGGAGATGGCCATCCCGTGATATACATCGACCAACCAGATGATCTAGATGTTTTCTGCTGACCTTCTGATTTACGTCAACCTACAGAATGCATCCGTAAACTTCCAATCTTCTATTGTATAATACAGCATCGTGCTGGGTTGCCCATCTACTACTATTGTTATTATTGTTTCTCTATTTTAACCAATGTAATTTTTTGTTTTTTCCTCTTTCATATTTTTGAACCTAACTCTATTTTGTTTGTATTTTTTTTATTCTCTTACAGCCATTATTTACTTCTTTCCAAATTGATTTTCACAGTTTTTTCTTACCTACAGCGTCATCCATCATATGTATACTTTTCTCCTTTCCGTTATGTCTAGCGTCTTAACTACTTGCCATGTTAATTCTCAATCCCTTCCTGCTCACTATGACGAATTTCTCCAATATTTCACCTGTAACTTCTACCACATTATTGCAGTCTCTGAAACATGGCTTAAGCCCTATATCCCTTCCTCTTCCGTTTCCTTACCTGATTATACCTTCATCCGTCATGACCGGGTTTACCGGACTGGCGGAGGTGTTGGTCTCTATGTTCATAATAGCCTGAAACCCCGTATTCTAGATATTTCATCCCCTTCCAATCATCCTCACATTGAATTCCTCTTCGCTGAAATTTCTTGTAAAGCACATCCTCTCCTTTATGTGGTCGTATATCGCCCTCCTTTGACTCCTTTTGACTCATCCTTGTACAATTATGTCCCTTTCTATAATAACATTATAATTTCCGGTGATCTTAATACCAACCTCCTCACAGAATCCAACAATAAACGCTATTTGGAAAATCTCTTCTTCTCCCTCAACCTTTTTATTGTTCCTTTCGCTCCTACACACCATACTTGTTGGTCTGACACCTGGCTTGGACTTGCATATCATCAATTCAGAGCAGAAACTCTTGTCCTGTTCTCAATTACCCATTCCTTTCCTTTCTTCTCATGATCTCATCAAATTATCGTACGATATCCAAACTCCCATGTTTCTTCCTAAAACCATAACTTTCCGCAATCTTGACAACCTCACCCGTGATAAAATCCTACCGGACCTTGAAACCCTAAACTGGAACGATATTTATTCCTGTACCTCTATTGATCATATGGTAGACATCCTCACTTCTAATCTTATCCATATTCTTGACATACATGCTCCTATCAAAACCTCAACCTTCCGTCGCCAACCTGCTCCTTGGATGTGTCAAGAAATCCGCGACATGCAAAAGAGATGTGAGGCAGCCCGTAGATGCTTCAGACGAACTCGACTAGCAGATGACTATCAAGTCTATAGGGTACTCCGTAACTTGACACAAACAACGATCAGGAAAGCGAAATCAAACTTCTTTCACGAAACTCTCGCTTCTGCTCCTGATTCTAAATCAATATGGCTAACCCTTCGTAAACTCTCTCTCTCTTTGTAAATCCTCTTCCTCACCGTTCTACCCGGTATCACCCGATGAACTAAATTCCTACTTTATATCTTCCACCACCAGCAACAGTTCACCCACCTCTCACCAGTTTTCCTTATCACCCTCATTTAACAGTGATAATTTCTATTTCTCCAACATCTCACCGACCGACCTTATTTCCTCTATAATGAAATCACACACAAACTCCATCGGACTTGATGGGATACCAGTCAAACTATTAAAATTATGCCTTCCCGAAGTCGTTCCAGTTCTCCTTTTCATCTATAATTTTTCCCTCCAGAACTCAGTTTTTCCAACTGCTTGGAAAAAAGCATTAGTCAGACCTATCAACAAAATTCCCAATCCTACCTCTCCTAAAGACTACCGCCCAATCTCCATTCTTTCTAACCTTTCTAAACCTCTGGAAAGAATAGCTCAATCCCAAATCTCTAAATTCCTTGAAAACTCAAAACTACTCGATCCTCTCCAATCTGGTTTCCGACCTGGCTTCTCCACACAATCCGCCCTACTAAAAATTACCAATGACTTACATACCGCAATGGACGAAAAAATGTTAACTGTATTAATACTTCTCGACTTTTCCAAAGCTTTTGACTCCTTAGACCACTCTATACTCTATACTAAATTAAAATCTCTATCCTTCTCCAACAGCTCTATCCTCTGGTTATAGTCTTTCCTATCTGACAGAACTCAAGCAGTCAGCATTCCAAACCAACCCCTATCTTCCTTTCTTACACTGTCCTCTGGAGTGGCCCAGGGTTCGAGCATTTCCCCTCTCCTTTTCAACTCCTACATAAATGATCTTTCCAAATCCATCTACCACTGTTCACATCATTTATACGCTGATGACACCCAAATATATTTTTCCTTTCATCCTTCTGAGCTACTAGTCGCGTTCGCCAATATTCAGGATGACCTAGATAGGATCAGTGCCTGGGCAAGTCTGAATAATTTAAATCTAAATGCGATGAAAACTCAGGCCATTATTATAGGTTCCAGTCCTATTCTTAAATCCATCTCCTTCCTTCCTCCTTTAGTCATCAACGATCATCCTGTCACATTCAGTTCATCCGTTAAAAACCTAGGAATCACCATAGACGAAAACCTCTCCTGGAAACCCCATATTGCCCTCATCTCCCGTAAGTCAATAGGTACCCTTAAGCTATTTCATCGCTCCCGCCACCTACTCCCACAACCCATCCGCAAGCTCCTTGTATCCTCTCTCATTTTCCCCCACTTTGACTACGGCTGCGTGGTGTACGGAGGCATCCCGATGGTACTCGAGGATAGATTGAAGCGACTCATGAATACGTGCTTAAGATTTGTCTTCGGTACATCAAAGCGATCTCATGTGTCCCACCTTTACGACGAGTTAAAGTGGCTCTTCCCTTCTTTCCGCAGACAATATTTCCTCGGATCTTTCCTATTCCAAACAATCAACACTAGACACCCTTCTTACATCTACAGTCTCCTACAGTTTAAACCCGTGGTCCACTCCCAGAAAACAAGATCCCGTGTTTCCGACCTTTATATCCCTTCCCATAGAACTAAGACGTTTGAATATTCCTTTATTTCACGATCCACAGCCTTCTGGAATTCCTTGACATCTGAAATCCGTCATGCCTCTTCCTTGTCCTCATTTAAATATCATCTTTACCAATTCCTTCTCACATCCCAAAATGACGTTATACAATAAAATAAATATTGTGAAACAGATTTTGACTGAGGTGAATGATTGATAAAATTTATTGTATTAATTTTAAAAATCAACCCATGCTTATTTTATTTTATTTTTATTTTCATTTAAATAATGTTGTTTTTTTTATTTCGTTTTTTCTCAAAATTTTATTTTATTTTTACTTGTTTTAATTTAATTTCACTGAAGATACTGTATATATTCTTTAATATTGATTAATGTAATTTTTGGCCAGATGTAGTTTTAATTTTTTTGTTCATATCTGTTATTCATAAGGGACCTTGTCCCAGAATAAAGTTTACTTTCTATCTATCTATCTATCTATCTATTATCCTAATCAATTTAATATTAGTTATTAAATTACAAATGGAAAAGGCTCACCTCTTTTAACTTGCTAAAAAATTCTGAAACAATTTCATTTTTTTCTGGTTTGCTTAAGAACTTCCACCGAAGGAATAATAATTTTTTCTCCTGATCAAGAAACCATTTTTTCATAACATAATTTCTACAGCATGCTATACTAAGTACGAAATGTGAGATGTGGTCAGCATTTTGCAGGTTAGACTCTTCCAGGTATGAATTTGATGTTCCTAGAACCTAAAATATTGAAACATGTTGTAAATTGTAACTGTAACAGAACAAAATTGAGCAAACACAAAAAAATGCCACTACACATTGGCTTGTTTCTAGAAAGGTGTATTAATATATTTTAGATTTTGGGTTATTTGTATCAACAAATTTCATTTTAGCAAATCTTTAATTATCAAATAGGGAGTGGTGTAGCTCAGTGGTAGGGTACTGAGCTTCCAATGCTAAAGGTCCCAGGCTCGAAAACCGGCTCATGGCAGAAAATTTATTTATTGTTTCATTGGCCATGGGGCGACCCTGGGTAGATAGACCCAGCCTCTATAAAGCGGGTACCCTTAATTAAAAATAATTAATTAAGGGGAAAAACCTGGCAGCTGAGCTTGATATCGGTCAAATCACCTCCTTGCACAACTGTAGACCAAGAAACAGTACTTTCCCTAAATAGTACTGAACCCAAGATCCTTCATGGGTTGTAGTGGTACAGGTTTTTTTTTTTTTTTAATTCTCAAATAGAGAATGTCAAAAAAGAAAGTGGTTATATTTCATTATAATATCAGTGAGTGTTACTGAAAGTGTTTTCTGATTAATCTTTAATGAACCAAATTTGTCATTATCAGAATTAACAATTTGGAATTCGCCAAGGACAAGAATTTGCCTTTTCATTTTTCATTCAAATATTTGTAAAGTAAAGCAAATAAGTGTTGATCGTTATGGTGGAGAACTGCACAGGCTGCCCCTCTTCCCCTCATTCTCTCCCTACAGCCCTAATAGACAAAAAAAAAAAAACTACTAATCTCTTGATGTACCCTTCAATTAGTTCTTAATCATCGAAAAAGAAAATATATCATCATTACCATCTTTGTATAAATCTCAGACTTTTTTGCCAGGCACCCTTGTTGAGCTCAATTTTTTGCTGAACCCTTATTGGATTAAAAAATTGTAAATAACCTGTTAAAGTTTAATTGTAAATAACTTGTTTTGGCGGGAATTGCGAATAGCCTTCCGCTTTTATTTACACTCGTGAATATTAATACAAAACCCCGGCACTGGATATAGACTTTTTGAGTGTGTTTAACTGTCGTTGGGAATTCGGGAATTTAATACCTTTTGTGACACTGAGTGAGAAGAAACAATAATAATATATATATGAAATGTGGGACTTAGTAAACTTACTTTGAATGAATTGACTCAAGTAAACATACTTTGAATGAATTGACTCATCTGGTTTGTTATTCTTCAATCATAAGGCATATAGGACAACTAAATAAATAGATGACTTTTCACTCCTGTATAACAAAATAATTTATTTCTACAACTGTAATAAATTGACTCTTATTAAAGTGTTATAACTATAGACTTGATCTTCTAAATCTTGTAGTAAACTTCTAACGTCGTTCCGCCTCCATGTCTCAGCCTCAAGTGCCTTCTCCTCACTTCTCCGGCATCCTCCAGCTGTTGCTACTTGCTCCGTCCTTTTTCCAGCGTCCTTCTTCATTGGTTGTTTATTGATATGAGACTTTTCAATGAATAATTTGTCCACTGCATAATTGAGTACAATTCATCGTGCAACCTCACCTTCCTATATATTCCTTCTCATTCCCTCACACAATGTCACATAAAGGAGTAAATACTGGGGGCTATCTACTACAAAATGTTTGAGGAACCATTGTCAAGAAATAAAAATTGGTAGCACACTCACCCTTAAAGAGGTATTATTATAGAATCTTGATGTATTTGTTGAGAAATATACATAAGCTAAATAAAATTCTATACACAGATTATTATAAATTTAAATTTTGTTATTAATAATCATAATAGTATTACTTTTTAGAATATGTATTCACCAAATTGACTATTTAGACCTTAGATATAAAAGGTTGAAATTAAAGATTACGGACATTGCACTGCACCCCTGGCATACAATTGCCCAGAAAAATGTAAGATAGAAATAACTGGAACTTACACTTTCGATATAATTATTCAACTCTTATAAAACATATTAATAAAATGAATCATAACACTAAAAAAAAAAAAAAAACGTTTTCTTCAAAGTAAAAGGAAAGAATAGAATAGTAAAGATGTGACTAATTAAAACTGAAAGTAGATATCATATCAACCAACCTAATGATTATGACACAAAAATATCTTGGATTAAACGACAGAATTCCTAAAAAGAACAGCTTTCCCTTTTTGAATTTTGAGTTGTTTTTTTATTTTCCAACCCATCTAACTATAATGGGATCGTGCACCATCCAAGACAATAAGTTTGAAGAAATAATGTGAATGCATCAATATTCTAAACTTTTAATTATCTTTTCCTCAAATATATATATGTTATACATGTTATGGACTACCCACTATTAATATGTGTTTGGAAAGTGGATTATGGCAACACTTTTTTCAGGAAGGACACCAACTCAGTGTAGCTTGGCCAAGTATAGAGGTTATATGTGATGTACATAATGTTAATACTTTAAATGTAATAAAGTGCTCTACCCCTGATCATAGTTTTATTCTATTGATGAACATAAAAATACATTTCTGTTTTTCTTCTTTAATGTTAATAAAACTAATTAATCAATAGATATTCTTCAGACTATTAAATTAATTTTACCCCAGTAGTTATGATCCTTCCATTGTTTTCAAAGAAAGATATTAAATGAAATAATTAAAAGTAAAATGATAATTACAAAGTACCAGCTTGATAATATCCAGCAAACCTTTTTCTCTGAGCTTGCTTAAAATCCAATGAATCTGTTTTTCCGTCAAAAGTATTGTGTTTCCAATTTCATCTAATATTCTTAAAGCTGTAAAAAGAAAAAAAGGTTAATTTTAAAATTAAATGTTTAAAGTGATCTCAAACTTAATTAATTCTTTTTAAGGTTTATTGATACAGGATCATGAAGAGATCAAGCCCTCTTTGTTCTGGATGTTAGTATGTGCATACAGAAAATAAAAGCACCTCAAGTGAGTGTGAAGAGAATTTCTAATTCTAAATTCTACAGGTATAAACAACCCCTGAACACTGGTCAATGCTCATTTTCGAGTGGGGCATATTTATTATATAAATTCCTTATAAGCTAGCCCTTGCTTTTTTGCTGCAATTATTTTTGACAGAGTTAATTTTTTGGGAAATTTTCCTATCCGGTAACAATAACTTTCATCATGTACCAGGACCTATCTACTCTTTTAATGATTTCAGACATAAATACTCTTTTAAATTAAATCTACTTTTCTTTCTTTCTTTGATCTGTCAAGTCACTTCTCAATGGTCCTGCTGCACTCAATTTTTGCTTAATCTAACTTGTTAATATGATTTTTATATTGATAACTCTCTGCCTTCATCAGTTTATCATTTAGCTTCTTAGGTAATTTAGCAACAAGTTTTGCACTATGATATACTTCATTATTATCATTTTTTTTTTTTTTAATCCAGTAAACTCTATCACTTTAGTATATAAACTAAATAAAAAGCTCTGGTACAGATTTTTTTAATTTCGTAAGGTAGAAAACAGAAAGAAATATATGTATAAAAAAATATATCAGATATATACATGAAAATTAGTCCAGTGAAAAACCGAAAATGAATGTAGATCAAACATTTTCAAAGAATAATGGAAAAATAAAAGCACTGACATTAAGGTTAATGAAAAGATTACTCACTACATCATTCCATAAGAGGAAAGATTTATTGTTAACAATTATAACTCGAATAAAATAATATAAACTATGATTTAAAATTATAGTACCTTCAAATCTATTAATAACTGACTTATGTAATATAGATAAAGAACATTCAAAGTTTGGAGTTTCCCTGTATAATTGCAAGGGTGTGCCATAGAGCTTTTTGTGTGAAAATCTGAAAACAAATAAATATCAAAAGAAATTTCAGAAAATACAATTAAATAGAATAATAAATATAAATTTTAGATCATTACACTTTAAAGAAGTCAGCATCTTCTGAGGTGAACAATTTAACTGAGAAAGTAATAAATTTGAATTTCTCTGTAAAGAACAATAAGATAGAAGAAGAAAACTATATTAGCAAATAACATACATAGTTATAATCATTATTTATTATTATTTTATTACCTGGCATAGAAAATGATTCACATCCAAGTTGGATTACATCACCAGATATTACTTCATACTTGATGTTTTTATCAATTTTATGACCATTCAAATAAGTACCATTGATACTAGTGTCCTCTATAAAAAACTGCATTACAAAGCTAGAATTAGCAATGTGTAACATTTATTTTATCATACTATTATATAAAAGAACAACCTGTTTTTCCTTTGTAATCACTAACTGCAAAAAAAAAAAAAAAAAAAACAACCGCACAAATGCCACCAATAGAACAATGATAAATTTTGTCATCCTCAGCCATTTTTCATTCAATTCCAACATTTAATGATTGACTTTTAAAATATAAATATAAAATCAATACCACATGAGAAATGCTATATAATAAAAAGTTGAACACATTGTTCCTATCACCGTGATAGGAATTAAAAGTTTAAAAACTACTAATTTTGGAGACAAAACTGGAAATATAACTTATTTTGAAGCCTTACAAATTTATTAATCTCTCATAATACATTTCTGAAATACTAGAGATAGGTTAAATAAAATAATACCAATCTATAGTGCTAAAAGTCTCAGTTTATGTTAATTTTCATTTAATAGTTGTTAATTTTTTTAACCATTTTCCTCACTACATAAGGGATGTATTGTAATAAAAAAGTTTGAGCAAAACATCATCATAATTTTATTGGAGGAAGTTAGTTTACCGTTCTACACATCATGGGTGATAAATATTTAGGACGAAGTCATTATAAAGATTTTATTGGTACAGAAGTTTCAACCCAAACATGTGGGACATCATCAGAGGGTGTTTCGAACACCGAAGGTATTTAACTGTTAGTACTGTGAGTACTTGAATACCTTCAGTGCTCGAAACATACCCAGATGATGACCCAGATGTTTGGGTTGAAACGTCGGCACTAATAAAATCTTTATAATGACTGCGTCCTGAATATTTATCACCCATCATAATTTTAGTTTTTGTTTTGTTTTAATAACTGCAAAGATACCTGGGTAGGAAGGAAATTTGAAAGTGATCCACACTAGGCAAAATATTTGTTGGATTATAACTAATAGAATCAGTGTTGTATGAATAATCAAATTTAAGCCATACCTTAGTATCATACAAATGTAAAAACAGAATAAATTTCATCTTTTTCACTCAGTCCCTTTTGTAATATTCAACTTTGAAAATCGACAAAAAGACATTTTGAAAATTAGGAGAATAAAAAAAAGAACAAATTTCATCTAATCGGTGAAAAAAAAAAAAAAAAAAAATCAAACGTGAGCCTCTGGTGACACTGACAAATATTCCTCTAGTTTGTTGAATAAACCAAGATACCACAGTAAAACTAGAATTCCGAAAATACCTCAGGATTGACATCTCCACAGTATAACCTTCCTTTATTTTGACTGATTTGGGACTTCAGCCAATTATCTATTGGTCCTCTCAAATAAAATTGAGGCATTTACTGGCTTTAATTACATTGCTTTAGACATACACTCACTCAAAATGGACAAACAAACTCCCAATGGGTCCTTTTCAATACAGGTAAGGACCTTACCAGATAGTTTGGTCACTTTCAGACAAACTTGGTTATTTTCCCAATTCCATTTAGGGTGTGATCATGAGATCTTGTGCCTCCACAATAAAAGTGGAGTGATATTTGTACAGTCGAATCCCATTTCCTTTATAGATGATGTTTTAAAAGAAAAATAAATTATCATCTTCTTAATATTTATTTTTGTTTAATACTAGAGAATTTCAAATAATTCTTACTTTTTGATTGGTACACATTAAAAAGCAATGTTGATTGCAAATTTCAAGTGATTCCACATCGAACAATCCATTAAAAGACGAAACATTTTCTGTTTCAAGAGCTCTGCCAAGAATCTGTGGAATCTTGTCTTCTAATATTAAGGTTTTAGTCTGAAAGAAATTAAAAATACATAGACATTAGAACGTGGGTTAGATATAACTTATACATAATAAAAAGGTCATTTCACATGGTTATTTACATGTATTAAAATAAATTTAGGTAACAGGGAAAAAAATGATGGCCTCTTCAACTGCAGATAATTGAGACTTTTGGATATACTTGGCTAGTTTTGGTCTTGAATGTAAAGTGGTTGATAAGATCTTGGTCCAACCAATATCCAGACATGATACCATTAAACTAATACCAATTTTTTTTTTTTTTTTTTGAAACAATAAAATAAATAATAATAAAGCAGATTAGGCATCCTCATTAACAAGGCATTAAAAAATGTAAAAACATATTTTAACGATATTGTTACACCTATACTACTATTAAATAAATTAAAAAACAAGAATTTATATTCAAAGCAACTGCTTAAAGCAGGATGGGTGTTGAAATATCTTGCTCAAGTTCTATATGGTAACAATATTTATTTGAATGTTGCTCACAACAAAACAAAACAGATCAATCTGTTATAATTTTTATTTCTTATTTATTAATATACCAAAACACTAACTATTCATTTACTAGAATAAAAGATAAATTAAACATTATCAAATTACAAAGTGATTATCATCTAAAGAACAACAAAACAGATAAAAACGAAATCAGCACAAGATTTAAGAAACATTACAAAAATAAATACAATTTAAGTTATATGCTTTAAATAACCACTAAAACTTTGCATAAATTGACACTTTAGCTCAATTTAACTATAGAATAAAAATTATAATAATCAAATAATAAAAATTTTACAAGAAAGTATTCTGAAGGATCTTCACATTTTAAAATTGCAACTGCCATTTTTTAAATTTCATTTTATATTACACATCATTCCTGGTCATACTTTCAACTTTTAATTTGACAGCATTGGCGGGCAAAATTCAATACAAAGAGGATTTAAGGATTTAAAAGTTGTTTTGAAAAACTATTGATCAACTAACAATATATTGAATAAATAGTATTTCGAAAAAAATATCAATATCTCTAGACCAAAAAAGAAAAAAATAAGCAATAGGAAAAAAAGGTATCATAAAATAACAAAAGCTATTCATTATAATATAATGTACTACAATGGACATATTAATGGAGGCCTAAAATGAATTTTGAAACCCTGAGCTTTAGTACGCTAAATGATAGCCAGGTTAATTTATTTACGGCTAGGAGAAAGGGAGTCAAGACAGTGCTTACTGATATACACCAGTTTAGCTGACATGTCTAAGGTTATGTCTATTTATTTATGCAACTTCATGTCACTACTGATTATTATGTCATATACAATATAAGCCAAATTGATTCTTTGCCCAAACTGCAAACAGACAGTGGCGAAAGAGGTAAAAAAACACTGATATGCTCTAAGTTTTCCCGTCATGCAATGTTCCACGCCAAATGCTTTAATATTGATGTTACTGAAAGACTAAGGGCATCAAAAAGAAACTGGGCATGCCAAAAATGTGAAAATGTCCGTAAAAATATTTCCACTAGTGGTAAATAATATATTCCAGTTCGGCTCCACAGTACCCAGCCGTTGACACTTACCAGCTACAATTATCTACTGTAAAAGTTCTTACAACCAAGTTCAAGGGGCTGAATCGAATTATTAATCTGTACACAGCCTTTCTCTTTATATAAGTGTCAGTTTGACGTTCCTGATTGATATACGATATACTGTGATCTATTTATGTTAGTTAGATTTAGATTTATGTCATAGAGGTTTAGCTACCATCCCTGGGACACAGGTCCCTGGAGAGGGCCTCGCCAATCAGTCTGCAGACAATGTTTCATTAGAAGAAGGACAGACAGGAAATAATCAAACAATGAATAACCGGCAACTTTTAGAAAACACAGATGTGACTAGTGAGCCTCCTGAATTTCTAAGAAGTACTAGAACTAAAAAAGTTCCTTCGTACTTGAAGGACTACTATACTTAAGATTGTTCATTGGTTTATTTTTCTAAAAGGGGAGGGGGTGAATGATATATGATGTATTGTGATCTAGTTGTTTCTAAAAATATATGTTAGTTGCTTAACCTTATTAATTTAGTTAATCTCATTATTGGGCGTTGAATTTAGTTTAATAAAGCCTTTATGTTTCACGGTATTCCTTATTTATCTCTACTACTCTATAACACTGGTCAAACAAAAGTCTGCTATTTTCTTGTTATTAGTTTAGGATTTAGAACTTCTTCCAATATTTTTTTCATTCCATCTCTATATTTGATCCAGCTCTATATTTAAATTCTCATTATGGTGAAGGTATCTGATTTTAACATTCATACAGGCATTTAACAGGATCTTCACTACACGAACTTTTAGCTTTTCCGTAATTAATCTGTTGTTCGGAGCGCCTCTTTTGAACACTCACCGCTAAATTTCTGGTTCTAATTGTTTAACTGTAAGGTAGTGATCATAATCCAAATAAGTCCTTCTGTTTACTTTCACATTTATCAAACTTGACATGTGCCTTGAACTATAGATGACATGAATAATATGATTTTTTGTCACAACTTTCTTCAAGTGTCATTTGGCATGATTGTACATTTTTAAGGGCGAAACAGCACTCCTTCGACTAGAACCCATTGCGCAGCAAAATCAGCTATCCTCATATGGTTATCATTTGTGTTGTTGTGATCGCATTGTGAACACGATGATAGATATATATATTTACGCTGTTTTTTCATTGGTGCTTTAAAAAAAATAAATAATGATTTTTACGGCACTTTGTGTAAACCTGTCCAAATTCCATTCTAAAGCTCATAGAAAACATCTTTTCCCTCTGGATCTGACGCTTCAGTGAAAGCATGAGAGGGAAATCTTTGGGACCTTCCTTTCATTTGGAGATAGTAAATCCTTGGGCCAATTAATTTAAAGCCAATATCTAACTACCCCTCTTTTCCCAACTACAAAGCATTTTCCAAACAGATGTTGTTGGCCATTATAACTATTTTTCGAGGTATGGTTTTTAAGCAAGTGATCCTCGTCCTGTTCATCTCACTTTATGGATTACAGCAATGGCAATTTTATGGTAGTCCCGTTGTGTTAGTAGTTGATGTAAACTGTCTTTATAGAGATACGACTTTTAATTGTCTGAATATTAATTCTATTAGGCAGGATTGAAGTCTTTTCCCTATAATATGAGTGTATGCTATCATTTTATTATCCCTGATTTAGGCAGAAGGTTTAGCACCTCAGAGCACTCTAACTCTCCCTTCCCGAGTCAGCTACCTAGTAACAGAAACTACGCAAATATAACTTGTTTTACACGATATAAATGTGTTAATATCAATGCAAAATTCCCACTATCTGAAGGCTGTCTGTGATGCAGTGATTGGTGTACCACCGCCCTTATTAACCAAATATATTTCTTGTAGTTGTTCCAATCTTACTCTAATAGAATTTGTATTGAATTTTCATAAGGCCAATAACTTAAGAATTTTTTTTTTCTTAATAAAGAGTAATGGTGTAGAACAATCTTATTCATTAGAATTCTTCAGGTGATTTAACTTTCTTAATCATACACTGCAGCACATACTAACCTCTTTGGAGTAAGTCGAAAGGGTTTCAGTTAAACAACTGCGGGGACCTTAGGGTCTACGTTAACCTAACGAGTTGCAATTGACGTTGATACAAGATGATAATAACGACATTGTGATATAATAATTTCAAAGTGACCATTAAGCCCAGTTATAAAAAAGAGAATAATACGCTTTAAAAAAATGTCTAGCAACGAAGAGGTTTGTAAATGTCACGTGGAATATATTGTCGGTTTCTGTTCAATTTTAATTCTATGTTATTTTTAGTTGAGTCGAGTTTTAAAAGACTTGCCACTCAAGATTCAAAGTGGAAGCAGAAATGAAAGGAAAGCTGTTTTTGAGAGCTTAAATTCTATTTTGACTAACCCAGGTTAGTTTACTTTTTGCCGGTGTTTTATTTCCTTTGATCTATCAGATTGCTAAGATAGCTTCTTTTACTCGAATATTACAAAACTTTTTTTGTTCTAATTTAATTACTTTTTCTTTTCAGCTTTTACTGAAAATATTGCCAGAGGTATTTGCAAAGTTTTGCAGTTAACACTTCCTAGATATTGTGATTCTGTATCCCAGAGCTATGTTCGCAGTTTCGTCAAATCATTGGCCAATTCCCACCCTCATTGGACTTTTAAATATTTATGCCCAGTTATATTTGAGGCTGCAACATATAATGTTAATATTGTGGCCACGTATGGGTTTTATCAATACTTGTCATTCTATTTTATAGCTGAAATCAGGATTATCACTATATACATATGTATATTTTTTTAGGAAAAGTACTGCCCAATCCAGTCTACATGCTCTGTCATGGTCAGCAATATTAGTTTTAAATGCATTAAATAAATGTAAAGATGATTTTAAACAGGAATTTGCAACTATTTTAAATGGACAATCATTATTGTATTCTTCTATTTTAGGATCTGGTCACAAGAAGTACGTTTAGACGAATTTTCGATGTATTCTTTGGTTTTAATTTGTTATGTATATTTATTAATGTATTTTTTTTTAATAAGGAAAATAATGAAAGCAAATCATATCCTCGTAACACTTTGGAATTCAAACCCCTCTGTTTTATCATTTTATGAGAAGGAGATCCTAAGCTTACCTGAATCAACACATTCCATTGTCCTTGCTTCGTTCTTTATAAAGTACTTATGCGATAAAAAATCGTTGGATATAACAGTCCACAAGGTATTTTTATAGTATATTTGTTCATTATTGTTTAATGCTAGTTTAGTGGTTATGATTATATTTTTCATATCATTTTTTTTTTCAGGCCAGAATTATTGATCTTATTGTTAAAGTGGTGATTATGAGCAAAACACCAATAGACCCATATGTTGTCCAAGCTTGTCGTCCTGCCTTTCATCTTGCTTCTCACACAGATTTTTCTGAGATTCTTTTACCTTCTTTACAAAAATCTATGCTAAGAAACCCAGAGTTAGCTCTCCATGTAGTTGGTAGGATTTTGGGAAGTCTTTCACTTGATCTTAGCCAATATGCTATAACTATTGGCAAGATAATATCAGGTAAGTACATCATGAAAGACGCGTTGTGTTTATATTTAAAACAAAAGGTTTTACTTTACAGTTGTACTCCTATGGTGGCTGTGCACAGAATGACAGTGTAGATGGAATTATGAAAGTGCTAACTACTTGTTAAATTGGACTGAAAGTTTTGACGGTCTTGCCCTCAACTGAAGAGTCCTGATCTAAAATTGTGATTTAATTAAAGTCAAAACAACGATCTTCTGGCAAGGACCTGTTAGGATCCTCAATTCAATTCAATCAATTCATTCCTTTGGAGTCAACATAAGTCTAATGTCCCTATGTAATCATAACATTTTTCTGAATTTTTCCTACAGTGTGATTGATGTTATTGTATCCCCCTGTCAAATTTAAGTGAGGTTTGTAAACTGATTCACTTTCATAACTAGTTTGGCATTTCTATTAAATTTTTAGTTTTGCTCTATTTGAATATTTTTTATAAATGAAGGAGATGGTCCGGGGTTGCGGTTATAAATAGGCTAAATAGTGGTAAAACTATTTTATTGAAAACCGACGTTTCAACCCGACTTTGCAGGTCTTCTTCAGGGCTAGAACGGACAAGATACAAAAAGATAGAGAATTGTGGCAGTTACATAATATTTAGACAAAATTTATAAACAATGTGAATAAGCTTATTAAAATTATAAACAGTAAGTACATTAAAATATGAACAAAGTAAGCTAAGTAACAAGATCCTAAACTGAAGTAAATAGATGCTAACAATTGTTGTAGTGTAATATATAATAAATGCAAATGTGAATATACTTCTACAAATCTACAGGAGAGATTGAAAGAAAAGGAAAAAGGATATAATATGAAATAATAGACATAAAGGAATGTGGAGAAAGAAAAGAAAAGGAGACCAAAAATTAGATAAATAAGTAAATAAAATGGAAGAATAAAATTAGAGACTTACAGATGTGTTCAGCTAGGAGTTTCACTTCGAACTGAAAACCAAGGGTAAGGTCAGGTATAGGGGAAGCTAACATGTTTGGGTAATTGGGAAAAACATAGGGAATTACAGTATCTAAAATTTGAAGATATGGATGGATACAATAGAAAAATACTAGGTCTATGAAATATTAAATTATAAATACACATATAAAATAGAATTGAGAGATTATAGATCAGAGTACAATGTGAATAAACCCAAAATTGGCCAAAGTAAAATATAAATATAGAAATAAATTCATTTACATACATACATTGCAGAACTAACATAAAAGTATAGAGAGGGAAAAAATTAATAATTATAATTATATTTGGTTGTACATATGTAAGAAAATTAATTTGATTATTAGATAAGATTGAGACATGGTTAATAAGTAAAATGAATACAAAGTGGAATAAGGATGATCATACATTGATGTAGAGTGTAAATGTAAATTTAGAATAAAATAAAAGAGAGATCATACAAAGAGGAAATATTTAGAATAATGAACAATTAAATGAATTAATCAATAAAATTGAGAGTAGATGAAAATAATAGAATAGAATATATAAGTTATTTTTCACTTATAAGATTTAAAATGTGTCTATATGTTAAAGAAATACAGTTTTTGTCTACTTTATGATTAACAGGATTCTGTTCCATGTGAATGTGGATAGATTCGGAAATGAGTCTTTTTTCATGGTTAGGGACCGTGGCAAGGATAGAGGTTTTTTCAAAATCAAATGAGTGGTTGAGGGTTAAGGCATGTTCTGATAGTTTGGAGGCGGAAGGATTCCGGGAAGTTATGGATGTTTTATGTTGGGAAATGCGGGTTTTGAGATGGTTTTTGGTTTCACCAATATAGGAGCTATTACAATTAGGAGTAGAGCAAGGTATCCGGTAAACTACATTGGATCGGTGTTGTAAGAGTATGGGATCCTTCAAGTTGGTGAAAAGGAAAGAAAGTTTGTTATGGGACTTAAGGCCGAGTCGTAAGTTGGTTATAGTCGATTTTAGGAATTTTTGTATATTCTCAGAGAGGATAGGAATATAGGGGAGAGATTTGTATAAGAAAGGAGTGGTAGATGATTGTGGGGAGTTGGAGAATGGGAGGTTGTATTCTTTTTGGTTGGTATAGCAATTTAAAAGTTTAAGTATGGTGTTGAGAAAAAAATTATTAAAGAGGAGTATATTTTTGACACGCTGAGTGTTGGCTTGGTGGTATTGTGGATCGGATAAACAGAGGGATCGGTGAATGAGGTTTTTGGTGGTATTGATTTTTTGGTGATATGGGTGTTGAGAGTAATAGTTGAGTAGTCTGCCTGAGTATGTGGGTTTAGTTTACCAGAAAGTAGAAACAAAACCGTCAGTGTTTTTTATTATTAGGAGGTCTATGAAGGGGAGTGAATTGTTAACTTCTTTCTCTATAGTGAAACAGAGACGGGAGTGATAGGAGTTGAATGAGGAAAGAATTTGAGGGATGTTGTCAGGGTTAAGAACAAGGAGGAGGTCGTCAACATATTTTTTGATGAAAATGATGTCTTGATGAAAAGAAGGGATAACAGAGTCTAGAAGGTCATTGAGAACAATATTGGAAATATCTGGTGCTAAAGAATTTCCCATGGCTAGCTCAGAAATCTGATGAAAGAATTTTCCTTGGAAGCTAAGGAATCTGGATCTGCAACAAAGCTCAAGGGATTCAAGGTATGAGGAGAGGTTAAGGGTGGTGTGAGGTTTGATGATTGTCCAGTTTTTCTGTACAATGTGGAGGGCTTTGTCTATTGGGATGTTGGTAAAAAGGCTTTCGGCGTCTAGAGAAACCAGGATAAAGTTATCAGGAATATGGAGCGAAGATAACTCTTCCTTTAGGTGGAATGAATTATGAATTTCGTAAGGATTATTGTGACTAAGTTTTTGGATAGAGGGTAAAAGGAATTTGCTGAGTTTAGCTGAGGGGGCGGAGGGGATTTCCCGGTTTATGAATTTTTGGGAGTCCATATAAGCGGGGTGATAAGGAGTTGTAGGATACAAGGTTGTAGTAAGTGGGAAGGTTAATTTGTTTGGTCTCTAGTAAGTTTTTAATGTGGTGGTTGAATTTTAACATTAGTGTACGGGTTGGGTCACAGGGGGAGGGTGCGTAAGTTGTTTGGTCTGAAAGTAGTTGGTGTATTTTATGTGTGTATTCTGTCTTGTCCATAATAACGGTCGAATTTCCCATGTCAGCCATAGTAATAATGAGGTGGTCATTTGTTTTCAGGAAAGAGCGGGCTGAGGATAAATCTTTAAAAAACAGGGGGGATAAAGGGGACGAACAAGATGGAGGGTGCTGGAGGTGGTTAGAAATCATGTTACTGATCCGAATGTGGGATAATTCTTTCTCCTCTTCGACCGCATCAACCATTTATGACCGCAATCCCAGACAATCTCCTTCCTTTATAATGCAACGGTCAACTATTAAATATCCAATTTTTTATAAATGTTTTTTCTGAGTCAAAAATAAGAGATTTTGTCATCTTCACTTGGCTGATGGCAAACATTACATTGGTTAGCTCTCCTACAAACTCCTGTTGTATATAAAACTGATTTGGCTGTTATTATTTAATGACTTGAAAACTCAAACTTTTTTTTTCTTTAAGAAGCATCTTTAACCAATTTTGGAACGATGCGCTTTATATCTTTTGGATGCCATTGTTTACATATACTTTTGTTTTTCGAATTATTTACTATGAACAAAATAAAACTGTTAATAAGTGATTGAGTTCTATAATATTCATATTTCTTTTAGTTGTGTAAATTATTCTTCTGGATCTTGTGGGTGTCATTTCTGTGCTTACTGCCGTTCTGAATAAGTTTTGTAAACTGTAGCTTATGATTTCTCTGAGGTTTTTTAAAGATGGCGATTTCATTATTTGCAAAAATGTCAGCATTGAAAAATATTATTTAATGAAATGGTGTATCAAATTGAGCTTCATTTATTGAAGGAATTCTGTAAAATTTTATTATGTACATTATTCTTAACTTTGTAAGATGCATTATTTGTCTTGTCAAGTTTAACAATTAGTCAGATAAATGAACCAATTGATGGTTTATTTCTTTTGGAAAGAATTGAGTTCTTACATGGAAAAAATTGCTTAAATTTGAACTGTAATAAAATTTATGTTATTAAGAACATTTACAAGATTGAGATTGCATTTTTAATAATAAAAAAGAGGTTCATATTTAGATAGAAACTTGAAATAGTAGTGTACCTGAGAGCTGGTGTAGACTTGATGTCTTGAGTCTAACCTAGGATGATATGTGTGGCTGCTAAAAGTCATAATTTTTAACCTCTCTCAGCTCCAACTTACTAAATATAAAAAACCTGTACCACTACAATCCAGAGATGGTCTTGTGTTCCCTATTATGTAGGGAAGGTTCTGTTTCTTGGTCAACGGTTGTGCAAGGAAGTGATTTGACCATAATCACTCTTAACCACCAGTTTTTTTCCCTTTAATCAATTATTTAAATTACGGTTACCCTCTTTATAGAGGATGGACATGTTCCAAGAGGGTCTCCCAACCCCAGGGTCGATCCATGGTCGATTAAACAGAATAAATAATTTATTTGCTCTAAGCCAGGATTCAAACCTGGGATCTTGAGTATAGGAACCTCAGCGCCCTACCAATGAGCTACCCTGCTCCTCCACTTTATAAATATATATTTGTAAAAGCTAATGAAAAATATTTTAAACTAAATATTTTTATTTTGAGACAATGGGACTAGAGGTAAAAATGGAATAATATTTCTTTGATTAAATTTTTGATGCCGGAAACAGCTAAAAAATATGACACTTGATGGTATGAGTTAGGCTCTGGCACCCCATGATGTTTCCGTGTCTCCACTTTCTTAAAGTAGCTCCATCTCCATTACTTTTCTTTAATGTTAATTATTTTTGCAAATATTTGTCAGAAAAACTCGGGACTTTTTGCATTTTTAATTACCAAAATTAATCTTTACTGATGAATAAAAATTGTAAAATAGTGCAAGTATTCTACTAAAATACAAATGAAATATTGAGCATCAGGCTACTATTATTATTTGAGCCTTTTAGTTGACAGCATGACTAACTCCAATTTCAACATTTTTGAGTGAACAATGACTGTTGAAATGACTTAACAATGATTGTTAAGTCATTTTAGTGATATTTTTAGTTAAAAAATTTATAATATCTGTACAGACAGTGATTAAGCTCATTCCAGAATACGTGATAGCAGTGTTGAAATATAGATCTGTAAATAAAGGTGTAAATTTTCTTACTAGAAATATCACTAAAACTAACATTATAAATGTTGAAATTGGAGTTAGTCATTCTATCAACTGAAAGGCTCATATAATGGTCTAAAAAACCAGCTAAATGCTTAAATTAATGCTATTTTTAGCAAGTTTATACTGCAATGATGAAGAAATTAGGAATCAAGCAGCTGTTGCATGTAAAAATCTAGCATTACAGTGCAGTGATCCAGATGCTGTATCTTCTTTGTTGGATTACTTATTTCAAATATTTAATGGTTCTCAAGGAAAACTTACAGTTGCAGATCATAAAATATCTATACTTCAGGTAAAGTAGTAAACAAATATTTTTTTCTGTACGTTAAAACAAAATATGATTAAATAAAATATATAATTTTGTATCACATAGGGCATCGGAAATTTTAGCTATAATGCTGTTACTGGAAGCAGTATTCAACCACTGGCTGAAAAGGCTACTAAGCATTTTATTAAAATTTTGGAAACTGAAGGTATTTATTCTGTTATTTGATAATGTTTTATTTATACCTTTGTCACTTATTTTTTAAATGTTTTTAATTTTTTTTATGAATATTATTTATATCAACATTTTCTACTAACTTTTAACTTTTACAATTTTTTGTTTCCTTAACTTAATGCAAAAATTCCTCCCCCCCTCTTGGTCCTTAAAGCCATACAGAGTTTTTCCTGAATCAGGGTAGAGGGTGGGGAATTAATGCCGTAGTTTAAAGTCTCTCCAGTACTGGCATTCGAACTCATAATCTTAGGTTTATCAGGTTGCCAGGCAACACATATTTTACACAGCATGTTGCCCACTCGGCCCTCCTTGTGTTTATTTTGTTTATTCATCTGTTGAGGTCTCCTGAGTCCAAATAACCAAGTCCCGCAAAATGGTCTGTTTGTGTGTATGTGAACAATCTAGTTCAAAAACTAAAAGTTTTAGGAAAGTGAAATTGCATATTTAAGGTTTGTATATACATCAGATATTACAGCAACTTTTACTTCAAAAATCAGCTAACCAGAAGTGGCACTTTATATAATCAATTCTACACATTTTTACGATTTTCTCGAAAACGACTAACAATTTTTATTGAACTCGGTATATCAGTGGATTATTAAAGTGTTTAATATAATGTAGGTTTTATTCTCATTGATGTTCTCTAACAGGGCTTTAATGGCTAATTTTCAATATTAGCTTCCTCTAAAGTACCTTTAATTTTTTTGTATTGAAATAATTAACCATATTTAAGATTTTTATATGCTAGGAATGTTACAGCAACTTTTTCATCAAAATCTGCTAACCCGAAGTGGCACTTTAAATAATGGACTCGACACATTTTTGCGATTTTCTCGAAAACGGCTCTAACGATTATGATTAAATTCATCATATCAGCGTAAAATTGGGTAGTTTTAAATAAAATGTAGTTTTTATTCTGATTGATCTTTTCTAACAGGGTTTGAATGGCTGATTTTCAATATTAGTTTCCCCTAAAGTACATTTAATTTTTTTTATTTGAAAAAATTGAACATTTCACATTAATCACTAATATAAAAGATAGTTAAATATAAAACATGAAAGAATTTGACAATAACAAAAGGAGAAATAAGAGATCATAACGGATAATAGTTGTAGTGGTGAAACCAAAGGAATATGATTTGACCTGATAAACCTGATCTCGCCCGAAAGATTAGAACAGTAACATGAGCTCAGTGTAATACGAACTTTGACAATATTATGTACTTATACATATACAGTTTTTATAAATGCCGTTGTTGATATTATTTTTGATGTTGATACAGATTACAGCGATATATAAAAATTAAAATTTTTAAATATAAGTGTGATTAGACAAGTAAAAATACTCACAATGAAATTAAATAAATATAGCATCTATAATTTTTACCTTCATTTGCGCTTTGTCTGAAAATACTTATTTCTGGTAAGAAGAGGGTGATAAGCGAAAGTCTTGTAATGCCCGCACAACATTAGTTTTGTTTTTGATCTATTTAACCATCTTATTAACCTTGTAAAATTTTAATTTGATATCTTAAATATTGATTTTTAAATATGTCTGAAAAAATATATTGTATTACCGAGATCTGCAGTGTTACCGACAAAGTCAAAGTAAAAATTTCATAACTTTGGCAATTAAGAAGTACATTACTCTCCCTTTTTAAGTATAAAAATGCTAATAAACTTGGAAAGTGGAGGGTCTGAAAACATGAAACTTATTTAAATGAAATTTTATTTCTGTTTAGAAATTTATTTTTGTTTTGAATCTGTTCGTTGATTTTTACAAGAAATGAGGAATCTAATCTGCAATAAATCCTACTTGGTTGTTTCTTTAATTTAATGATGAGCACTTACCTCGAGATCTATTGCAAATACATTTTTTTTTTTAGAGTTCTACCAGTGGGTAGTTTCTCAACAAGTGTTTTCATGTTTTTATTTTCTGTTATCACATTTACTTAATGTATTCTTTCTGTAAGTTGTAATATTGTACACAAAAGTTGTAATTTTACCGTAAACTTGTAAATATCATAAACAAAAAAATAAATAATAAATAATTTTTTTTTCTTCTGCAGTTCATGAAAAAACATTAGTTCATTGCCTGGAGATGATGTCACTTTGGTGTAGTAAATTTATAACTGAAGTTCCCAGTTGTGTGCTTACTTGGCTGGAAAAAGGATTTACATTAAAAACGTCAACTTCAGCAGTGAGAACAGCGTATATTGGTGTCATGTCTGCTTGTTGTCAATCTGGAACAGCAAGTGCACTTTTACAATTCATACCACTTCTTATGAAAAGTGTAGAAAAGTCAGTGTCACAATCATCACAGGTAATAAATATTTATTTTATCTACTATTGGATACAAATTTGGTGTTCATTTTCATAACAAATAAATAATTAATTACTGTGTGTAATTATTAACTTCATTGTTTAAATAGTTAGATAAGTAAGGTGAAGACAGACTATTTTTAAAAGAGAAAGTATGTTGTCATTCCTTACTATCTAATCCTATATATTATTTCTAAAAGGTGTTTTTTTGTCGGTACGCCATTTCTTCGTCAATTCTTCATCAAATCCAATGATTGACCACTCATTTTGAAGACATTCTTCTCCTTCACATGTGAAAAATGGTCCTATCACCCCAAAATTTCTGGGGAAAATTTTTTTATTTTTATTTTTATTATTTTAATGGAATTTACAACTGTATTACATAGAGAATACAATAAGTAAATGAGAAATTTGTAACATGGCATGTACAACATGAAGAGAAACTACCCATTGGTAGAACTCAAACTAAAGTTCTATATTAGAAGATCCCGAGGCCATCTTCTTTTCAGACGCCTCGGAGGGTTGGGAAAAAATTTATGAAGGAAAAGAGACTTTATTTGCGAATAACTAAAAAAGAATACATTTTTTTCTTGATTATACCCATGATAATTAGAAAGATTACTAAATTATCTACAAAACAAAAAAAAAAAAAGTAAAAATCGATTAGAAAGATGTATAATTTAAACAATTCGTATTGACGGAAGAAATAAAGTGTGTTGAAATATTTTTTTAAGGAGAAACAGAGTTGAGATTTGTGTTTCGCAGCTCTTAAGACCCTCGAATACGAATTTTCATTGCGATCAAAAAATAATTTTGTTTTCCTTCTTATTTGACCTAAGGGAGGAGCCTTTGATATTTTTTCAAAAATCACAAAAAGTGTTATAACTTCTATATTCTTCCACATATTCACCCGAAATTTTGCAGGGATATAGGGCCTTATAAACTACACGAAATGACACAAACTGTACCTTCCTAAATAATTTAGAACTCTAGTTATAAAATAAAAACCTGTAAAGAGTTTTTATTTATTTACTCTTTATAGGAATGTTAAATCAAAAAGTTATTTATATGGGCTTGAAGAGCGATAATTCAGCTTTTCAACAGTTGTAGAAACATTGAATTAGGATAAAATCCTGTGGAGTTATGAACATTTTAGTTAAGAGCAGGCAAAAACATCACAGCGAAAAGTGAATTCGTTGCCATGACGACTATCTCAGCACAGCTCTTCTATCCTATACATTATTTCTAAAAGGTGCTTTTTCGTCGGTATGCCATGACTTCGTCAATTCTTCATCAAATCCTATGATTGACCTCTCATTTTGAAGATATTCTTCTCCTTCACATGTGAAAAATAGTCCTATCTTCCCAAAATTTCTGTTATGAAGGAAAAGAAACTTTATTTGCGAAAAACTCAAAAAGTATGCATTTTTTCTTGATTGTACCCATGATAATTAGAAAGATTACTAAATTATCCACAAAACAACAACAAAAAATCATAAAAATTGGACAATTATTAGCAAAGATACAGTCCATTAGTTTAGTTATACTTAATAATGTCTTCCGATATAAAGATATTGCATTTAGGAATGGAATAGTGTAGTACATTTTTTTTCCTGGCTGATATATTAACTTTATTTTTTCTTAAAGATATTCGGTTGTTCTTACATTTTATTTTTTTAAATAATTTATAATATCCCATGATCGGGGCTTTATTTTGTCTATATTACTTTTATTAGCTTTCCAGTCAGCGTTTAAAAATAGGTTCTAGCAAAGCAATTTGTACAAATATTTTGTTCTATTGTGTTTAATGGAATATTGTAATCGACCAAGGAAAAAATATTAATTTCTTCCTTACATAACTAATACATAGGAACTACTTATTCCCATATTGTTTTGCTATTTCTTCACTAAACAAAATTTTCTGCAAATTTTTCGTACGGGCCAACTAGTACATATTATTAGTGTACACCTGACACCTGCATTTTTAGAACTTCCTCTGAAGTGTTGAATATCTCCTAGCTTCTCTTTATGACTTACACCACTTGTGCAGTTTACTCGGCGTCTCCCCATGCTCCATATTTCTTCTTTCATTTTCATCAGATGATGTGCATGTATCGTATCAAACCATGCAATTTTTCATATAAATATTTATAGAATGGTATCTTTTGTTTTTTTCTTTTTCTTTAATTTTAAGTAGTTCCCATGCCACTTCCTTTAATTTTTTATTGTAATTTGTGAATCTTTTTAAATGATCTTTTATTTTTAGGTACCAGTTGTGACTGAAGGTTTATATGCAGCCTGCCTTCTTTTAAAAATCTCTTCATATAATCCATTGGATTCAAAGCTTTCTTTCCTTTATAGCATAATCCTGGATATGGAAAAACAAGTTTTTATTTCTGAAAGATTTCTTTCACAAGCATCATGTGATGGTAATAATAAGCCTTATTTAGATTTTTATTCAACTTTTCATTTATTTTCCTACTATCTAATAAAATAGTAATAAAAAACAGTAAACAATAAGATAATATAAAAGAACACAATTAGTAATTTAAAATTTATTTCTGTAGTGGCTTCTATTTTACAAACATCTTAGACCTAAAAAATAATAGAATACAAAATCATCCGTTAAATTTATTTAAAAAAAATTATTAGCTGATCTTCATGATTTATTTAAAAGCGGGTGCTGGAATGTTTTTAACAATGACGTTCCATTTGAAAAACAATGTTATTTAGTGCCAAGTTTCTTTGATCATTTATGAGTAGCAAATAAATGGATACAAGGCCTACTTTGGGCTAAATAACCATAGATTCTATTGTGTGTTATTATTAACTGTTACTGCATTGTTTTTATTTTCAGATTTCAACTGTTTTAAATTCCCAATAGAAAAATAAAATTAAACTTTTTTTTTCCACAGCTCTTTGCCAAGTAGTAACATTATGTGAGAAGATTCTAATGGAAGATTCAATTGGTTTGATTGATTCTGGTAATGGCGGACCTGTATATCGTGCCCTTGTTATGTGTCTTGTTAATCACAAGGTAAAAACAAAATGTAAGCCTGCATTGTTGCGAATGTTTTCATCACTTCAAGGTACTCAGATAGCGACTGTCCTTTTAGAAGAATTAAATTCTTTACTCATGTCTAATAAATTTCAGGTGAGAATGTTATTATTAATTTAGCTATTTTATTTCTAATTCCAAACTAAAGTGTATTTGTTTCGTTTAGTTGTTACTTGCTGATTGCTTTATATGAATTATATTAAAATATCCTTGGTAATAAATGATATAAGAAATAGATGGTTACTGAAGTTAGTGTTAATTGAAGCTATAAATCATTAAGTCAAAGCATTAAGATTAAGAAGTGATAAATCAAGTATTTTTTCACTTAGCTAAAACTAGATTTTTATAAATGTATTGACTATAAAGTAAAGCCTAGTGATCAACTTCTGCTAGTCTTTTTAACCTAATAAATTGATTTTTCATTGTTTATTCCTAATTATGAATCCTTATTTGTCCAATGTCCATGCTTACTCTCATAAATAATCATATTTTTAAGTGTACTTAAAGTAATTTTAAATTTTATTAAATTATTTATTTACTTCTCTACCTAACTAATATGGCAATTTCACGAGTTATCTTGTTTGCCTTGGAGAGGTCTTGATAATATCTTGTTTATAAGCGAAAGTAACAGGCTTGTGATCAGTGAAAACAACAAATTGACATCCTTTTAAGATATATTTAAAATGCATGATAGCGCTGTAAATTGTTAATAATTCCCGATCGTAAGCACTCAGATTCAGCAATAGTAGAAGTGAGCTGAATGCGTAGTTCCAATGCTTCCCTATTTTCTCCTCTTCATCGTGGTTTTCTAATAAACTATTTATTTTAAAAGTGATCAATTGAGGAATAAACTAATATCTTCTGAAAATGCATGTGATCTGACTCACCAAAGAATTGACACGGATCATTCCCCTGTACTCATAATGAAATTCCGGATCACTCCCTCCTATCTGCTGCTTGAAACTTTTCATTCCAGTTTAAACTACTGTATGTTCACATGTTATGATTGTCAAAGATATTGTAATATTTTTTTTTATTCCTGTGAAAGAACTATCTCCCATTAAATGTCTATCCTTATTCTCCCTAATACATTCAAAGCGATATTAGGGAGCATGTTTATTCTTATGAATATAGTATTAGTAAATTTTAGGGCTTTAAAATCCAGGGCATGGTACGTTCCCAAAAGAGCGTTACCTAGCTTCGTGTCTGTGTCAAAATCTTCCAAACAGTATCAACATCTTCTAACACTGTAAACAATTTTTGCTAGCCGTCTGCTTGCTCATAAGTTTTAAGCTTTTATAACGCATGATTATTTTATTTAAAGTTGAATTAATTTTTAGAACCTTGGGAAAGAAAATCGTGAAGGTTCTGAAAACCATTCTGAAATTAAACCGAGACATTTGGTTGATGCAGTTACACTCATTTGCTCTGGCACCAATTTATCAAAAGAGGATAAGAACATGCTTGCCTTTCATGCTATTCTTCCTTCTCATCACTCTATAATTAGTAAGTAATTATTTAAAACAAGCTAATTCTATTTGAAAATACTGAATTAAAAATAAACTTACTAAAAGTTTGTAAAGTATTTTAGTGGTGTCTAACTAGTACTTAATGAAAAAAATAACCCTACCACATCCTATAAATTTGTAGAATCACTGAACTGAATTTAAATGACTGCAGGTTATAATTAACCTTGATTGATGGTCAAATATGCTGATTGCTTTGGCTTGGGAAGAATTTTAGCTTCTATTCGCCTTGTTCTTTAGAAGTTAAATGAGTTTTTGTCAATCATATCTATTGTAACAATAATTAAAGAAGTTGTTCGGGAAGCGACCAATAGAATTACTGTATATTATAGTAGTGTTCATTTCATTTGCCAACGTTTCGATCTACATTTATATAGGAGGGCATTTCATCTGATACTGCTGGATGAAGTTAGGAAACTAAGGAAACTAGTGAGTTTTCCAGTTTCGTCCAGCAGTGCTAGATGAAACGTCCTAATGAATACCTACAACTTAGGTCAAAACATTGGCTAATGAAACAAACACTAATGTAATATATAGTATGTCTATTGACCGTAGCCCCAAACAAATTCTCAAGAAGAATAGAAAAACTGTCAAGTAATTTAACATTTTATATGGTGACAATACTCGTTAGTTGCTTTTCCTCACCAGATAGAGGTCACAACGCTATTTGATCCAATAGCTTCCTTTTTCTAGTTACACTTTTGAAATCTTAATACCTATCGTTCCATTCTTAGGGCTTCTGTGAATGCTATAATGGTGATGTCCCATGGTAGCCACTTATAGCGAAGAGAATTTAAACTATTTGAATTAGTTTTCATGAGAAATTACTTTTCGCTTGAGATATTTTTCATTGCTCATACCATAAACTCAATCATGAGCTAGTTTATTGGTACTAAAAACATAATTATTTGTTCAGTATAATCCTTTATTCAGTAATATACCTGATTTGTTTTTGTATTTCATTTACTAATATGTTGATTTTTATTCAATTTTATATATCTTTTTACATAGATTTTTATTTTAGTTATTTTTTATTATTATTATTATTTTTTTTTTTTTTTTTTGTAGCTTCAACACAAGGAAATATTTGGATGAAAATTATAAAACATTTGAAACTTGAACCTTTTAAGTTTGTCAAACATTACCGTGATAAATTCATTAAACTTTTAATTGATGACTTCATCCCCCATCCAGTAAGTCTTTTCCTTAAGGATATTTCTCTCCTTTTTTAGCTTTTTATAAATTTATATTATTTTTAGTGTTATGAAGGTGCATTGAATACCATAGCAGAAATCAATTCATCTTCAATATTGCAACCGCTTTTAGATAATGTAAATAGTACATTTGCTGATGCTTCCCTTTTAAATGTTACTCCAATGGAATATGCCATCTTTCAAAGTCCACCTCATGAGCTCTTTGATAAATCTATTTTACAAAGGTGAGAACATTTTTATATGATAAATAATGTATGTGTATTTATAAGAGTGATAAAATAACAAGAAGAAACCAAAAACCGCTTATTCTATAATATTTTTCTTGTATTATTCTTTTACTACTTCATTTTTCATGCTGAGATTGATAGAGTTCATATTGGAACTGAGAATGGTTTTATTCGAATTTTTTACTTGCTTTATACCAACCAACATTCAATGACATTATTAATGTATACGTATTATGTATGTCCTATATAATTTGATTTTTATCTAGCAAAGAAAATGAAGCAACTATGAATATAAAAAATATGAAGAGAGAGAGTAAAGTTTACTCGTTCAAAGAACAACAGGAAGAATTAGCACTAAGAAAAGAACTTGAAGAAAAAAGAAGAAAAGAAGGCAAAGTAAATATTTATAACTCTTTGATATTTTATTTTATAGTGTTTTTCAGGTCATATTATCATTATTTTTTTTTTTCTAGTCTGTCGAACCAGAATTAACTCCGAAACAAAAGGAAGCTGTGAAATCACAGATGGAAAAGGAAGCAGCTATTCGGGAAAAATTGAGCAAGGTGTTAACAAATTATTAATAACAATATAATTTTGATGACCAAATGTTATGAGTATATTACTCATGTATTTTAAAATACTGAGATTAGTAGTGTTCTTATTTTAATTGAGAATGATTTTGTTTAAAGTGTTCATTTGCGTCCCCTATGACGGCAGCGAACATTCATTATAAAAGTATGCCTTGTTACCTATACTAGGTAAGGAAAGTATTGCAATCGGGTCAAATTTCCGATATACGGTTTTTGACGGATCTATACGTTTCAGAGCCCCTGTGTCCGAAAAACACATTTTTAGCCATTGGTCTGTATGTCTGGTCTGTCTGTGCCAAGATTTTCTCGGGAACTACTAAACCAATTTTGTTGCTTCTTTTTTTATTTTGTAGGGTTTTGACTACTGATACCTATGACAGAAATTCGGTGCTCCATGCGCAGTAGCTTGCGCGCAGAAAATGAAAATCATGTTTTTCCATAGACTAGCGCGAAAATGGCTCTAACGATTTTGATGAAATTTTCCTATTATGTTCTAATGGATGTCCTTTCAATTTCTGTTTATGGACTAAATTCCCGAGAACGCCGTTTAACCTGTTTTTTGAAAAGTAATGAAATTTCCTACAATACTATACAAAAATCGTTCATTTTGGACAACTATTAATGAAGTTACAGCTATTCAATTTCCAATGTAAGATTACTGGTTCATATCCTGGTGTTAAAAAGGGATGAATGAGAGAGAAAAGATGACTAAGTGAAAGTAAGATAATCTGTTGCCCGTACCAGACAAGCTTTACTATTTCATCTACTTTTAACAGAAATTATTGTTTGACAATACTAAGCTATGGCAAAAAGTTTTTGATCAGCAATATTAGAGAGTATAGAAATTTTTATACTGATTTACATTAAGGCTGTTTACATTGCTATAGTTTATCAAATAAATCGTACTCTAATCTTTTCTTTGATCAATATCCCGGAAAATAAATCTAGTTCAATTTTTTTTTTCTTCATGAACATATGTAAAGATATAAAAACTTTTCTGAAATAGGTAGGAAAGTCGTGTGAGTGGACACACTAGATTTTTTAAAGATATAACATAGCTATTGATTTTAATAACTGTAAAAAGCTCTTAATTTTAGTGATTAATTAATACTAACTGTTCATAGTGAGGTGATTGTAAATGTCAATATGGATAGGGTGGAATGGTAATTCTGAAGCAATTATTATAGCACTGGTATCTGAAGGGTTGGTGAATATAGCAAAGATGCTCTTTACGGCTGTTAAGATAATAAGTAAATATGGCTGTATGAGCAGTAAATTCTGACTTTGAAAATAATCATTTTTTTTTTTCACTCCACTGATTCCTGTCCTCAGCAAAACTCCTGTATTTGTCTAAGTAAATATTGTGAAAGGGATTTGCTTTCAGCTGCTTTGCTTTTCTTAGTATGTTCTTTTGGTTTATTTTAGTTGCATGATTTCTTAAGTCACACCTCAATCTACAGTTATTCTATGTTCCTACTTTTGAAAATCACCGCCTTACTTAATTTATTCATCTTAAATGATTGGATTTACGTTGAAGAGAATAATTATGTGACTGTTGAACCAAAGTGTTTCGAATGATATAAGTAAAAAATCTAATTCTGTTGTAAGTAAATATACAAATAAAACAGCAAGCTCTGTTTCAGTTTGATAATGTTGATGCATTATATTCACCATCCAATCAATTTGAGTTGGGTAATCGAACCAATTCATGGACTGAAATGAACAAGCTTTAAGCTTTTAGTAATTGATAGCAATACTATTCGAGTTGATTATACATTGTAATTCTACAATTGAAAATATAAATTATTTATTATTAGCTTTTTAAAAAATGTAATGAACTATATTCTCATGCGGTTGAAAATTGTTTGAGCTTAGATTTTTTTTCTATATTGTTAATATAAATTAAATTTTTCTTAAAATTTTTTTTAGGGAGAAGAAAGAATTAAAAAATCAGTAAGCTTACTATCTTGTATCGTGGAGGGAGCACCATTAGAATTGGCATATAACCTTCCTTCTGTAGTGCCACCTATTGTTCATGGTTTACACTCACCACTTTGTGCTCCTCTACTCTCTGAACTATATTTAAAATTACATAAATCTGCTTTTATCACTGTGCCTATTTCTGATGTCACTATTAGCAGAATTTCTCACACAGCCCTTAGACTTCTTCGGCCAAAGTGCCCCATCGACAGTGCCTGGGCTGAGCAGGACTTGAGTAAGATATTCATATTTAATTAATAATTAAAATTAAGGAAGATAAGTTCTAAGTAGGATATTTAGTCAGCTTGATTATTATAAATTTTCTGTACACATTTATTTATTGAAGCTTCTAAATGAATATGAATGTATTATTATTTTTTCAATCCCACTTCTTTTCAGGCAAAGCAATGAGGTGGATGATAAATGAAATCAATCAGAAAGTAAAATTTATAACTTCTCCTGTCATAAGCTACATTTTACCTTCATTGAAGTTTGCTATTTCATCAGAGTCTGCAAATGATCCCATTGTGTCTACAGCTTTAAATTTACTGAGTGCTCGAGCACGTTTAAGAAGCTCTGCTGATAAAGTACCAGATCTTCATAGTCCTGCTCTCCTTCCAAGAAAACAAATTATGATGCTTTGCATTGATATTATATGTATGTAGTTTTTTATTAGAGTTTAATTAAAGTTTATGCATGTCAATTCTCCTAATATTAAATTTTCCAAATCATAGACCCAGCATTAAAATCAAATAGAGACTTTGTTCATTCAACTATCATACCTGTCATTTTCACTTGTTTTTATTGAGTTTGTTCTTCATAATTTATCAAGTCTACCTTTTCTTCCATCACGGTGCATTTGGTTTCTTGAGAACTATATTTTTTAATCCTTTCTTTATCCATGCTCTTATTAGGTTAAAATAACGTGTCCTAATTTTATTTAATAAAACTGGTGGTGTGCACGCATCTAACAATTTTCACTTACCACTTTTATTTTAGCTGATTAATAAACTAGCTGAATACTTTCCCTCACCTTATATTTCATATATAGGTAAGTGAAAGTAAAAAGAGCAAATCTCTCTGTAAAAAGTGCTAATATCTCTTAATTCTATGATCAAATAATTAAGTGTTGTTAGATTACTGCACTACAATGAGACAAAAAAAGCTTTATTATAAAAAATTGACATCCAGTAATTATTTATTCTGTTATTATTTCATAAATTTACAGGCACATATATTAATATTTATTGATTAATATTATTAGCTATATAATAGCCATTTATTTTTCAAAATATTTTATTAATCCCCGATGGTTATAACATTATCAAATCTGAAGGAGCTTTTCATTGATTATTAGGTTCTTCCGGAGGACGAGTTCAACAGCACGCCAGTAATTGCCTTTTAGATTTAGCTCAAGCATCATCTGGTGGTCGGGGTTGTGCTTTTGCTTCTTCTGATGAATTAGACACACTCTTAACAGCTCTACAACATTCTTCTTCATATGTTAGAGATGCTGCACTTCGTGTAAGTATCTACAGTTCATTTATCCTATTTTTTTTTTTTTTTTTTTCTATTTCTCTGAATGATATCTATTAATAAACCCATAAGAAAAAGCTTTCTAATCAATCATCTCTAATATGATTGTCAAAGGTGTATCTGTATTTTGATTTGTGCCTAAGATAATCGCTTTCTTACTGCTATAGGTATTAAGTTAAGGAAAACAATCAATCAAGTTTTATGTTTTAGACATCAAGGAACTAATTTTGTCCTGTCTTAGTCCGTCGTTAACAGCACACAGCGCTTTAACACACTCGACCACAACAGCCTCTTATCTATCTTTCAACAAACAAATCCATGTGACAGGTGTTTCACCTACTAGAGTTGCTCTGATTTTCAAATATTGGGCAAGTTGGTGGCTAGGTGGTCTTATATCAATTTCATCACATTCTATCCAATAATTTTGCTTACACACATATAAATGTATTTTCTCAAACATACCTAAATTTTAAAAATGGATTGTTTGATTTGGCTCAAAGTTAGAGGAAAGTTCGGGATTGGTGAAAAAATTATGATATATGAATTTTATCAGATTCTTACTTTCTCTTGTGTATCATTATACATATTTTTGTTGACATGCCTATATCGCAAAAATAAGGGATTTGTAAACAAATGATCAAGTAGATATCAGTTTCATCTGTTATTTTAGAAAACCTTCTGCCTCAGATCTGCAAACATATGGTTCTTGATACACCTATTTTGAAAAGGGTCATTCGATTTGACTCAAAGTTGGAGGAAATTTGGAAAATGGTGTTCAAGTGGTTTAGTACGCATTTCATCAAATTCCAAACACCTACTGCCATTGATTCGGTTTGATTCGGCCATTGATGATTTTTAGCATATGTGAGTGATAATATTCACTATCAATTCAATCAAATTATGTTGACTTCTAGCACTTAGAAGTGCAATTTTCTTAACTAGACACTACTTCAAAAACGTCTTCTTGCTTAGATTTTATTCTCAAATGACAAATCAGAGACCCTGAAGAATAAATAATTATGTAATTGTAATTTTAATTAGTGAGGAAGGTACATTGACCTTACTTTGCAGACTTTTTTCATTATTTTAGTGGCCACTAAATTTAGCCATCTTAATTGGAATTAAAAAGGTATTGAAGCTGATAATTAAAGGATTTTAATACATTGTTCTTATCTGCAAGCTAATAGCTTTTAAATCTGAAGCAGAGGGCAAGAAGATCCCCAATCTATACAGGAAAACTTGAAAGGAGTTGAGTTGGAAATAAAAAAGATAGGATTGGTAAATAATTGACATCAGGCTAGATTTTTGATGGTGTGGTGGTCTTACTGGTACTGGTACTGGTACTTGATGAGGGGAACTAGTCCGGCAAGTCCGTCCTATCGTGGTCCATTTTACCAACCCCTGACGGCTACCTTGTGGTTACCTCCGTATACTTAACAGAATGGGAATATCAAGATCCTTTTCCTAGGGCCGCCGATAAGTGAAAATTAACTGACTTAAGTGGAAAACGAATCCACAACATTCAGAACCCGGCACTATGGGATCTATGCCCTATCGTGCTCGTCCATCCCGTCCTCTGTGGCAATCTTAGGTTATGATTTATTTTTTTGTTATGGATACTGATTTGTTTATGTATTAATAAATAAAAGTATGCCTTCTATACTTAGTTAATGTTAGTATATTTTTGCTCTAGGCTCTTCATGCTCTAGTGCCAGTTTTCCCAAAACCAAAACAAAATGCTGATCAGGCCTTCCGTCTTGCCAAAAGGATTTGGGTTGCGAAATTTGATGTTGTCACTGAAAACAGGTAAATAATGTAACAATTTTTTTTAAACAATCATAAGATTAAAATGTTTCTTAAACCAGGACATTTTAATATTTTTATTTACTTAAAATTTTTTTTAATTTGGTTTTTGACACTAACCATTTCTAAATTGTTTTTTAAATAAGTGTTTACCTTATCTCATTGATACTGTTTATGATGGATGATAAATATTCAGGACGTTGTCTTTTTAAAAAAAAATAATTTTTTATTTGTGACAATGTTTCAACCCAAACATGTGGGTCATCTTCAGGGCATGGTTCTAGCACTGAATGTTTTCAAGTACTGACTAATTCAGTACTCGAACCACACCCTAAAGATGACCCTAAAGATATTTGGGTTGAAACGTTGGCACAAATAAAAAATTAAATTTTTTTTAAAAGACTGCATCCTCAATATTTATCATCCATGATATGTAAAACAGTCGACTAGCTTCCTTCAATGATACTGTTTATGACTGATCAGTTTTAAGATCTTTATTCCTGACCTCTAATAAAAAAAATTATTTCTCTATACTTTGATTATTATAATTTACTATAAATTACTATTATTGAATTATGTGAATGAAGATATTAAATATTATATATTACTTTTGTTTTTATTGTTTTAGAGAGGTAGCTGACAAAGTTTGGGACGCTTCTGGTTTACAAAAAGAGACAAAATTACTATGTGAAGGGCTCCTGGAGGATATAATTCATCCTGTTGCTGAAATACAACAAGCTGCTGCTTCAGCTCTTGCAGCTTTATTACAATCTGGAAGTACACAAACTAGTGTAAATGTAGTGTTGGATCACCTGCTATCTATATACAATGAAAAAAATAATGTAAGTTGTTGACTTTTTAAATATAGACTCGACAGCCACACTGCAAAACCCTATAAGGACAATTTTTTCAGAAATTGACGTTTTTCGAGCTTTTCTGTGCAATTTTGTCGTGGTACCTATTCTGATCTCACAAAATAAAATCTATGATGTTTCATTTCTTCTCTATGGCCTTTTGTAAATACCTGTAAGCTTTAGTGAAGGTTATAGAGATGGTGGTATTATAGAATGTATAAAGTGTTTTATGTACAGACACAATATTAAAAATGCTTATTGGATTGACTTCCATTTAACCATATAATTATCATCATAGATTAAGTGTATTTCATAAGTCATTTTAAGAAAGCACTTTAGGGAGTATAAATTACATGAGTTTACAATCGACTTTATATCATTTGGACTCCTGTTTATATTTAATTATTTATCCAATTATGGATTATACACATGGTTTAATGTTTGTATCACATACCTTTGAGGCAAATTTGATTCAGTTGTAATTGATAATAGATTCCTACCAAGTTGACTCCTTTTTCTTTTCTTTTCAGAGATTTGTAATATTAATGGAACTAAAGAAAATCAGTTTTTTTTTTGTTTTTTTTCCGTAACAACAGTTTTATTAGCTTATTAATTATTATTATCTTTTATTAATATGCTGAAATTAATTATTCTTCCCAATAATTATTAATTATTGGATTCCCCTACCATAAGTCTGGCACTGCTTACCATGGAGCTAGACAAAGCAAAGAAAAAAGTGGAGTGGTAAGTGGAATTATAATATTTTATGGTCTTCAAAACAATCAAATCTCCTGGCAACTGCAAAATAAGCTTGACTGGAAAAAAGCTACAATGCCACTGAATTCCTGAAAGTGAGATACAATAATGATCATGTGATCAATGTCTCACTTTCCTTTCAAGTGTTATATAAATTTTCATTTGAAGTATCATTTCTCTACATTTGTCCCTATCATGATTTGATCATTATTATCAAAAATATGGGTGTTACGATAGTAAATTTGATTGATTTTTCCTAATTCCTGTTTTTCAAAGTAAGTAAAATGCCATAAGTCTGATGTAAAAAGTAAATTATAAAAATGGGTCTAAAAGACTATTTGACAGAAATGCTATCAAAAGAGTTATATAGAGCATTTCATCTTTGTCTTAAGGCTGCAAAAAAATTGAACCGAAATATCATGTTCATAGAATAAAAATAAAGCTGTTTTGTTTTTTTTGTCTCCTGAATATATTTAGTTTTTGTTCTTACAGACTTATGCAGTTTGGCTGTCAATTTACTGATTTTGACAAAGAACATTAATAGTTAGTCTGCATTTCAAATCTTTATTGATCAGCATTCCATGATCTACGAGATATGTAAATGTATTCCCCTTAGGTTAGGAAGGGTTATTTCTGTTGTCAGAAAATAATTTTTTATTTTTACTTACCTTCTGTTATATTGATCAATAACCATTTACTACACTTTTATTTTACTAGGACTAAATGGCTCATTTAATAAACATGATTAAATATGGTCTTAAATGATAAATTCAGGTTATTTATGATGCTTACTACAATAATTTTATGTATGGACCTCATAGATGAAATACAAAATTGAAAAACATTCTAATCAATTACCTAGACTATTGTATTACTCTCTTTTATATACCTTAGAAAAGTTCAAAATTGTAGCAGAGCCAAAACTGTACTTACTCATACTCAGTTCATTTAAATTAATGCATAATTTTTATATTGTCATGTGATGGGTTTATTGCAAAAAGCCATTAAATAACATCTCATAAAAATAAATCATTAAGCACTTTGATAATAGTCCCTTTGTGAAACCACAACATGGTGAAACTTAGTATAACTATTTTTGTGTAGTATGGTTTGTTTCATTTTGAAACACTTACTGTGTACATTGACAAATAAGATTTAAATTCACAAAAATGTACTTTATGCTATTAACTGGCCATATGGGTTTAAAAACATTAATATATAGAAAAGAAAAAAAAATGAATAAAGCGTCAAATCAGTACCACCTTGGTTTCAAGATTCTGAAGTGTACCTCTATTCCACCTTTAACATCAGAAGAGAGAGAGGTTTCGGCAAAGGTATTAAAAAACTTGATCAGTTCGTGCCAACTACTTTTTATATTTTAAATATGACTTCACTATTTGATAAAGTAAAACATGTTGTTTTTTCTAGATGGTTCCAGCCAGAGTTGACAGCCTTGGTCGAATTGTTGAAAAACCTATCGATACCTGGGAACCGAGGAGTGGGGTTGCTCTAGCTCTCGCACAGCTCGCTCCGCTTTTAGCACCTGAGATTATAGCAGATCTTGCTAAATTTTATGTTGAAAAAGGTCTTGGTGATAGAAATGAAACAGTCAGGCTAAACATGCTCAATGCAGCTCTTGCTGCAGTTGACTTGCATGGAAAGGTATTGCGTATTTTTATTTTATGTCTCTTCTTTTATTTCTGAATTGCAAACATAGGATGTTTATACAACTTAATTTTTCAATAAGTACTCCTTGCTGAAATAAGTTTGTTTACTATGATGATTATTTTTAAAACTCTTCTACGCATTGTATAATTGTCAATGGTTAATATTTGTTGTTTTATCTACGTAATCTACTTAGTTTTATCAGCATTTAGTGTGTTATTTATTATCATTCTTCTAATTTTATTTTATTATGAAAATATTATTCTGTTAGGATACTGTCAATACTCTGCTACCCATTTTTGAGCCTGTTCTGGATAAAGGTCCTGATTGCAGCAGTTATGATGCTGTACGGCAATCAGTAGTAATTTTGATGGGAAGTTTGGCAAGACATCTTGACAAGGATGATAAAAAAATCAAACCTATTGTTGCCAAGTTGATTGATGCATTGTCCACTCCTTCTCAGCAGGTATATTTTTGTTACAACATTAGAATCAGCAGCATAGCATAATCATAAATATTTATGAAAAACGTTTATATATATTTTCAGAAATAATTTTTTTCAATAAAATCTGTGGTTAATTTAATGTTTAATATATATATCGTTGGTTTATTGCAAGAAGTCACTGAGAGCATTTTTGGTATAGGTTAACTTTCAAAAATGTTTTTATGATTTTCGATTTTATTACACTATAAGGGCATGAAAATAAAACCAACCCTTTTATACATTAATTATAATTACTACAAGCACACATTTTTTTGTTTTCTTAAAGAAAAAATTTATCAAATTTTTAATTGGTTAATTTTTTTAAATGTTTCTTTATGACTTTTTGCAATAAGCTGATGGTATGTTTTTTAAAATGATCTTGTTCTGATGTTTATGTTTTTACATTTAAAGTAAACCAGAAGAGAAAATATTTACTTTCTCTTTTTTTTTTTTATCATTATTAGCCATCAATTTTTAATACATTTTTTAATATCACTTTTTCTACTCAGGTTCAAGAGGCTGTTGCTAACTGCCTTCCAGCTTTGGTACCAAGTATTAAAGATGAGGCTCCCATTTTGGTTAGTAATCTTCTTGATAGATTATTATCATCAGAATCATATGGAGAAAGGAAGGGAGCAGCTTATGGGCTTGCAGGAATTGTAAAGGGCATGGGGATTCTTGTTCTCAAGCAATTAAACATAATGACTACCCTTACCACCGCAATACAGGACAAAAAAAATTATAAACATCGGGAAGGTAACTTGATTGATTTTGATTTAATCATAGAAATTAAATTTGTAAGCAACAGTTTCAGAGTTTTGAAGACAGAAAAGTAAAGATTCTATTATCTATAAGAACATATGTAGGGTTAAGATTGCACAAAATGTTTATATTTTGCTAAATACTTAAAATAACAGTGCATCTCAGAGATGTGGTGGGGACTGGGGGTGTGGTCTTAAGTCCACTAAAGCATGACATATATGTATGCCGAACATAATACTCTGAGACCTCTTTCAGCTCTAATTTATAAAATAAGTTTTAAATTAAATATGTTTATTCAGAGATGACAGGATGAGAGAAAAGATTGAAAGATATTTCTTGAGAGAAGTTTTAAAGAGGGAAACGTTATTCTAAGCTTCCTCCCCCTTCTTTGCCTTATCAGCCTTCATTTGCTTTCCCTGAGCTGGAAAAAGGATGGGGGATTAATGCCTATATTATTTATTTAAACCCTACCCTGCCGGTAAGGCAATACGGGTGTTATGCAAAATTAGTAGCAGTAGTAGCGCATGCCTTACAACTCAATGCTACATTCAGATCAATTACATATTTTCAGCTGTGCACACAGCCTGCTCTTCTTTTCAGCCGATGTCTTCCACCCTCTCTGGCGGCCTTCCAGATGCAGGTCCATCTCTTCTTTTCAATGTAATGTGGTTTGGACCAACAAGTTTCTTCCACCCGTATATGAAGGCCTTGTAGTACGGGTAGTTCACTTTAGTCATTAGTTGAAGGAGATCGCTCTCTGCCAGAACGTAAAGTCCCATCTCCCTCAACAAGTTGGCCCTCAGAGCCTCAAAGGCAGTGCAGACTAGCACGATATGCTTGGCGGTCTCCGGTACTCTGCAACTTGGGCATAGGGGATCAACATTCTTACCATATTCAACGAGCTTAATTAATAGTCTTCCCGGCAATCGGTTTATCAACTTGTCTGGCAATGTGTATTATATACACACGTTAGCCCACTCTGCCACCTCTCCTCCCATATTATTTTAAACTAAAAAGAAAGATAATCAAGGGTATGAGTTAGGTGCTGACAGGTCATGGCACAACCATATCCACTGTGTTGAAGCTCTGTCTTCACTACTTTTCTTTAATAGTAATTATCTTTATAAGTATGCATAGATAAATTTTGGACTTTTTGTCTTTATTGTTATAATGTTAATTTTTATTGATGAATAATAATTGAAAATTCTTGCAATACCAAATTGATATATATAATTATAGAATTTACTTTTTTTTCTTTTATAGTGACCCTACAAAGGGACTAATTTTTTTCTAATTTATTTTGTTTAAATAGATGATAGTATACAATTTTACACAATTACTTTTTTCAAAGTCTAATTATTTAATATTAAAAAAACAATAATTAGAGATTATATTATATATATAATAAGATATTCTAATAAATATTTAATTGCACTTTTTTTTTAATTGTTTTTAGGAGCTTTGTTTGCTTTTGAAATGCTTTGTAGTGTTCTTGGTCGCCTTTTTGAACCTTATATAGTTCATGTTCTGCCACACCTCCTACTTTGTTTTGGAGATGGAAACCCTTATGTACGTGATGCTACAGATGATTGTGCTAAAGTTGTAATGAGTAAACTTTCAGCACATGGTGTGAAATTAGTTTTGCCATCACTTCTTGCAGCTCTTGAAAAAGATTCTTGGAGAACTAAAACAGGTAAATTATTCTGTCTTCTAATCAAACCTTGCTGAAAGGTACTTACACTTCCTCACCTTCCCCTCCCCTCCCCTTCCACTCCCTCTCATCCAAAAAATAATTTATATATATACATAAGTTAAAATCAAAAAAAGTTACTTGTTATTTACTTAAAGTGGTTTAATAGTCGTATTGCTTGGTAGTGTTCCGCATTCGGAATTCAAACTTCTGTCAATACCATTAGTGTGTCATGTTATGTCCTATTTGAACTATATAACCTACTGCACATTTCCCACATTGTAACGCTCATCTTTCATCTTAATCAATCCAAGAAAATGATTTTATTAACAGCTGTTAGACTAATCATTTGATTGGTGATAGCTATAGCTGTCAGATCTGTGCTCTGGATTTCTTAAGCACAGAATAGTAAGAGCTCTGTTCTGAAGTATTAACATTTATCTTATTGCTGACCCACTAAATAAACCTGAGTTCTCACTCTGACTAAGGCAGGTTCAGAACTTTCAGGTGACCCAATGTAATGGTTATGAACATAATAATAATCTATTTAAAAAAAATTGTAGTGTTATTTTTGCATTCCGAAAAAGTAAGGTAATTTTTTTGAATATTATAGGATCTGTGGAACTGCTTGGTGCTATGGCTTATTGTGCACCAAAGCAATTATCTTCTTGTCTTCCAAGCATTGTGCCAAAGTTAATTGAAGTTTTAAGTGATTCTCATGTTAAGGTTCAAAAAGCTGGAACTGAAGCTCTTAAGCAGATTGGTTCTGTGATTCGTAATCCAGAAATTCAATGTAAGTTTTACAATTTAGTATTTATAGTTTTTTATTTATTGATTGTCTGGCACAAAAGTATAATTAAATATTTAAATAATTGTAATCAATCATTGTAATATATTTCATAATTGTAATTTTCCCTTTTATAGCCATTGTTCCAGTTTTATTGGAAGCATTACAAGACCCTGCCAACAAAACTGCTACTTGTCTCCAAACACTTCTTGATACCCAGTTTGTGCATTTTATTGATGCTCCTTCCTTAGCCCTTATCATGCCCGTTGTTCAGAGAGCCTTTATGGACCGATCTACTGAAACCAGAAAAATGGCAGCTCAGATTATCGGCAATATGTACTCTTTAACTGACCAGAAAGATTTGACTCCTTATCTTCCTACAATCATCCCTGGTTTGAAGACCTCATTACTGGATCCTGTGCCAGAGGTTTGTATATAACTCATTTTGTTTATAATTTTTAATTAGCACAAATACGCAACTCGCAAATGTAGAATTCTTCTTCCTTTTTGTATTAGAGCATATTCAAAACTTCCAGATGTAAGTCCCACTTAAATTAAGAGAGGGATTACTGTGTCTCTTCACGATTTTTACTATAATTAATCACATTGATTTTTTATTTTCTTCTCTTTCTTATCTATCTTTATCAAATAAATACTATTTCATATTTCTTGGATTCATTATTATATATATTTAAAAAAAATATATTTAGAAATATGGTAATATTGAGAAATTTTTTTCTAATTACTTGTTGTTAGGTCCGTAGTGTATCAGCTAGAGCATTGGGAGCTATGGTACGTGGCATGGGTGAAGCCAGTTTTGAAGATTTACTGCCATGGCTTATGAAGACATTAACTTCAGAAACAAGCTCTGTGGACAGATCAGGAGCTGCACAGGGTCTCAGTGAAGTTGTTGGTGGCCTTGGTGTTGAAAAACTTCATAAACTTATGCCAGGTTTTTGCTCTTTCTTAAAAATTAATGTCTTAAAAGCAGAGCTGTTCCAAATATAATTTAAAGTATTTAAATCCTAAATAAATATATTTAAATTAGATAAATACTATTCTAGTATTTAAGTTTGAGTACCTATTAGTTAAATTTTGTTAAATTTGAAGAAATGTTGTACTCGTGGACAGGATAATTACTTACTGAGTAAATTGTTACTTTAACAGTCATTACGAAGTAAATAGCTTACCACTTGTCTGTGATGAATAGACTTTCCTGATATATTTTTTATAAGGATTAACACATTTCCCCAATAATGCTTATAATTTGTATTTATTAAGGTACTATTCCATACTGTCAACCGCTAAAGCTAGTCTATTTTGCTGAAACTGCTCACCATCATGGCCAAATCTTCTCAATATAGTGTCCTAATTTGATATAATTTTAAATAAAAATGTTAGCCTTAAATTTAATTGGTTTTATTTGTATAGAAAGGATGGCATTAGATTTTATGGCTGAGTTTCAATTGTATTTAATTAATACAGGCCATTTTTTCTGGTAGTTAGTACTAAAATCCTTAATAAAAAATGTTAAAATTAGAAAATGGAATTACTGGTTTTAGAATTTTAAGCCTTAATCGTACTGTTTAATTATGCTATATTATATTAAGCATTATATTTCCTCCTTTATCTTTTATCTTTTTTATTTTTAGAGATCATTAGTTCTGCTGAGCGTTCTGACATTGCACCACATGTCAAAGATGGATATATAATGATGTTTATTTATATGCCTGTTGTTTTTACTAATGAATTCACTCCTTATATTGGTGAAATTATAGTTCCAATTTTGAAGGTAATTGTTAACTATTCAAATTTATTTTTAAGAGTTTATTTTAACTCTTGTTACTTGGTCAATGTTTTGAACTATACTATTTATCTTCATGATCTATTCATGTTTTATTTCAATTGTTATTTCTAATCATAATGAATTATTGTATCCATTTCTTAAGTTATTATTAGTAACTTTTCAGAGACTGTCTGAAATACTGAGTTAAACATAATGGATGCAATAATACATAATGATTTGTAATAATAACGGAGATATCCCAGAAAATATAAGACAAATCAATTTTCACTAATAATTGACAAATATTTTAATCATTTTAAAAAAAGATGAATGGCTCATAAAGATGAACAGTATAGGTAGAAACGTCAACCAGTTAAATTAATGTAATAAAATAAGGATTTAATTCTTAGATAATAAGTTACTTAAAAAGTGTTTTAATGAAGGTAACTGCATTATTAAATTACATTTAATTAAAATCTATATTTATTTCATTAATAAATTAATGTTTAAATTCTTCGTAAATTACAATTTTTTGTCACATGCACACAGCTATTCATTTAATATTTGAACATTAAATTATATAAATATGTAGATGAAGTATTTAAAGACTGGACCTATCCAATCCACTGATAAATAATGCGTAACCAATGCTTTTTTTTTTAATGCTACTAGCTAATGTTATTAACCATGTTACATTGTCATTCATAAGAAAAAATGAATTTTTAAAATTTCTCATGTAGCACCTTCATTCACGCATCTCATATCTTCAATAGTTTTGTAAAAAATTATGTTAAAACACTTTTGCCAAATTTCATTGGTATATTAGTGAATGTTATCTTATCAATAGGATGCTATCATATGACAACTCTTGTTGTTAGAGCTGCAGAAATAACACAGGAACTTGTTAGGAAGGTATGATGCAGCCCATATAAATATTTTAGCCAAATTGGAAATTTCAGTTTTCCGCATTGTATGAATTCTGATTTCAACCAGTCCTACAACTCAGGGTGAATAAAGGCCTCCTGCAGCTTAAACCACCTGCCATCGTTACTTTTTATGTCTGCTCTCCTGTTTCTAAAACCAAGTTTTTATTTATGCTGCCTAACTATCTTAACCTCGTTCTTTTTGTTTTCCTCATCTTGTATATCTTTTCTTCCAATGATTTTTGAGGAATCTCTTTTGGCTTCATTATGGGTGTTATCTTTTACTTTAAATTTATTCATAATAGTGAATTTCTGATAATGGAAAATCTATTGGAATTAATTGTTTATAATTCAACAAAGATTTCATTTATTTTATTTATTTATTAAAGGCTATGAACATCTTTTAAACTAAATTATTCAGAGACAATAGATTGGAAGATAAAATAGAAATATATTTCTTCAATGGAAGCTTTAAAAGTGGAAACATTTTTCCAAGTTGAAATTGTAAGATATACAATGGCAAGCCACTGGCAGCCTACGACATAGCCATTCATCCTTGCTTGTGAAACAACTTCAACTTTACACTTTCAACTGTTTCACAAGCAAGGATGAATGGCTATGTCGTAGGCTGCCAGTGGCTTGCCATTGTATATCTTACACTTTCAACTTGGAAAAATGTTTCCACTTTTAAAGCTTCCATTCAAGAAATATATTTCTATTTTATCTTTCAATCTATTGTCTCTGAATAATTTAGTTTAAAAGATGTTCATAGGCTTTAATAAATAAATAAAATAAATGAAATCTTTGCTGAATTATAAACAATTAATTCCAATAGATTTTCCATTATCAGAAATTCACTATTATGAATAAATTTAAAGTAAAAGATAACACCCATAATGAAGCCAAAAGAGATTCCAAGTTGAAAGTGTAAGATATACAATGGCAAGCCACTGGCAGCCTACGACATAGCCATTCATCCTTGCTTGTGAAACAGTTCTGTCCTATCCACTTTTCTGTAATGCTAATTATCTTTGCCAATATGCATCTTAACTAAGACTTACATTTTTGTTGTTATAACCTTATCTTCAATAACAAACAAAAATTAAAAAATTATACAATACCCCATTATTGGTTTAATCATTTTCATAAATTTATGTAGTAAATCAAATGCTTTTTTGTTGTTGTTTAAGATAATTACATGGATCCCATTTTCTATTCACATAATTTAATTTTTATTCTTGTATTGTATTTTTAGGCTCTTGCCGACGAAAATGAGTATGTCAGAGATACAGCTCTCAAGGCAGGTCAAAGAATTGTTAATCTCTATGCAGAATCTGCCATAACATTACTTTTACCAGAGCTTGAAAAAGGTCTTTTTGATGACAACTGGAGAATCAGATATAGGTAACAAAGTAATTTCTTTTATAGTCACTTAACTTCAATTTTTTTCCAAAAACATTTTAATTATTGTGGCACAGATAGCATTTTGATTTGTTATTTTCAGTGATGAACCATTGTAATAAAAAAAAATTCAAAAACTTAACCCTCTCCAAAGTTAAGGTTTTACGTTTCAGGATAGGTAGACCTCTGAAATCAATTAAAATAGATTTTGTCTGTTTTTTTTCAGATTTTGAATCTTAGGCAGAGTTCACTTGACGTTAGTCCTCCTATCTCGACATTACTATCCGCGCTTTCCTTTCAGGGTGGCAGCTGAAAAAGTTGTTATATAGACTGTAGCATCTAGGCGAATGTACTGATTTCAATGAAACTTGGTTAAAGTCTTCTCCTCGATGCCCTTTAAATATATGTATGATATAATTCACTGAAAAATACTTCTCTTTGAGATGGCGGCCGAAAGACCTGTATTTTATAGACTGTAGTGCCTAAACGGATGTACCTATATTAATGAAACTAAAGTATCTCCTTGAAAACCCTTTAAATTTATCTATATAACATATTTCAACAAAAAGAAGCTGGAAAAAAGTTACAAGAGGTGGTAAAATTAGATTTCTGAATAACTCAAAAAGGTTATACTTATTGCTATTTTTATAATCAGGTGTATCAAAGGTATTTAAATTTCCTAAAAAAAGTTTCATTTAAATCAGAGCATTATTAGTAAAGATATCACATTTTTTTTAAAATCATTCATTGCTTATAATAATAATAATAAATCATTTCATTCAGTATTTATTATGTTGTAAATAAAATTTAGTTTATGTTGAATTATTTTCAAGATATGAATGAAAAGGTTTGATGTTACCCATTAAAATAGCACCTTTTCACTTATATTTTGCATTCGTTATTTATTCCTCTGAATCTGGTATAGTTATTTTAAATTTAATTTTTGCCTGATAGTCTTCTTTTATTATTTAATTATGAACCCTTTTATAATTTATAACTCCTTTTTGTTCTATTTATCAATAAATAAATATTATATTGTTAATGTTTTGGAGAATCACCTCCATCTTTAGAACATCTTATTAACAATATCTAGTAACAGACTCTTTTTTGTCATAAATACAATCTTCATACTTAGTTATATTATAATCAAGTACATGAAAATTTAAGGAGCATTTTGTTGCTTTGCTAAAGGTCTATCACTTTTACATATTCTTGAAGTATACCCAGTTCATGCCTCATAACACTGTTGAAAACATAAATCTACCACATATTGTATACAGGTCCCGACAAATTGCTAAATCATCTTCACGAAAACATACTGTTCCAGGGAGGAAAAAAAACTTTAGGAATGTTATGGTATTGGGATGGTATACATAGAAATATCTGTGCCCAATTCAGGATTATTTTAATGTGGAAAAATGGAAAAAACATTTTTGAGTATATTTGTTTGAAATTAAAAATTTATCAATTGTTATATATCACGCTCAATATTTGATACAATATATGTTGTTGTTTTGTTTTTTTCAGTTCTGTTCAGCTACTGGGAGACTTGCTGTATCGAATTTCGGGAGTTTCTGGTAAAATGAGCACTGAAACAGCTAATGAGGATGATAATTTTGGTACTGAGCAGTCCCATAAAGTATGTTTACATCGTACAGTTAAACTGATAGTTATTTATGTATTAGATGTTATTAATAATCTATCATTATCACTAATACATCTAATATTATTCTATTAACAGGCTATTATTGGAGCACTTGGAGCCGAAAGAAGAAACAGAGTGCTTGCAGGACTGTATATGGGACGATCTGATGTGTCTCTAATGGTTCGTCAAGCAGCTTTACATGTTTGGAAAGTGGTTGTGACCAATACCCCTAGAACTCTCAGAGAAATTCTTCCTACTTTGTTCAGTCTTCTTTTAGGTTGTTTGGCTTCTACAAGCCATGATAAACGCCAGGTATGCCAATTGAAATATTCTGTAAATATCTATTAATGAAATATTTTACCAACTAAAAGTAGATTTGCAATGAAAATGACCAGCAACATAAACATTATTTGATATATGTTTATGACATTTATATGCCTACTTTTTACACTTATCATTGTAAATTAATAAAGTAATTATTAACATTGCATCGGGCTCTCTGAATAGAAAATAATGAAATTTTATTAGCAAAGTTATTAACGTTTTAATCAAAATAGAACAAAAGATAATGATAAAATAAGTTCCCATCCATTCCCTTTTATTTTATTAACATCTTACTGAAAGCATAATAGCAATCTTAATTGCAAATACTATCAGCAAAGTTACTTGCAGAAATGATTGTAACATCTTCAGTGAAAATTAGTGTAAATGTAATCAAGTTTTATTAGCAAAATAGTCTTATTGAAACGTTTTACAGAAAATTTTCGAAAATATCAATAACATCTTACTGGTACATTTACTTGTCATTGTTTTTGCGAACCCTTGACTGCTACTAGGTTTCCGCCACTTACTAACCAAATTAGGAGTGAAATGGACACTCTAAACACTCTTATCCTAATGTCCTCAGCCATCATGTTCTCTTAGCAATGCATCTAATCATGTTGTTATTGTTAGTAAAGTTATCTCAGATGTAAACCCGCCTTAGAACGTTTTTGGCAGTATGTGCCCCCTTCAAAAGCTCTAAACCCTGTCAAAATTTGTGCCATATTTTGTGTATACATTTTTGTTTAGGGCTTAGAGGCATAAAACCCTGAGGTCATCAATGCCTGTATATATATATATATTGTTTAATATAGTTATAAATACATCAAATATATATTTTAAAAACAATAGAGATCATTTTTATCGTCTGTATTATTACATCCGAAACTTATAATTCTTTCCATCTACTAGTTTGTTGATTATTTAAATTTCCTAACTTTTTAATTTGTGTAATATTTCAAATGGGATAAGTGTGTATAGGGAGCAATAATTGAAAATAAAGAAAATGTACCAACATGAGCTATAAAATATTTTTCATTCCTATTGGTTCAAGTTGTTCTGTAATTAAATAATGTTAACCTAAGCTCACATTATTTTTAGTTCTAGATGTAATATAATATACTGTAACTTGTATAAAAAAAGATTTTTGTTACTCCTAATATTAGAGGTTTAGCTTTAAACTAATCAAAACTTTTTTTCATTTTTACATTCTTTTAGGTTGCTGCAAAAACACTTGGAGATCTTGTTAGAAAGCTTGGAGAGAGGGTTCTCCCCGAAATCATACCTATACTTGAAGAAGGATTGGAATCTGACCAACCTGACCAGAGGCAAGGTGTCTGCATTGGACTTTCTGAAATGATGGCATCCACGAGTAAAGATATGGTCCTCACCTTCGTTAATAGCCTTGTCCCTACTGTTAGGTAAATTCATAGAAATTTTAGACTGATTAATTCAATATTTCATTAAATAGTTTATATATATATATATATATATATATATATATATTTATTTATTTATTTTTTTTTTATTAATAGTTTGTTTTAACACATAAAAAGATATTTTTATGTTAACATTTATTAAAAACTTCCAGTACTAGTTGGAGAATTTATTACTCCAGCAGTTGATCATCAGCGGTTAACAATTAAGCTTGAGATTAATATTAATTTATTCTTTTGATTGTCCTTATTTATTTCTATTTTTAAAAACATATTTTACTATTCTTTGTTCTTATTTATAACCTATATAAAATGTGTTTATCTTTTATTTATTTAATAAAGGAAACATTGATTATAGGAGCGGTCAAAATGAAACAAAAATTAGTGAAAACTATTTAATCCAGTTAGTTCCAAAATATTTTAGTTTACTTTTCCTGCGTTCACTATAAAATACCTAGTTGCTGTTTTATTATAAAATATCTATTTTTTTTTTAATATATATTATGTCAATTCTTTCTTTATCTTTATTTTGATTTCCGCCTAGTTGATCAATTTTCTCCTTCTAGGTTACTGTGGTCATAAATATTTTATTTAAAATGGTGATATCTATTTACTGTGTGTGGGTGTGCTTACAGTATGTGATCTAGTTTTCACAATTTGGCCTCAGTATAGTTCATAGATGGGGAACCATGGCCTTCAATTTTTACTTTCACTTACGTATATATGTAATATATAGTAAGTGTAAATATTGCGATCGAGAAAATTTTTGAATCTGAGTTTTCGATGGATTTATACGTTTTGAGGTACCCTGAGTCGAAATGACCAATTCCCGAACGAAAAATGGTCTGTGTGTTTGTATGTTAGCAGTCTAGCTCAAAAACGAAAAGTCCTATGTAACTGATATCACGTATTTAAGATAGGTATATCCCTTAGTTGTGACGGCAACTTTTTCCTTAAAATCGGCTAACCGGAAGTGCCACTTTATATTTTCACAGTTTTCTCAAAAACGGCTCTAACGATTTTGATTAAACTCGGTGTATTAATGTATAATAAAGTAATCTTTAATACCAATTAGCTCTTATCCTCATTGATGTCACTTTACAGGGCTTAAATGCCCAATGTTCATATACGTCTTCCTCTAAAGTACCTTTAATATGGTTTATTTTAAAAAGATAAATATTTCGCATTATTCAGAGTTATGAAAAAATGCTAAATATAACTTTTGAAAGAATTTGATAAGTTAATAAAGGAGAAATGAGAAAAAATAAAAATGCAGAAAAACGTAGCTATAGACTGTAGCGCCTAAACGAATGTACCGATTTCATTGAAACTTCGCTAAAGTCATTTTCTTCACCCTTCAAATTTATCTATATAACATTCATCAGCGAAAGGAAGCTGAAAAAAAGTTACGAGGGATGGTAAAATTAAATTCCGAATAACTGAAAAAGTATACACTTTTTGGGGAATGTTGTATATGGTTTTCTAAAAGTTTATGGAATAGCCTAAAAAACAAAAAAAAATCATTAAAATTGGACAATTAGGAGATAAGATATGGTGTCTAGTTTTTTTAATATGTTCTGCTGCAAATATATCCTTTGTTTCGGTTTTTGAATTTTGAATGTGTTATTAAGGTAATGCTAATTTTTTTTAAATGTATTTAAAATCCACCTAAGCAAGTTGATGGCATTGTTAAAAAAACTATTTCAGTGTACTTGTGTGAAAGAAGAAATAAAATATAAAATCATTTCATGGATGTATAAATCATGTGTTTATAATATTAAATACATTTACTGTAGTTTAGTAATTATTTATTAAATTTTAAATTGGTCCATAATCGTCTTATCTTTTTGGCTACATTCAAGGAATTGCTGTGTTATATATGTGTGCGATGTTATATTGCGTTCCTGGCGTTTGAGAATTTAAAGAGAAAAAAGGAAATTTTTTTTTTGGGGGGGAAAAGTGTTTATTATGCTATGTCTATTGTTTAATATGGTTTATTGTTGATAATTTGTAAGAGTATTGTAATGAAGGGGGAGAAAAAAAAAAAGAAAAATATAATATAAAATTAATGTCCATATGGATTGATAAGTATGCTGTGTACGAAGCAACCCTATGTAGTAGGGCAGCATTACTTTTAATAAAGTATTTCTCTATAAATAATTAGGTATTAAAGTTAATTCCAAAATATTGTCATAACTTTTTAGAAAACTAAATTAGTGAATAATTCGATAGATCTTCTCTTTGTGATATTCCACTACCATTTCATTGTACTTGTGTGAAAAAAGAAGTGAAATACAAAAATATTTCATAGATACGTTTATAACCCTAAATATATTTACTGTAGTTTAATAACTCTAGATCTCATAATATATTTAAATATTTAGATATCTATCGTCCGTTTATTCCGAAAAATTATCATATAACCTTTTAGAAAATTAAATTAGTGAATAGTTTGATAATTTTTCTTTTTGCGATATTCCAACAGAATCCACTTACAATTAGTGTGACAACTTTTGACCTGTCTATGACAGACACTGCAAATCTCTTAATTCCGTTTTAATAAACTTTGCAATGGAAAATAACAGTTTAATGACTTATAGTCGTACAATCCATAATCAATGGATCGAACAATCCATAATCAATGAATCGTACAATCCATAATCAACCGGTGATATAATAAATAGGACTTTTGTTATTTTAATAGCATTTGTGTTTTTTTAGCTTTAGCTCAGTTTAAAATGCAATTTAAAAAATTTTATAATAGCCTAACATGGTCAGAAAATAATTTAGAGTTATTCAAAGTTCCAAGAGTAAGTGCAATTGTGTGTTGCGCGCACCAGATTTTTTTTAATATATATTTATTAATCTAGTGCTAGAATTAATTAATATTTAATTATTTAAGTAACAGCATTTTTGAAATTTACAGAATTAGGTTGAATATATGTATATGAGTGTGTGTATTTAGTTATAAATAAAAATAGGAACAGTAAAATATAAAGAATTACTGCTGCCTCTAATGATAAAAAGGTTCCCCACCTATGGTATAGTTCATAAACAACAGTCTATACATCCTATTTATGAAATATAGGAAGATTTAAAATTTTTTTAGACTGAAATTTATTTAATTTTATTTTCTAATTTATTGAAAATTATAATTAATTATTTTAATATTATATCTATTAGTAAATGTAATATACTAGTTTTAGGTAATGAATATCATTAAATGTTTATTTACTAGGAAAGCATTGTGTGATCCTTTGCCTGAGGTTCGTCAGGCCGCAGCTAAAACATTTGATAGTCTCCATTCAACAGTTGGTGTTCGAGCATTAGATGACATATTACCTCCAATGCTTCAGCAGCTTGTACGTAATTGTGAATTTAATTGTATATAATTAAACTTGGATAAATAAGCTTTCTAAATAATTTGTTTGTTTTATTACAGAATAATTCTGATAGTGGAGTCAGTGAATGGACTTTAGATGGTCTGCGACAAGTCATGGCTATTAAATCACGTGTTGTTTTGCCCTATCTTGTCCCTCAGTTGACAGCAGCACCAATAAATACGAAAGCTCTATCTATTCTAGCTTCTGTAGCAGGAGAAGCTCTAACTAAATACCTAAATAAGATTCTACCTGCACTTCTGACAGCACTCGCAGCCTCAGATGCATCTCCTCAGGTGAACATATTGCATTAATCTAATGCTGTCTGTATATTTACAGTTTTAATACTTTGCTATATATGTCTTAATTTTCAAGAAAGTGGCTTATTTGATAAAACTTTATCTCATTATTCTTGTGTCCTTTAATTGGGAAAAAAATGTATAAAATATTTCAATATCATTTTTTATATGAATTCATTGTCTCTTATGAAAAGTTTGTGAAATTCAACAATTTTCATAGCTGTTATCCAATGAAAACCACTTGCATTATTTTTGAGTCAAATGATGCAGATGATTATTATAATACCAAATTCCATTGCTTTATTAAGAAATTCATTCAAAGGAAAATTTCGTCTTAATTATGTCGAAAAGAGCCAAAATGTCTTATAAGTTTAATAAAGCACATTCTACATTAAGCAATTGTATAGAGATTTCTGTGCCTTCTATATTTGCTCCCTGAATAGCTTTTTTTAACGAAATTAGATAATAAACTTTTAATTTTAGGAGCTGGAGTACTGTCAAGCTGTAGTATTGTCTGTTAATGATGAAGCAGGTATTCGAGTTATAGTTGACGAGCTTCTAGATGCTAGTAAAAATGATCGACCTGAAAATAGACGTGCTGCTGCCACACTTCTATGTGCATTTTGTACCCACACTAGGGCAGACATTAGCCAGCATGTTTCTCAACTTCTACGAGGGCTTATACTTAATTTTACTGACTCTGATCAGACAGTTTTACAAATGTCCTGGGATGCCTTGTCTGCTGTTACAAAGGTATATTTTTATTTTGTTGTATGATACCTAATCTTACCTGTACCTTATACCTAGTGCAGAGATATTAATTATATAAGAAAATAATGTAAGTGTATCGTTTAAATGGATTGCGAACTAATGTAACTAAAGCAGCTAATTGCTAAATGGAAATAATACCATTAAAAAAACATTATAATACAATTTCTTCACAAATTCGATGAATCCCCCATTGATCTATTCATGAAAACTTTTAAGTTTATTAAAACAATCAATTATATTGATATTAAAAATAAATTATTTTTGAAATAATTATTATAAGCTTACTCAAATTTAATTTTGTAGAAACTACATTTTCTAAAGCAACTGAAACATCACATGAGTTTGCCTCATATCAAAGACTGACTGGCATCTCTAATTTTTAAAAAGTTGAGAAAAGGCCAAATTTTGTATCGTACCTTTAATTTAAACCGATTTTAATCATTTCTTTCCATGATCCAACTTGAACATTCTTAAACAAAATCATCAAAGATGGTTTGAGTTGAACCTGTACAACAAAAATTGACCTTTTCCCCACTTCCTGAAAATGACAGATGTCCATTTTTTATATGAAGTGACTCATATATTGTCTTAATTTTTTGAAGCCAGGAATTCTCAGTAAATTTAGCAAAAGTTTTCATTAGGTCTAAACCTTTTATTATAGATGATATTTATTTTATTATAGATGATATTTGCTGCAAGTAAGGGTTTTAGTTTCAATCTAATTGATTTTTAGTTTGTGCCCAGGTTGAGTATTTATTTCTAAAATTTTTTTTAACAAAATAATAGCTCGGCCTGCATTCGAGATTGATTCATGTGGGCCTCAATCTAAGAAAATTTAACATAATAAGTATACCAGAAATGGTATAAAGTAAAATAAAAGAAAAAAGTGCAGGTATAAAACCATTTCTTTAAAATATTTCATCGTAAAACGTAATCAGTAAACCTAATGAAATTAAATTTCATTTTGATGTTTGTATTATTTTATATTAATTTGCATGTATAAATTAAAAAAGTAGAACAGATATCGAGTTATTTTTATGCTTTGGTTTATTATTTTGTGTGTGTAAAAGTATCCATTCGGCACATATGCACTATTCAGGAATTTTTTGGCAAAAAAATCATGAAAAGTCGAAAACCTCACTTGATAAAATGAGTCGTCACTTTGTACTTTCATCTTCTCAATCAACTTTCCAACTACAAAAAATTTGTATATTATAATTTCTTAATCATCACTACTTAATGTTTATGACTTATAACTATATTTTATTAATTATTTCAGACACTGGATTCATCACAGCAAATCAGCTATGTTGCTGACATAAGGCAAGCTATAAAATTTGCTGCGAGTGATTTGAAGCCTGGAGAATTACTTCCTGGCCTCTGTTTGCCTAAGGTATGTAAAATGTTCCTTCAAAAAATTAAGATTGGATTAATTAAGTTCATGACTTGAATTGTAATTATTACAGCAAGAGAAGCAACAAATTTTCCAGATAGATTCATAAAAGATAATATATAGTATGAACAATAAATTATTAATATGATCCAGGAATATTGAGAAATTTTTATATGTTACAGTCCTCTTTGAAATTGACATTTAGCACCATTATGTGCGTGCAGCTTTAATTGAACGAAGCTGTATTTAATTAGTTTAGTTAAATATATCATTGATACAAATCCTAACTATTGAATCTGAAAATCATATTTATAACATCATTATCAATTTAGTCCAAACAACGAGGATGTTTTAATTTCTGCACTAATATGTACTTTTATGAATGATAGAAGATTTTGTATTTAAAAATATTTAATTACAATTATACTTGTTTGAGTGCAGGATTGAAAATGATTCTTATTTTCATATTCGATAATTAGCATTTGTATCGATGATGTTTTTTTTTATATCTTAATATTTTTTATTCCCTCCTTAATTCTTGTCTCCTAGATTTTTGTATGACTATTTGACTTTGGTGCATATCTAAGGTAGACTTAATGCTAGCTTATCTCAGTTAGTTATTATTACAGTTATTATTTGTTACAGGGAATCACTCCTATTCTGCCTATTTTCCGAGAATCCATTTTGAACGGCTCCCCTGAAACCAAAGAAGCAGCTGCTCAAGGCCTTGGAGAAGTGATAGCCTTAACGACTGCTCATTCACTTCAGCCTTCTGTCATTCATATTACTGGACCTTTAATAAGAATCCTGGGTGATAGGTTCCCACCATCTGTGAAAGCTGCAGTTCTCCATACCCTTGCCGGTCTTCTTGCAAAGGTGCTATTCTCAATTTTTATCATTTTCTATGATTTATAGAAATAGTCCTATTTCTTTTACCGTTTTTGTACTTCTTGATACATTCTATTTTGTATGAAAATTTATTGGTATGTGTACCTTATTTAATTTTAGTTTCATATATTTGTTTTTTAAAAATGAGTACAACTTTCATTAAATATTGTTTATCTATAATAGGTAGACTCTATATATAATTCTTGAAATATAGAAAAATATGCTTTTTATACATTCGCATTTTATTTTATCGTTGCATGGAGATTTTCTATATTCATCTATTTCTAATCCGAATCCATCTACTTGGATGTTGTTGTGCTTTCAAAATATTTTTCTTTCCAACCATCAATTGATTGTCGTAGTGTTTTATTAAAAAATATTACTGGAGGATAGAGGACCTTTTTCATCCTTACTGGGTCATGCTCGAAAGAAAAAATTTTTGAAACAACGACATGCAAGTGGTGGATTTAGATTAGGAATAGATGAATACGGTGCAAGGCATTGGAAACTCCATGTAATGAAATAAAATGAGACTGGATAAAAAGTGCATTTTCCATATATCGTTTATCTTTTATGCTCATTTATTTGCACAATTATAAAAAAAAAATCATTATTTATTGATTATGTTACTTATACTAAGCAGTGATTATTTCTAACCTCCACAGTGTGGATTTAGTTTCTGTATAAATATCTTTAAATTTGTTTTATGTTGATTTCACGATGAATCTTGAAAGATTTACGTAAATATGCTTACAGTTGATTTCACTATATATAGATTTCTATTTTTTTTCTAAATTTTCTCTAGAATGAAATGTATATAGGCTAGAAAATGTATAATTCTACTGCCAATAACAAGTCTTTAAAGAATGAAGAAATTTTCTGAAAACATAAAATACAACAATAACATCATTTCTCAACTCTAATCATTAAAATGTCTGTCAATTATGTTCAGTATTGCAGTTACAACCACCTTACCAATTAAAGTTACAACCACATAACTACCTGTAGTTCAAGAACTATGATAGGTTGTTTGAGAATAGTCGTCAGAAGAAGCCGTTTTTTAATGTAAAATGGTCTTGTCAAGGTAAAATGCATGCCTAAGAAAGAGAAGTCTATGGAATTTTATAAAATTTGTAATTAAGGAAAATCACTTTATTTAACCCTTACATCTCCACAACATGCTTCAATTCATTTTAATTTTCTTGAAGACGTTTCAGGCAATTTTGCCCATTTTCAAGTGGAAATATTTATATCATTGTCATATCATCTATGTAATATTATTGTTTATATAATTCTATCTACCTATCTATACTGGCTCTACAACCCGCTTAGCAAGTCATCTCCTCCGCCAACAGCATCCACCAGGTGTTTCTACTATGTGCTGCCACCATCCAGTCTCAAAATCCTAGCTTCCTGGCATCTTTGACCACACTGTCCCTCCATCTTAACTACTCGTCGCTCTCCATGCAGGATTTCAACCAACACCTTTGGGATCATGTCGTCTCTCATTCTGGCCACATTTTTCCTCCTTTTCCACTCTCCATTCACACATACTGGACCATAAATTCTTCTTAGAATCTTTCGTTCAAATATTAGGAGGTGCTGCCTTGGTTATCTTCCAGGTCTTGATGCATAACTTAAAACCAGTCTGATAAGAGTCTTGTAGAAAATTACTTTGCTACACTCTGTCACCAGAGTGCTTTTCATGTGTTGACCCACACCATAATAGCAACGGTTGGCCAGCAAAATTCTTTTATTTATCTCTGTATCCATGCGGTTATCAACAGTGATCTGTGAGTCCAGATATATGAATTCTGATACCTGTTCAAACCTGAAGGGTCCAAAACTCACCCTAGTGCCATGTCCTGGGTTACCAAGTATTTTTTTTTTATGCTCGTTGACAATAAGGCCGAGTTTCCTTGCTGCAGCCTCCAGGTCCAGAAATGATTGTGCAACCACTTGCCGAGAACGTCCAATAATGTTTATATCATCGACAAACGCAAGGAGCTGAACAGTCCTATTGAAGATCGTGCCAGATGTTTGTATTTGGGACTCATGAACTGCTTCTTCTAGGGCCAAGAGAAAGAGGAGGCATGCCAGGTCATCACCCCTTCTCATAGAAAATTCCTCCGGTACGTTGCCCTTTACTTTAATAACATACACCACCTCGTCCATTGTTAACTTGGTCAGCCTGATAAGCTTGGAGGGGAACTGGTTGAACTGGTGTAATGCATCGTACAGCTTTTGATGGTCGATTGTGTCGTAGGCTGATTTAAAATCGACGAAGAGGTGGTGGGTTTTGAACTTATATTCCTGTCTCCTGTCCAGGATAGTCCTCAGACAGAATATCTGGTCGATCGTTCACCTTCCTGGTCTGAACCCGCACTTGTACCGCCCAATCTCTCACTCCGCAAACGGCAATAGTCTGTGGAACAGGATATTTGATAAAATTTTATATGCGCACGGGAGCAGAGCAATAACGCGATAGAGCATTCCAATAGGTTTCCCTTCTTGTGGACCTGGCATATGACTGTCTTTTTCCAATCTGTAGGCATTATTTCCTCAGTCCATATGCTCACCAATAAGTTGTGAAGGAGCTTGAAGAGTTCATTACCTCCATGCATAAATAGTTCTGCAGGAAGTCCATCAATTCCTGGGGCCTTATTATTTTTTAGTCTGTTGAGGTCCTCACTTACCTCGTCTTTATCAGGTGGTTCCAGGTCATCAGTTCCATCCTGACCAGAAGGGCAGCTCCGTCCTTAAGTTATCTATGCTTTGAACATTCAAAAGCTCCTTGAAATACTTTCTCCATTCTGCTAGGCAGGCTTGTTTCTCGGATAGGAGAGCTCCCTGGTCATCCATACACATTGAAGATATTTCTTTGAATGGTCTCCTAGTACTATTAACTTTATCGTAGAACTTCGTGCTATCTCCAATGGTCTTAGATTCCTTCAAATCTTGGATAATTCCTTCTCTCTTCTTTACCCGATGCAGCCTCTTTTCTTCCTATAGTCTTCGGACTATATACTGCCTTTCTGCATTTTCTGTTCTGTCCCGGTTAAGCAGCTCCCAGAAAGGCTCCGCCCATCTGCCAGTATCTGCTTCCTTGCCAACCACAAGATTCCTCTCCTTGTCTTTAGCAAAATTAAGACTAGATTTATAGTATTAAAGCAGATCTTAAATCATATTTATAACTGATGGCTTATTAAATATAAGTATTAAACCTTAATGTATTAAAATCAGACACAAATATTAGGTTTGTGCGGAGTATTCGCTCAGGCCAGCTAATTAATTTTATTATTAATTTCTAGGTTGGAATGATGTTGAAGCAGTTTTTGCCTCAGTTGCAAACTACATTCTTAAAAGCATTGAATGATGGGAACAGGATGGTACGATTGAAGGCAGCAACAGCTTTGAGTTATCTGATTACTATCCATACCAGGCCTGATCCGCTCTTTTCAGAATTACACAACTCTGTTAAAGGAGCTGAAGAACCTGCAATCAGGTATTGATTGTTTATTTGCATAAGATAAGTAAAGATTGGTAAATATTTTAATAAAAATTAACATCTTAGCTACTTCTTTTGTACCAATAAATTGAAATATACAGCATATAGCATACTCTGGTGACTGAAATATTTAGTTGCATTTATTAGTTAATGCATTGATATATTTATTATAAAAGAGTTTAGTAGTAAAGATGATAAGTAACGTTATGGAAAAAAATTGAATTATCGTTAAGGATAAAGATTTAAAGCAATGTATTTCTGAAATTGAAATGTGATTAACACTCTCCTCCTATCACATTATAATGTTGATTCATAGAATCTTATCCTAGAAGTGAATAATCTGCTCAGGATCTGACAAAAGCTCTTTTTGATGAATGAGTGATCTGTGCCAGGTCAGTGATTTAACATCACTGATTTCAATGAATCCAGCTAAATTAACTTTTATTTATTTTTAACTGCTTATTTTAATTACATCTAATTAACTTATTTTAATTTTAGAGAAACTATGATGCAAGCTCTAAGAGGTGTGATATCAGCAGCAGGAGACAAAATGTCTGATGCAGTAGTGAAGCAGGTTCATTCATCTCTTTTGAGTTTACTGGCTAACCCTGAAGACTCGACTAGAAGTGGTGCAGCTGGGTGTCTTGGGGCTTTAGTGCGATCTCTTTCACCTGAGCAACTTGCAGTAACTCTCAATGATCATCTTCTCCGTACGTATTGGAATTGTATTATTAACAGATACTTTCGAAATTGGGAGCTTTGCCATAATAGTCTTTTTTTAATAGCGTGATCTTCATTTAGCTCAGATAGCTATTCTAAAAAACCTTTAAAATATCCAACTGCTTTTAAATCTGAGTGTTCCAGGTTTGTTTTCCCACCTGGTCAAACCCTTCTAGCTCCGAAGATTCTGTTGAATAAAAAATGTCACTTGAGAATGAAAGCTGTGTACAGAAAAATGAAGATCTTTTTTGTCCAAAAGACCTATATTGATTAAATAAAAAGGAAAATAATAAAATGTGGAAACTCTGGCTGGGTGTTCCCGGGAAGTTAGTAAGGTTGAGTAAGGCATGTATAAATGATTCTATATGTAGAGTACTAATACAAGGAGAAGTATCTGAAGCTTTCAGAGTTGAAACAGATTTGAGGTAGGGCGAAAGACTCTCGCCGATGCTGTTCTACTTAGCTCTGGAAAAAAGCAATAAGAACAACACCACACGAAGATGATGGGGTGCAGATCAGAATGAAACATAATATCCTGGCAAACACTGATAATATAGCTGACGAATGACGAGCATAAACAGAGCCTTCTCTCTTTCAAGGGTACTAAAATCCAGAAAAATCTCAAACTAAGGATGGACAATACCATGATAAAGCCAGTTCTGCTGTCTGGCTGTGAAACCTGGGCTTTAACCAGCACCCTAAAAGACAGAATTGAGAGATTCAAAAGAAATGTCCTTGATAACAACCCTATCTGGGATCAGAACCGTAACACATGGATGAACAATAAATCTATCTATCTACGTGGCGCTACAACCCTGGGTGGGTCTTGGCCTCCTCAATGAGCTGCCGCCATTTGGTCCAATTTTGTGCTACAACTCCATCAACCCATCGAAGCCTTGGCCTACCAGGCCGTCGCATACCATGAATTGTGGTGTCCACTACTTTTCTAGGAATTTCTTCCGCTTTCATCCTTGTGACATAACCAGCCCAACTGAGCCTCCCCAGTTTTATAAACTTTACAACGTCCATATCTCCGTAAAAGTCATAAAGCTTCCGTCCATCTCCATCTCTCACTGAGCCAACTATTTGACATAAGATTTTTCTTTCGAAAATCAAAAGATTATTTTCGTCACTTCTTGAGATGGTCCAGGATTGGGAAGCATAGGTAAGAACTGGGTGTATAAGAGTCTCGTATATGACCAGTTTAGTGCCCATGGTAATAGATCTGCTGCGAAGAGTTTTCAGTAAGGCAAAATATGCCCTATTTGCTGCCACCAGCCTTTTCTTTATCTCAGTAGAGACATCGTTTATTGGAGTTACTAGAGATCCCAAATACATAAACTCGTTCACCCTTTGGAATGTGTAAGGGCCAACACTCAGTTCCTCATCGCCACCAGTCCCTGTGTGCATATATTTCGTTTTTTCTTCGTTTATAGCCAATCCCAAGGCTGAAGCAGCGTCCAAGAGTTTCCTAAAGGCCTTTACCAATGCTGATCGTGTCCTGGCCACGATATCCAGATCGTCAGCGTATTCCAATATCTGTACAGTACGGGTGAATATCGTGTGATCTGTCTGGATTCCTGAATCTCGCACAGCTTTCTCCAGTGCAAGATTGAAGAGGAGTCACGCCAGTCCATCACCCTGTCTTAATCCTTTGTTGGAGGGAAATGCTTCAGAGCAGTCAGACTGAATCCGTACCTGACACCTTACATTTTTCATTGAAAACGGATGAACAATAAAGAACGGCTAAAAGAAGCTGGTCAGACAATATCTCATGATATGAAGGCAATGAGGTGTAGACAATGGGTAGGATAAGGGACAAGCAATCCATCAGGACGCCTCTACACAACAATGAATGCCAGAGTTTTAGGCAAGAGACCAAGTAGGAGGCCGAAAACTAGATGAATAAATAGGATAAAAAAAAGATATGACAGAGCTATTACTATTATGTTTATATCATGTGATATCGTACCACAACATATCCTTTTATAGTAATTATTTACATAAACCCAGCCTTGGGATGCATTTTTTAAGCTTCTTATATAACTATTCTCTATCATAAAGCCAATTTTTCCTTGATTTAGGAGTGTGTGTCTTAATTTATTTATTATGATCCTGTAATGTTTTCTTCTTTGTTTGGTTGCAATTTCATTCAATTTTTAATTTGTTATTGTCACTTTTAGATTTTTTCATCTTATATTGTTTGTCCCTTTCTACATTCCAATAACTTTTATTATATTAAAATTAATTATTGAATGAAAAAGTTATCATAAATTATTATTTTTTTAATTTATGTGCACATCCTTAAAATTTACTTTGGTATCATTTCCATTACAACATTTCTATTTTATTTATACAGAAGATGATGCTATAGCAGATTGGACATTGCGGCATGGTCGCAGTTCCGCATTATTTGTAGCTTTAAAGGAGGCTCCAGAAATTATTTATAGGGATGAATATAAAGACAAGATACATAAGAGACTTCTAGCGTTTCTAGCTGCTGATAGGGTATGATTTATTAAAATTGTATTATTTTGAAAATAATTATCTAAAATATCAATTCTAATTACTCTTTCAATTTATACACTTTAATGTGTTTTATTATTTAAAGGATATGTGAGTCATATAATTCTAAAACCAGACCAATCCATTTTTGTAAATCGTTCACAGCTTCTCGCTAAATGGCATTGTTTGGTATCATGAATACACTACTTATGTTATCTTGTTTTGTTACTGCCATTTAGGTACCTGGATAGGTATACATATTACATATTAATAAAGACAATTCAAAGCTCAAATATCATAAATAAAATAATATATCATAAATCAAGATAAAAATTAAATTTATGTGCATCCGACAACCAATAATATTTTGGATTTGGAAAATTTTGGAAATTAATACAATATGTTATAATGGTAAATGTTGAAAGTTAATCATTTATTTATTATAAATTAGTTCATCAAATATAGAAATGTAATGTAAAGACAAAAATGAGAAATGAAACACTTTAAAAATTGTGAAACATTTTCACCTTCTGAAGATTTCAGAATTTTTTTTTTTAAGTTGGAAAGTGGATTTGTTTGGTTCGGAATTCTATGCCTGATGCCTCAAGTGTAGGATATTTTTGTTAAAAGAGTTTTTCTCCTATAGATAAATACATGCTTCTAAATACATAATTCTATCTTTCCTATGTCCAAGAATTTTAAATAAATACTTCATTTAAATAAAAACAAATCCTACTCAACTAAATACCTATCTAACCTGCTCAAATTTACGTTAGTTTTGAAAAATGATATTTGTCTTTTTGTTATATAAATTAAAGTATCCTTTTCTTCTTTTTTATTAGTTTCTTTTAAAATTTATTTTTTGGGGAATTGATCTTGCACAGGTTTTCTTACCCATATATTTTTGCTCTTATTCTCTTTATGAACTTGCTGAATTCTGAATATTTTTTTTTATTTGTTACAATGTTAATAATGACTGATTTATTCATTCCCAAGAAGCATCAATCATTTTTTAATTATCTATATTTTATTGAATATAGCCTACAAGAAACTTGAATGGATCATACAACCTTAAAATTTCTGGATCTGTTGGAGCAATCATAATAAATTTGTCTTATTTAACATTGAAAGATAATTTCACCATATTTTGTAGTGCATAAAAAGTACTTCTTAGATCATCATTACATAAATCTTGTCTTTTTCCTATTCATTCCTCATTCCTTATACTCTCTGCATTTACTAAGGTACCATAATGTCAAAAAATAAATATTTTTTTTTCTTCTTAGTTTTTGTTTGGAAGTTTCATGCATCTATGGTTTAGTTGGAAATTTAAATTCCTTTAGAATATTGTTTATCCTTATTAATGCATCCAATTTGTTCATCCAGTTCTTCAAATCGAGTGTTAAAATTATTTTATTATAAAAATATTTACTTGGATAATAATTTATTATTATTATTTACAAGATATTTACATTATATTACACTGTATAAAAAAAAAAATACATCTAGTAAATTCGTACATGGATTTGATAATAAAAATTTTATTTGTGGTATAAAATTATCTTTTTATTTATATTTCAGGTTCCAATTGCTATGAATGGTGTCAGAGGATGTGGTTATTTATTTGAATATCTTATGACTAACAATGAACCTTTACCACACCCCCTTCTTTCACCATTTGTTCGGGTATGTTGTGTTTAAATATGATTTATCATAGCTTAACATTATTAACGATTACAAACTTTTCTAATTTTCTTGAAAAAATAATGGAAATTATCATCATTTCATGAAATTATAGCAAGTGAATATAGCTTCTTTTAGTTTATATATATTGCATTTAAGATTAATATCCCTCGTTGTATTGTTTTACTGTTCCTTTTAGTCGATGAATCACCAGAGCAATGAGGTTAAACAACTCCTCGCTAGAGTTTGCTCATATCTTGCTCGAAGAGAAATCAATTCTCCAGAACTACTTAAAGCTGTTATTCCTATGTTAGTGAATGGTACAAAAGAGAAAAACAGTTACGTCAAAGCCAACTCTGAACTGTCTCTGGTGGCTGTTTTAAGGTTAAGAAATGGAGATGAAAAATTACAGGTATTCTTAATTTTGTCTTTCTATTTTTTGTTTCTGGTCTTTTCAAATGTTAATTTATTTATTTAAGCTTTTAATCATCACTTCAAATCAAATAGTATTTATACTAAATCATATTGTACATCAGTCAATAAATTAAAAATTTTCAGACAGTGAGTTGTCTTATAGTATAATATTTGCCTTTATCCGTTTATTTTCTTTATTATATTAAAAAATCTCGCAAAGATTGTGAATCTAGTAATTCTTTTGAATGTAAAGTATTGTGCTGATATCTATTTGATTAATTGTCAAAAGTTAGTTCTTTTTTTTTTAGTTATAGATATTTTGTAGTGTTGTTTATTATTATAGATTAGCCCAGATAGTTTTTATATTATTTATTGGTGGAAAATTTCACTTTGGAGGATCTTATATCTCTTAAACAAATGCAACTGATTTTCAGGCAAATACAAACTTTTCCAAAGTTTTTCAATTTTTTTTTTAATCAACCAATAATATTTGAATTGGAATATCAGCAGACCTTTTTTATTACTTTAGATTTATTGTTTTTATAAATTATTACTGTACCATCTATGCGGTAGTAGGAGACCAATATATACTGCCTAACAGGAGACTAACCCCCATTTTACAAATTATACAACTGTTCATTTAATTGTACTACTTGTTGCTTAAATTGTATATATGTGATTTACATGTATTCTGTAGTTCAGATTGTATTATTTTTTGTCAAAATAAAATAAATGGAATGAAACCATAATTCAGACAAATTTTTAATTTCTGTAAAAATCTATATTTTCTATCGCCTCTTATAGCCAATTTTTAACCAAAACAAGGGAGAAATAATGCTGGGAATGAGAAGTTTGTTGTCTTTATTATGGTCCATCCCGCTTTGTATATATAAAATAAAATATGACTGGTATCATTAAAAACTTTTTAATATTGTAGAGAAATTATGAGTTATCGGGACTTATTAATAGTTTTATTACTTCCTTCAATTGGATATCTATATGGGTGGATCATTTATTTTGTTTTGGGGGAAACTAGTTGTTATTTACTCTTATGGATAGCTAATAGAATTTTGATATAATTATTCACATTGAAATTTATGATTCTGCTGCATACTTCTTTGTTATTTATAGGTTGGTTACTGAATTTTGTGGGCAACTGTCAAGGATTTTTAACATTTTTCGTCCTTCTTACAATATTAATCAAATATTTACTTGCTTTTACATTCTTAAAATTATCAATATATTTATGTTTCTCTTTCTGATCATTTCCTTTATATTTAGAGTGTGTCTTAGTTTACTTTACAAAAAAAATATATATATATTTATATATAGGGCTAGTCGTAGCATTGTCCTAAAATGTGAATAGTACAATTGTTGTAGCATTGTCCTAAAATGTGAATAGTACAATTGTATAGCAATTAAAGTATTTTTGTGCATTTCATATTTTGTTTCATCATCGACATAGTATTAAACTCTAAAACTAACCCTTTAATATTACCGGACCAGAGGACTATCTGAAGTTCAAAATGTATTATTGAAAAATAAAATTGTTTTACTAATTTTATATATATATATATCGTTTAATAATCTGTTATGATATTAGTTATACTTAATGTTGTGGACGTTGTTAATGTTATGTTTGAACGCAGTACTAGATACAAGATCTAACATTGTTAATAATACATTTATATTTATTTGTACAGGAATTTCCTTAGACAAATAAAATAAACTATTTTGTTTCAGAGTTGTTTAAGTGTTTTGGATGCAGGAGCAGCTGAAGCCCTTACCGATGTTATTACTAAGGTTCTCAGAAAAGTAGCTCTTCAGCCAGAAGGAAAAGTAGAGGAACTAGATGACACACTACTCACCTGATGTGAGCTGTCACAAATTGAAATAAAGAAAACTCCTCCAAGGGGGATAGGTTGAGTATGTAATTGGTCGAGTTGGGAAATATCATGTTAAATATCTTCCTTGACCTCAGATTGTCAGTATTACATGCCAACGTATCCTCGTTTATTTTTAATAAAAAAAAAAGTTCTGAAAAATGTATGTATGTCTGTTTTTATATGTTATTGAATGAAGTTTTTAACGTTTTAGAAATTATTGAAATTATGTTCCAGATTTTTTTTTCAATCAGAATAATTAATTTTTGAAGATTTTGTATTTTACAAAGCTGATTCAGACTCTCTCTTCTTTTGCATAGTACTTTTGTGGTAATATCATTTTAAAAGGAAATATGGTGTATAGCATGTTAGTGGTAACTTTTCTGAACTTCTGTGTATATATATATTTGCCTATCTATTAAAACACACACTCACATATTTTCTCCTTTAAAATTAATTTTTATTTTAGAATTGCCAATAAATACTGAAGTCCTATGTTTTCATCCTGAATAAGTTCAATTATGTTCTTCCAAAACACATTGTTTTATTTTGTATCAATAAAAATAATATACTATTTTATTTATTTGCTCTCCAGTTATTAATGTGTTATTATACTAAGATAAATATAAGTTGTTGAATATGTTGGTAATCATTCCAATTAATAAAACTGAATAAATTAAAAAATAAAGTCAGAAAATTGTTTCATTTTTTTTTTTTTAATTACATCAAAGTACAATCATGAAGAAAACGTATAATATTAGTTTTATTTATTCTACTCGTGTTTAAATGTAGTTTACAATAAAGTTATATTGTTACCCTTAAATTATTAATTTAATGTATTTTTCTTATTGGTACATGCATAATTTTGCTAACAATTTTCATGACTGTCAATCTTTTCATAATTTCTTTTCCTGAATTCTTTACTCAAATTATTTATTACGTTCTTATTAAATAAGTATGGTATCTTTGATGCTTATGTTTTTTTTGTGAAAGTGGTTATGAAACAAACTGCTCATATAAAAAAAACAACTACTTTTTCATAAATTATTAACCAAACAAAAATCTGACTTGAATTTTATTGTTTGCTGTTTTGTTTTTTTCATATTTCTGTTACAATGTTTTTAATTAAACTTATCACCAAGAATATTTTTGTTTTAAATTATTTAATGTCCTCAGTGATATTGATGTTGATGTATATTAATTTCTTCATACCATATCAGTGTTTTTTTAAATTACTTAATATGAAGTTCTTGGCTCTAAATTTATATATTCTTTCTTAAACAAACCTTTTTTTAACAAAAGATATCCTATTAGTACGTTTTTTGTTTAGTTGTGAAAAGATCAATAATAGCATGAAGAGGGTAAATCTCATCAATCAATATTATCTCTTGTAGAATGATTGCTTCTTGGAATAACATGTCCAAGCTATGATCTATTTAGTAGTTATACATTATCTGTTTGAAAGCTTATTTAAGTAATGCTTATAAATCAACATAAAAATTTCAATTCTAATAGAAATGGTATTTGACCTTATAACCTTATCATTGGCTAATATCAATGACTAAAAAACAAATATATTTTGCATAATTATAGAAAAGAAGTATCAAACTAATTAATCCATATATATGGTAGTTATTATTATCTAAGCAATTTATACTGTTAATGTGACCAACTTATAAATGGAGAATCAAACATTAAAGTAATTATCCCTGTAAAGACATTATCTGCCTAAATTAGGTGTTTTTTTTAATTCCATGAAGGCGCTATTAGAAATTGAAAAATAAAGGGTTTGTTAAAGGATTGAAGTTAATTCGTTGATCTCAGCCATCCACATTATTAATATATTGATATTTAATTTAAAAATGATTGTGTTTAAGGGGGTAAGGAGAACTCCAGTCAACAAATTACATCTTTACAATAATCAATATTAATTTAATTTTAACTTAAAAAATTCAAGTTATCGAACTGTATTTAGAAGAAGAATAAATGTTAATGTAGCAAAAGTTTATTAATATTTTCAAAGGGGCAGTTCATTGAAGTAAAAATATATATACTTAATTTTTTTCATTTTGATTGATACTAAGTAATCATAAAATTAGAAAGAACATAAGCGTCTCTTTTCTAATTAATCTGTTGTCAGAAAAACAACAATTTTTTCATTATGGTTATCCTAAAAAGTAGTAAGTTAATTGATAATTTTGGAGGAAAAAATGGGTGTATTTTATTTCCAAGAAGAAAGCTGTTCATATCTTACTTCTATAATACAAAAGATTCTACTAAAAATGTCTAGGTCAGGAATGTTAATAGGTCATAGTACACATGCATTTCCTAAGATCAGCCATCTCTCAGATATCATATCAAATCAATAAACACAGAAGATGAACTACAAGCATTATGTGCTAGAAGGATAATTTTTTTAAATGTTTTATATAACCATATATATCAGCATTAATGCCCCTCTGTAGGATCATAGATCATCCTCCCCATGACATAGATGGTATAATGCAATACAGCAGCATGTCAATTAACAGATGTTGCAATTGATTTTTCTGGGATTACTGATAACTTGTAAAAAAAAATAGAAATAGAATCAATTTTAAACATATATGATAATAATAACCAATAGATGTTAATTATAAATAAATAATTCAATTTTTAGTAATTCATGAAACCCTGATCTATTTTCGCATGTTCACAGTTTCTAGTCATGTTTTTGTCGGAATATAATGGAGGTTAAATAAGTAAATATTACAACCAGGGTTGCCCATCCCCCCAAGGTCGATGGCACATGAATTCCCCTTCTCCCAAGATATTTTATTGCTCTCATCTTCTTAAAAACAGTCCAATTTTAAAAATATTTTGTCATATACAGTGACACTTTTGGTGGTATGTTCTTTGCTTTCATTTTGTTTCCCAGTTTGAAATTTCATTGCAAAAATTCACAACCCCATCGAAATGTGCCCCCTCAAAAATTGAATACCCATCAAAATGAGAATGATTAATTTTAGCTTACTAATAATACAACTGAATTAGAAACATATTGTAGCTGATAAATAGTCAGGACGCAATCCTTTTTAAGGTTTTTATGGGTGCCGACATTTTAACCCAAGCATGTGGGTCATTATCGGGCATATTTCGAGTACTGAAGGTATTCAAGTACTCGAAACATACCCGATAATGACCCACATGCTTGGGTTGGAATGTCTGTACCAATAAAAACCTTAAAAATGAATGCATCATCATTCATCATTTATCATCTATGATATGTAGAACAGTCAACTAACTTCCTTCAATAGAGACATATTTAATGATATAAAATTCAAGTATGATTTAATATTAAACAGTCGAAGAAATTAATTAATTTTTTGAGGGGAATATGACATCATTGTTTGGAGACACCTAATGTTTTAGGACAGCACTACTTATACCCATGACAACCCAAAATGTAAACCTTTGGTGTGACCCCTGATAATGATGTTTCCTAAAGAATTTAATTTATTTCTTAAGCTGTTTTATATAAATTAATAATTGAATTTCATTTTATTCAATGTTTTTAATTCAGTTGCTTTCTTGATAGGCTAAAAATGTTTATTCTCATACGGTTTTTATTTATTTATTTTTAATTCCTAACAAGTGGCGGAGCTCCCAGGGCTATTGCCTGGATTGTCCGGTCCTAAGGCTTTTACTGCATTATAATAATTAATAAGGAAAATCTCAAGGTTTGTCCAAGGACAAAAATATAGAAGGTGGTAGAGGAAGCAGTAATTTCTACTTCCGCTTACTTGTAAATGAAATAAATAATTAGGGGAAGTATTCTTATCATGAAAATTTTCTAACCTATTTTTTGATGAAAATTTACTTGAAATACACGTTTTGAGACTACCTGAGTCCAAAACCCAAGTTTCATGAAATGGTCTATTTGAGTCGTGCGCGTTAACAGTTTAGCTCAAAAATGAAAAATCCTAACAAACTGTTATGACATCTTCCCGTGGATCCGCCAATGCTTGGGATGTTGGAGTCAATTTTTCTGCAAAATCGACTAACCAAAAATAGCTAGGCAGTGGTACCCATCTCCCAAGATCGGTGGCGAATGAACACTCCCCTTCTCCCAAGATATTTTACTGCTCTCTTCTTAAAGAACAATACAAGTTAAAATCCAATTTTAAAAATAATTGGTCATATACAATGACACTTTCAGTGCTTTGCCTTTTTCTTGTTCCCCAGTTTGAAAAATTTCAATCCTGTTGAAATGTGCCCTCCTCAAAAATTCAATAATCATTCAAAATGTGCCCCCCTCAAAAATTTTGATGGGGCAACTTGCACCATGAAACCCCTTTCTGGGCACCCCTGGCACTGTATAAAATTGTTCCTAAAATCCCGACCCTGCTCCTACATGATGATCCTATCAACTTTTATTCCACTGTTAAGAACCTTTAATCAAATCATTTCGTGAAAAGACAATGTATCCAATATCTCCCCTGCCACCTTTTCCATTTTAAAATCTCTAAATTACCTTCACCACCTATTTCCATTTGAAACACCTAAACTTCTGATCACTTCCTTATTATTTCTCCACTTTGACTATTGTTGCACGGTATGTGGGGATGTCTCTGGGGATCACGAGGCAAAACAAAAACATTTGATAAATTGCTTTGTATGATTCATCTTCAGGATCTCAAGAGATGCCTCTGTCTCCCCTTTTTATGGAAAGCTGAATTGGCTTTATCCTTCCTACCATTGCACAGTGCATCAACCAAAGAACAAATATAAAAAATTGAACTATTTTCTAACAAATCAATTACCATATGAAATCTATTAGTAAACCTTCGAATACAATCTTCTAGGATTACATCATTGGTTACATTATTTTTTAAGTCAATACAATGGATGAAGTGCAGCTATCATTCCTTTGGAATAATCACCTTATGAGTATCAATTTATGTTTCTTACTGGCACCACTTGGCTTTTCTATAAAATTACAACTCCAAGTATGAACTTTTACAGGCCCAGGTATATATTTTAAATGTGAAAATTGAATCATTAGATTATTTTGCATTTAATTTGACTAATTTTTTTTAACATTTAACTTTAAACACGTTTTCAAAAAATCATTTTGTACTTTTTGCATATTGTTGTAGCATTGAGTATGTACTTTAATTTTCATTATCTTTTATGTACTTCTGGGTGCCACTTTATTTATACTATTATTTTTTTCAATTGACGGAATCATAATATCTCACGCCCAGCTTGCAGAAATATGTTTCCAACCCAAAAAAGTTGATCGTATATCCATGGTCATGAAAGAAATGTATTCATTGCTGAATGTGATAGACATGAGTGACGAATATAAAAATAGAATACTGAAGATTAGTAGGCTATTTTTTCTTAATTTCCATAATAAATTAAAAGAAGCGCGAAGGAGTCCCAAAAAATGTTATTTGGGAAACACATATTGGCTTCAGCAAGAGGTTCAGAAATTGTCCTTACTTCCTAAAAGACTAAGACGTAATTTAGTCCAGCATGGACTAAGTACCTCACGTAGAAGCCCACGATCATCCTTCAAGAAATCATTCCAAAAAAACGAAAAAGAGGCTGGTAAAAGAACTTTAAGAAAGTTGGACATCTGCTAAGTTAATATTTACAGTCGACATTGCCAAGAAATCTTCTATTCATAATCCAAAGTCTTCGCTAAGACATCATCAAGCACTAGCTCTATATTTGGATTTAGTTTTATCTAAGAGGAAATATATATTGTTAAAGTGTGGTAAACGGTGTGCATAATAATTACTTTCCCTCCTTGTATGCATTAAATTCGTATAAAAATGCTCTGTTACCAACGCATATTACTGCAAATGAAATTTCTGCTTCCGTAAATTTAAATAATTTTAAATTTAATTAGTAAATCTAGTGATGAATTTGATATGATGGACATACACATAGATTCAGAAAGCAGTAGCGAAGAATATGATGAATCAGATTAAATTATGTTGAGTTACGAAATATCAATATTGTATGTAGATAAATATAAATGCATATATTAATCTATATTCGAATGT